TTTCACAAGTTTAGCAATTTGAGAGAGAGAGAGAGAGAGAGAGGGAGAGAGAAGCATGAATTTCTTACAGAGAGCAAAGGTTTAAAATGGGGAAAAGAAAAATTAGGAAGATTTCTATCTCAAGAAGAGAGAAATAACAACGGAAGAAGAAGATGGGGTGTCTTGAGTAAATCCCCAGTTGCTTGACAAAACTTGGTCACGCTCTCAATGATGTCTTCTGCTGGGTAGAGGAAGCTCCTTTTTATAGGCACTTAGAACCCCTATTTTTATCTAACCTCTTCCTTCCTTTTCCCTTGCTTCTTTTCATTCAATCCTATTTGGTGAAATTTTCCTAACCAAGGTGCATGGGTAATGAGCCTTTTGGGGTTCCAAGAGTTTTATGTAGCTGGACCTCTCCATAGGGGTGAGGCGCCACCCACTTTCTTTCTTGATTTTCAAAATAGTGCTTGTAGAGGAAAAGAGAATGGGTAGAGTCATTTGTCCAATGGGTACTCCTCCTACATATATGAATTTCCTTTGGTCCATACCATGGCTCCTTGTTGACCATCTTGGAGTCCTGACAAAGGTGGAATACGATGCTAGATTTTTTACAAGGCACTAGGTTGGGCTTTTCCCAAAGTATTGGGTCAGTGGTACTCTATTTTACAGCGGCCTGTGAGTTTGTTTTCATCAGGCTGCTGGAAGTAGTCTATTTGCTGCATTTTTTAACAAAGCATTTGAGTGCTTTACTAACATGGGGTTTTCTAAGCAGACCATTATGTTCTTCTAAGGCATTGGATTATTTTCTCTCTCTCATGCTAGCCCATGTGCTTGGGCTCAAGAAATGGGCTTGAGTTTTAGTGCTCCCAAGCAGCCCAAAACTCTCATTTCTTGACCCCTCAATGGACCTTGTGAATGCTCGTACGCATCCATACCACAACCTTCTCAGCAAGCCCTGAGTAATTACGTGGCTTGGGCCCATTTAAGCCTGTAGCATGGCTCAGTATTAAAATAGTAGTCCTTCACATAGCATTGCGTGTTTATTTAGCATGCTTGTGCTTGAATTTCATCGTGTTATTATAAGCTAAGATCAGGTCGCATAACGTTGAATAGATTAGTAAGTAGAATTTTATAGAGCTGGTGCATTTTTGGTCCTTTTGTGCATGCTTGCTTGGCGTGACGCGTGGCCCGTGGCTTGCATAGGTGTGTCCTACAAATCCTCTTGTGTCCCGATTGGGCTCCCTTTGCGTTCAATTATTTGGGTTGGGCTAAGAATAAACCCGGGCCCAACCGTTGGACTTTTTGGGCCTCAACAAAATCAAATAAATCATTCTGCTAATAAAATTCGATTCTAAATCTTAGAACATCCCCATAACAATGTTATGTTTCAAAATAACTTAACTGGACTGCTTTTCAATCACTTGACCTCGCGGCTGCACCTAGAATTCTTGGTTGCCTACGTACCCTTAACAAAGGATCAAGCCACACGTAGTTCTTCTTCTTTTTAAGTTGCATTTGCTATACTCGAACAGAAACTGAACATGCATATTTATATTTATATAACAATTCATACGTTTGCATAGGTTTTCATACTGGTTAAACACATTGTAAAATAAAGATTTCTCTTCCACCTAGGTGTACTTATCATTATCCGTTGATTTCCTCATGTCACAGTTTGTGACACGTCCTCGCAAGCCTCGGTAACACAGAGTCAATCCGAGCCGCAATCCTCGCAGGACTCAAGGAACTTTTAGTCAACCTGATCCGCAATCCTCACTCCACATGATCTAGATATCCCTATGACTCGAGGGGCAAAGTAAAGCATGTTGACCTAACCGAAGGCAACCAATTTATCTGAAGGCAACTGAAATACCGAAGACAACATTTATTATATTTGGGTACCTAGGGTGATTTAAGAAAATATATATTTCTAGAAGGTTTGGAATAAATAAAACAAATACTTTTTATCTTAAAACTCTGCTGCCATCCCATATGATATTTCTATGAAATTCTTATTTTCCATATTCTTTAAGCATTCTCAACTTGGCAACATATAAATAAGACATTTAACCTCAGCAAAATATGCTAGAAAAACTTGAGCTATTAAAAACTTATTCAAGATCAAATAATGAAATTAAATTGCATAAATTCATTTATGAAAACAGAAGTCCATTCACTAAACTTCTTCTAATTCGTAATTCACTTATATATACGGACTTACATTATTATATGTATATATATGTGTTAAAGATAAAGATAAAAGTAAAACAAACAACTCTGAAGACACTTTTAATCTTTCATTCGAAACTCACATAAAGTTTGATATAAATATATACATATACATATATATATATATATATATATACAAAGATTTATATTAACTTATCTTAGATAAGTAGGAAAACGATAAAACTATTAAAATAGTCTTATTCGTGAAAACCTTACCAACGACTAAAATACAATACACTCCCTTAAAACTAAAGCACTCACCATCTAGGCATATCCCCATTTGTGATCCGTCAATTCCAAGTTTCCTGTCAATTACATCCTCGCAAGCCTCGGAGATACAAAGTAAATCCGAGCCGCAATCCTTGTAGGTCTTAGGGACACCAAGTCTACCCGAGCCTCATTCCTCGTAGGCCTCAGGGGACCATTAGTAAGCCTGAGCCGCATTCCTTGCACCACATGGTTTAGGAGTCTCCGAAACTTGCGGGGCATTGTCATAAATGACAAATCCATTTCCAAAGGCAACTAGGGGGTACTCCTGAGGTGGGTTTGAAAACCATATTCTGAAACTTATTTCGAAGTTCCTCTTGTTTCACAAGCCTTACTTATATTCTCTTCTCAATTTACCAGAAATCAATTCTCAATATTGCATAATCTCCAATTATTGACAATACCCTTTAGGTTTACCATCACATACTATAATACACTTCCAAATATAGAATACCATAAATATATATATAATTTAGCAATCTATATACATACAATCATATATATACTCACTCCATAATCATATAATTTCATAATACGTGATATGGTAGTTTAATCCATGGAATTAATGCCATTACTAACCAATGAACACTCACACATGTTTTCACATGAATTCCATAAAATACTGTATTCCACAATTAAAACATTTTGCTTCCAAACAAAACCTAATACCCCTCAATCCATATACTCCATTTATAAATGTAATAATATCAATTAATAAAGAATAATAACCTTTAGAGACACTTCCATAACTTCAATTATTATGTACTATCCAAGAATTTATATAAGATACTATAAAACAATCCCCTAACCTGCCAGGGTCAGAATCACCCAACTTCCTGTCAAAACTCGTTTATTTGGTCATTCTAACACTTTTTGAAGGATAAATTACCTTGGAAGACTCATAGTCAACCGAGGGATCAAACTGCCTAAACTTGGTCAATCGAGCCCGTGGGGCCCATGACCTCCGATCACAAATCCGGGAGTTCCTATAGGTTCAACCCACCCTTTTAAACTTACCCTGCAAGTTTGGTCCGAATCAAACAGTCGGATTGATCACGATCGCATGATCGGACGATTACTCTTTATCTTACCCTAGGGTTCGCGATTTCGGAGTATCCGAGATTCTGATTCACGATCCGTCAAATCCTATACGATCCTAGAAATACAAGATACAACATACGTGAATTTGGGTTTGATCCAATGGTCCAAACATATCAAACCCAGAAATCGTACAATAGGCGAAAGCCATTCGAGACTCAAACAATATCCAAATTGAAATCTGAGCACATGTACGCGCTTGTGACAACTAGAGAATCACATTGGGACACAATGCCCCTCTGCTACAGCGCCCACGCGCTAGCAGCACGTGGGTGTCCAAACCGATACCGTTCACCAGAAAAACTTCAAATTCAAGGGCCAAGCTTCCTACTCTAGGTTTAGGACATCGATTGGAGCCACTTTTGTTATTGGACCTACCCTGAAAAATGACTGGAAGTGGCCGGAATTTCAATCCGAAATCCGGCCAAACTTTGAATCCAAAACCGAATTATCAACACTAGGAAATGATCAAATCCTAGCCAACCATCAGCTAGAACTCAAAGAGTAGATGAGATTGCATACCTTGATCATCGGAAATGAAGGCTGTAGGACAGAGAACAACGCCATCGAAAATCTGTCAAAAATTGGCAATTTTTCGAGCTCCTTCTTGCCCTCTATAGGGTTCAACAGCCCTAGCAAGGCAGTGCGATCTGGTCCCGTGCCAGTGCGATCTAGTGTGGTCTCGTGGTCGATGGTGGTTGCGAGGGTGGGTGGGTGTTGGCTAGAGAAACAATTGGGGAAGGGGGCTCAAGTCGCCCAGAGAGAGAGAGAGAGAGAGAGAGAGAGAGAGAGAAATAAAGGGAGAAGAAAAAAATAAAAATAAAAATCTGACTTTTTGCAAAATTACGATTTTACCCCTCTACTTTTTTTGGTCGTAACTTCCTCAGTACAACTCGGATTTGAGCCCACCACGTGTCTACGGACTCATTTCGATGTAAACTACACAACGGTACAATCAAAATTCCCAAATTCCTTCCTAGTCAAAATGCCAACTTTTAACCTAATAAAATATTCTAGGGGCATAATGGTCTTTTACTAGAATAAATTAATAACTAAAAATTGATTTAGGATCGGGTTGTTACAGTTCTCATTAAGAATTTTATTTCCTTGATTACCCTCACAGCGAACGCAGTCTTGAAAATAACTTCCGTCAGCAATAAACTTTGCAAGCATTGGAGGAGTCACCATGCCCAAAATTGTATACCTCAGGAGTGATAGATAATTAACTCCTTGCATGCTTGTATGTCAATTTTCTTGGTTCTGCTTAGATGGCACAAAAATTTCATCGCATCCTTCTTGCCCTCCGTAGCGTTCAACAACCCTAGCAAGGCAACAATGTAGGAGGATTCCATATGCCCTGCCATAGCCGCCACCCGCATGTTGTTGACTACCTCAGTATCTTTGCATATGAAGAAGTCATTAAAAGATTATCTGTAAATTATTTCTGGATTGTTATGTTCTTTGCACTTTTGCAAGAACTCAACAATTTTCCCTTCATGAAACCCGTACCAGTCATCATGCCACTGGTACTTCTCTACTGACATGGTTTGCCAAACCTCAGGATCATTGAGCATTTCTTGAACTAACTTGCATGTCCCCGCCATGTTGTACAGATCTTCAGAGGAGCGCTTTGCAACCAAATGCAGCACCAAGTTTTGAATGTCCATATGAGTTGTTGGAGAAGAGGGAGTGAAAATGGTATCTGGAGGAATAATTAACGGTGTCCTTTCTGGACCAAGAAGAAAGTGCAGGGTTCTATATATTGGAAAGTTTCCCAAATGTCGTCACCTTAGTTTATAATGGACGAAGACAACATTGGGTTGAGATCATGTATTATTGTCTTCGTTTCCTAACCGGTGTGACTGAAAGGACAGTTCACACACCTTGATGAAGGTGGAGGCGGCAAATTGGTGTTCTCGCCCCAACAGGCCTATTTACAACTCTTGGGTCTTCGCATTTATGATACTACTTATCAACGTCAGTAGTCAAAAAATTAAAAATACTTTTGATGATAATAATTATGCAAATATCACATCACCACTTATGAAGGTAAATTAGTTACATTTGAACATGACCAAGTAAATAGTTCATCTTGACAAATATGAAACTAAATATCAACGTGCCATTAACAGTAAAGAAAATGAAAACAATGTTTATGATACTAATAATGCAAATATCACATCACTAGCCGATCAATGATGTGGATGTAGGAGCAGTCGAAGAGTAGATGGCAAATGAAGCTATAGTGGAGGAGGATGATGCCAAGGATGACGCAACTGATGAGGTTGGAGCAGATGCTGAGGAGCTAGCAGTTGGGGTTGCCGAGCAAATGGCGGCAGGTGAGCAGAGTGAGGCCGTGGTTTGTGCAGCTGAGGAGGAAGTTCGCCAAGGGTCACATGCCGAAGTCCCATAGTAAACTTAGACTCCTTTATTATTTTGAACTCTGTAATTTTTATTTTCAATAAGTGGTCTTTAGTTGACCATCTTCTTTCTAGTTGAACTTGGCCGGTTGGCCGCTTTCAGTTGTTTTTCAAACTTCAATTAGCATTGTATCTTGTAAATATATATCCAGAGACATGTCGATGAGAGTGGCCCGTTTGGCCTATGTTCGGAACATGTCGATAGTTCTCTAGGAAGTGGCTTGTTTGGCCTTTGTCCGGAGACATGTCAATAGCTCCCGTAAGTGTATATCCGGAGACATGTATATAAGAGTGGCCTGTTTGGCTTACGTCTGGTGACATGTAGATAGCTCTCATGGGAGTTGCCCGTTTGGCTTATATCCGGAGATATGCCGATAGCTCCTGTAAGTGTGTGTCCGGAGTCATGTATATAAGAGTGGCCCATTTTGGCCTATGTTCGGAAACTTGTCGATAGTTCTCATAAGATACTCTATTGAAAGAAAAGCTCGAACTTGTATTGATGTTGGTGTGATAGCATCGAAAGTAACTTATCTTCAACGGAGGTGAGGGAGGCCTGATCACCTGCTTGGAACTAAGCTGGTAAATAAGGAGCTTCATAGATAGTACTTCCGAAGGTAGTGGGCATTCCATTGTCTCGGTACTTCCTCCCCCTCTACGGTGCAAAGGGTATAACTTCCTCTACCCCCAGATCGGCTGATCACGTATGGGCCTTCCCAGTTAAGGTTCATCTTTTTCGACCCCTGCCTTGGTGCTGTGATGAAAGTTTTTTTGAGCACAAGATCTCCAAGTTGAAATTGTCTGATCTTGGCCTTCTTGTTATAGTAAGATGCCAGCTGCTACTAGTAAGCTACAACTCGAACAATGGTCTTCTCTTGTTCCTCTTCAAGAAGATCAAGGTTGAGTTTCATCTGCTTGCAGTTCTGGTCAACACTTCCCTTTTCAATACTCACGGATGGAACTGCGATGTGTGATGATACCCTTGGTCCGTAGGCTAGGGAAAATGGTGTCTCATCGGTCGATCTTCTTTTGGTTGTGCGATAAGTCCATAAGACTCTTGGTAGCTCATCGACCCATTTTCCTTATGCGCCTCTAGTCTTTTCTTCAGGCAGTCCAGTACAATCTTGTTGGATGCCTCGCTTGGCCATTGCCTTGCAGATATCTTGGAGTTTACAGGTTCTGTCTAATGCTATACTTTACACAAAGTCAATAGCAACGATCATCATGTTCTTCTTGGTAGGTGCCAGCGGGATAGATCCCACTAAGTCAATAGCCTATTGCATGAATAACCATGGGCTGTTTTGTGGATGGTACACCTCGGCTGGCAGGCTAGGGATTGGCTAGGTATTGGTCACATCTTTGAACATATCTGTGGAGTCTTGGTGCATGGTGAGCTAAAAGTAGTCCATGTTGAGAGCCTTTTGGGCAAGCAATCTGCCTCTAGTGTGATTCCCACTTTTGCCATCGTGTATTATGTAGAGCACTTCGAGTGTTTGCGAGTACTTGATGCAAGTGAGATGAGGACCAGAGTATCATCTGCGAACAAGTTTGTTGTCCTTCATGTAGTACCTCGCAACTTTTTGCTTGATTGTTTTGGCCTCAGATTTGTCATTCGGCAAGTTCGTGTTCACCAGGCAATCAATGATGGGATCTTGCCAGCTAGGATCCTCGTCAATTTGCATAAAGTCCGGCTGCTCTACCTTTTCAATGCTTGGTTGGTCAAGGTGCTCGTTTAGGATGGAACATGTGAACTGGGTATGCCTCGGGTGCTTGGCCATGTATTCTCATGAGGCTTGATTTATGATCAGCTGGGAATCTAAGTAGATAGCCAACTTCTTGATTGATAGCTCCTTTGCCAAGTGCAAGCCAGTGAGCAATGGCTCGTACTCTGCCTTGTTGTTCGAGGTTAGGAAGTCAAGCGTGATAGCTTGCTCTAGCAAGGTTCCGTCTGGGGTGATTATGACGATGCCTGCTCCAACTTCCTTTTCGTTCAACGCTCTGTCTATGTGCAACTACCTCATTTCTCTAGTTAGGTCAAGTTCGACAGAGGAGTTCATGTCTGCTCTCGAACTTTCTTTGTTCCTATTGACCAACTTTTCTTCTCACCAGGAACTGGCTTTAAGAGTAGGGGAGGAGAAGTGAGGTAAGTCTTCAAATTCTAGAAAACTACTTCGCACTCTTCATCCCACTTGTCTTTTTGTCCCTTCTTCAAGCTTTGGGGAATGGTCTGCGCTTGTCGGTAGATCTCGAGAAGAATCGATTGAGAGCTGCTGCTCTGCCCATCAGACTTTGTATTTCCTTTATTATTGAGGTCAACTTCATCTCTAGAATGGCCTTGATTTGGCTCGGGTGTGCTTCAATACATCGTTGAGTGACTAGGTATCCCAAGGACCAACTGAATGATACACTGAATGTGCATTTACTCGGATTCAACTTCATGCGGTATTGTAGGAGCAGGTTGAAGACTTTGACAAGGTTCTTGATGTGGTCCGCTCGCTCAGGAGCTTTGACTAGCATGCCTTCTACGTAGACTTCCAAATTTTTTTTTCCACGAGAACAAAATTAGCCAACCATTATGAGTAGGAGACCTCCTTGATGAAGCTGGCAGTTAAGAGCTTATCGATCCTTGGCTTCAATGATCGCGACTCACTTGGGAGCAAAGTTGCATCTCTTCTACACCACTGGCTTGTTGGATGAGTTGACGTGGAGCTGGTTGTAACATCCCCACCCGAATTAATTATTATTTAATTAATTTGTGGAATTTACAATTTTTCTCTTGGGGGTATGGTCATTTTGGTCTCTTTTTAATCCAGAAGATTTTTGGGGAAACGAGTAGCACCGTTGTGTAGAGTTCGTCGATACGAATTCATAGGCACGTAGTGGGCCCAAATTGAACTTTTAACGAAAAAGTTGTGGTCAACAGAAGTGCAGTGGCACAACAGTAATTTTTTCAAAGTTGGATTTTTAAAAACCAAGTCTGTCTCTTGTTCTCTCTCTCTTTCTCGACCATCCTCTCTCCCCTTCGTCGAGACACCATTGCTTCAGATGGTGATTTTGTCGTCGTCTGACCACCAAATCGGATAGGACAAGTTGCAAAATCTTCGTCTCTTCCTCCTCTACAGGTCCATACCCATTTCCACCTTCGAAACTCCAAGACTGGTAGCAATTTTCGACTGAAATCAAGCCGAAAACGCCCGTTCGTTGCCGAAATTGTTCATGCAATTTTCGATGATTCCAGCAGCCAAAATTGTTGAACCAGGTATGAAACTTCATCTACTCTTCGTGCTCTACCTGTTTAGGTGCTTGGTTTGGGTTAAACCCATTTTTGGTTGAGGGTTTCGGCTTTGATTTGGCTAAGTTTGGTTAGTTTTCGGCTTTGGTACAAGAACAAAAGTTGTCCTTATCACGTAGGTATAGGTATTGTCGAAATTTTTCGGTGGCCGAAATTTTTTCTTGACACCCACGTGCTGCCGACGCGTGGGCTATGGGTTGGTGGCCCATTTTGTCTTAGAATGTTCCTCGTGTCGTTTTGAGCACGACGGTATGCTTGGATTTGAATTTGGTTATCATTTGACAGTTGAACGGATTTATCCATATTAGGCGATCTCTGGGTTCGATAGGTTCGGATCGTTGGATGAGCTCCATTTCCAAGTATGTTGATCTAGGTACCTCACGGATCGAGAATCAGAGTCTCGAAAACTCTGAATCAATGATTCAAAGATTACGTAAAACGGTGACCGTCCGATCGTGTGATCGAGAGCGATACAATCGCTCGATCTGGACCAAATTTGCATGACGTGTTTAATAAACTTTGTTGAACCCGTAGGAACTTTCGGATTGAAAATTGGAAGTCGTGGGCCCGTTGGCTTGGTTGACCAAAAACGAGAAGTTTGACCAACTTTGACCACGAGCCTTTTGAGACCGTCTCATCCTTTGTGAAGGTACTAGAATGGCCTTAGGACATTTCCAAGGTTGTATATACACAATTAGGTACACATCATGACCCTTTTAGCATAGGTAAGTTTGGCTTGGAGCAGCATATAAATCTCATGGCTTGCTTAAAGGTACTGTGGATTCTGTAAGAATGAGATTTATAATGAGTTTGACCATGGCTTATCTTAGTATTGGAAGGATTTGAAGGTTAACTTGTGAGACCCATTTTCATAATGAGGTGATGATCAAATCCAACAAAGGGGTTGGAGTGGATGGATGTAGGCAATGCCTTTTCTTTTTAAAAGTTGCTTAGTTAGCAACTTGAAACCCTGAACTGAATACCATAGTTCCCTTTAGACCGAATAATATGGCAACAGGGGAGGTCAATGTATCTGCAACCCTCTGTAATGTAGACCTTACGCTTATTAATAGATTCCCTCTGTTAACATGGTTCTCCACTGCACCACTGTCAGAGACAACTAGAACTACTTGAGTGATTCTAAAAATGTGTCTTGATAACGCTAAGGCTTTGGTGCTTCCTGTTGTTTTCCCATTAAAATCTATTAAACTAAAATTTTCCATTTATACAAAAAATGAGAACAAGTCAGCTCCTGTATAGGTATTATTTGTGGATGCTTGGCAAAAATTTAATTATATAATTATAGAATCTTCATTACTATATCAATCTTATGGTTTTTCCATTCAAAATAAGATGCTTCATGCTCTATTGTTTGTGATATTTTTCTATTTGGATTTGAAATTTTTACATGTCTGTTGTGATTTATATCATATTTTCTCATGCAAGTCATTTCTTGTACTCGTTGTAGCGATGCCAGGTAATTTTCAGGCCTTACTAACTTTGCTTGTTTGGTTGTAGAGGTAACATTGTTGTGTTTGTTTTTCCCGTGACTTATACTTTACATGCTCAGTTTTCTTCTACTACATGCTAATCTATTGCCACTACTGTGTTATTGTGTTCCATTTATTATATAAATGCTTGTTTGTTGGCATTTATTTTGGTTCACTTTGAAATATGAAAACATGTAACAAAATTCAATGAAGCTTCGCTTTGTTAGTCCTTGACTCTTGTGCTTTTCATCTCCCTCAGACTCTGTTCTTTATAAGAAATGGTATAATATACGTATGTGGAATTGATTTGAGAACAGATGTTGAAAGTTATGGGTGATCTAATTCAAACTATGATATTTTTAGGATGGGATACGTGATTATGGGAATTTCGGGAATGCTTATTATTATTACTATTATTATTAGTGCTATTAATATTATTTATAAAGGGTTATGATGACTTTGTGTATGATATGGTGTTTTGGATTTTATTATCTTATGGGATTTTCAGAGATTGTATACTTCCTAAGTATGTGAATAGTATTTTGAATATTAATAAAATTGAATGGGCTTATTTAGTATTGGTGTTTTTCTTAATTATAGTTTTATTTTGATTTTCAAAAAGGAAGTATGGGTGTTATTTTATTATATATATTTATGTTAGATGGAAACGACAAGTTTTGGAAATTGGAATTTTCATCAAGATATGTGGCGTTGGATTTTCTGACTTGTGGGTTCCCTTGGGTACTAATTTCTAGTTGCTTTACTACACATGGCATTGGATTTTCTGACTTGTGGTAAAGAACCCCGACACATTTGATATTGGTTGCTTTACCCACAGGTGGCATTGGATTTTCCGGTGTGTGGGCTCACTTGGTTTGGTTAGGCTACATGTGGCATTGGATTTTCCGCATGTGTGCTCACTTGGATACTGATTACTTTATCACATGTGGCGTTGGATTATTCCAGTGTGTGGTAAAGGATCCGGACATTCTGGTTACTGTTACTTTATTACGCGTGGCGTTGAACTATCCGGCGTGTAGTAAAGTAACGGGGAGAGGGAAAAGGATTATTATACTATATCAATAAAAACAATAATGTCTAGAAGAATTGTGCTTAGCATATGTGAATTATTAAAGGAATAGGGTTGTTGAGTTATGAGTCTTAAGTACGGAGTGAGTAAAGAAAAATGGGTATGTTGTTCATGGGCTGAGATATTGCGATGTTATTTAAAGGGAAAAGATGATTCTAAAATTAACTTGTTGGTATTACTGAAAATAATTGTATGTTATCTGGTTTGTGATTATTGATCGAAGAACTACGTGTGGCTTGATCCCTTAGTAAGGGTACGCAAGTAGCCTGGGGTCTCACTTAAGTGTAGCCGCAAGATAAATTATATTTTTAGACTTTAATTTGGTCATTGGGATCATATCCTATTTATTAGATTTGTTAAGCTTGGTTTTGAATTTGTTGGAGACCTGAAGCTTGATTGAAACTTAGGTGAGATTAAATGCTTGTTTATATTTCAGTTTTACTAAATGGATGTGGTTAAAACCTGTTTTAGACTGATGAATGATTGTGGATTAAGTCTTTACAACTACCTATGACTGTGCTCGGAGGGTACACTGTGCATTCTGAAGTTTGGGAATCTTAAACTATGTCTTTGACAGGTTGAAAAATTTGGTTAAGTCTGTTTTTCAGGGGGGGGACTCTGCCGAAATTTTAATAGGAGTCTCGGCCTTCTTTTCCTTGTTTTAGGGGGAAGAGGATGTTTGAAAATAGTATGTGGGCCGACATCGGTTGGATGTCGGAAAAACCACAAGGTTTGTCACGGATTCCTAGGAATTCAAAGCGGGTCTTGTCACTGGTGGCAGATGATGTGTTGTTCGATGCCTGGCATGTCAGATGGCGACCACGCAAATACGTCTTTGTTTTTCTGAAGGAAGGTGGTTAGCTCCACCTTCTCATCCGAGCTTAGGCATGAGACGATCCACACTTTTCTCTCTGGCCTGTCAGGATAAAGGGGTACTAGCTCAACGTCTTCCTCAGGCTTCCAACCTTATTCAAGGGAGCGTTCCAGGCGGATTTCCTCGTCTTGATCCTGGCTCCTTAGTTGCTATTGGGAGGTGGCAACTCCTTTTTCTTTCATGTTTGCTTATCCGTTGGTAGCACGACCTGCCTCGTCGGCAATCTACATCGCCGGTGTGAACTGCAACTATTTACTCTTCTTCAGCCCTTAGGGTGTGCATCTCCTTGTTGTGGCTTGATCACTGTTGATTTGCCTAATTCCGCCCCTATGGATGGGGTAGTGGACTTGACGACATCAATCTTGCTGATGCGTGGTCGTCCCAAGATTCCGTTATAAGAGGAGAGCACATCGATGACCATGAAGATCTGCAAGCAGACCACCGGGGGTGAGTGGATGTCAAGGTCAATCGTTCCCACAATGATCGACGTGGTCCCATTGAAAATGGTGAGCGATCTGGCAAGCTAGTTGCAACATGTTGGCAACACTTCCCTTGTCCAAGTGAACTCGCTCAATCATAGCTTGTTCAATCATGATGCAAATGACGAGGGCGTTGTTATGTTGCAGATCAATCCCGATCAGGTCCTTCTTCTAAAAGCCGATGATAGGAGTATCCTCAATGGCTGGATCGCCGGTTGTGACTTGTGAGACGAAAGTCGCCTATTTGATCTTTCTTTTCCGCTCCTTAGTGGTTAGCCCGAACTCCTTGGAATCGGCTAGGATCTTGTTGATCCGTATGATATTTTGGGGAGGTTTCTTGGCAACTGCGTCATGATCCTCAATCTGCTGGATGGCTTTTCTTGCAATGAATTCTGTGCAATGGCCGTCTTCGACGAACTCTTCGAGGTGCCTTTTCCAAGCAAAGCAACTGTTTGTGTAATGACTGTGCTCTCAGCGGTTTTTTAACCCAAGGCTTGTCCTTCCCTTCCTCTTCACTTTGCTTTCTCCCTACAAAACATGGAGTGAAAACACCACACCCAGGAGGTGTTGGCCAAAGGCCCTCCGATGCCTAAGTTAGGTCGACTGTGTGCAAGAGAAAAAATAACTAACTAAGTGTACAAAGATTTCTCTCGAGGAGAACAGGGTGGGCGGAGCCATGTGTGGTGGCCGGAGCCTTGTGTGTGTGTGTGTGTGTGAGAGAGAGAGAGAGAGAGAGAGAGAGAGAGAGAGAGAGAGAGAGAGAGAGAGAGAGAGAAACTGCTAGGGTTTGTGGGAGGAGATTTCTGCAGAGTTTCAGATGAACCTCAAACCTTGTGCATAGCCATGAATTTATAGGAGCCTCGGAGACTAGGGTTTCGGAAGAATAATTCCACATGTGGAAATTAATTATTCTTCCCCAATTTGGAGAGATTGATTTAATTAGGGATTTGATTTAATCAAATCCCCAATTGTGGCAAGAATCCTTAATTTAGTAAAATAATTCCCAAATTGATTGGATTAATTATTTGACCTAGGATCTGTAAATATTTGCTTCCATAGTTACCACTATAAACAATGGACCCAAGGGTTACAAGGCTCTATCATATGATAAAGCAAGAACTTCCTTAAGTGACGCATGCAAAGGGAATGTGGAAAGAGATTCGATTCCAATTAAAGATACCTGGTACTTGCATGGAATATTAATATTGTATAAGATTGGTGGAGCAATGTGATGCACCAAGCATTAATTAATGTCATCGCTCCAAATATTTGTGGAGCTATGTTCTTGTATGTTAAAGATTTTTTAGGGATAACAAAATGGTAAATTGATTGCTGAATTTTTGCTTAAAGCAATCAAAGAAGTGGGACCATCCAATGTCGTCAAGTAGTGATTGACAATGAAAATAATGTGTTGTTGTTGGGAGAGAAATTCAAAAGGTACATAAACATTTTTTGGTCTCCGTGTGTTGTTCATACCTTGAATTTTATTTTTAAAGATCGTGTAGAAAAATTTGATTGGCTTAGAAGTACTTATAAAATTGGGAAGTCAATTGTTAAATTTGTTTTGAACTAGACGCAAGTTTTAGTCATGTTTAAGTGCATATTAAAATTGGAGTTATTAAAGGTTGCTAAAACAAGATTTGTATCCCACTATATCTTGTTGAAGAGAATTTTTTATTGTAGAGAAGGATTAGCAACTACTGTTGTTCAAAATGATGAAAAGATTATTTGAAAAATCAAGATGAAAACACAAACAATAAGGTTATGATGATTGCCAATACCGTGAACAATGATAAATTTTGGGATAGTGTGGAGGCTATTTTAAGTTTTGCAAAAGCTTATTTATTTGTTGGTAAAATTTTCTAATGGTGATAGTCAAAAAATAGGAGAAATCTATGAACATATGGACATCATGTCAAGAGGATTGTACACCGATGAATTCCATGAGGTTGAAAATATTGTGCTTAGTAGATGGGACAAAACGAATATTTCGATGCACGGCCTTGTGTTTGCTTTAACACTGCGGTTTTGTGACACACGATATCTAAGTCAACCGGCACTTGTAGGTATAGTTTGTTGAGACCTAATATGTTGAATTATTCTAATTATGTAATTATTGAAGTATTAGGATTCCTTACCATAGAAGGATTCTTGATCCCATAATTGATGTAATTACTTTCCTGTAATTCTTGATGTAAAATCACCATATATTGCCTCATTGGGAGAAGAATATCATTATTATGATTATTCCTATAAAATTTTGATTTTCAAGTTGGTATCAGAGTGGGGTATCCCGTCTCTAAGAAAGAAAAAAACAACCTAGCCGCACCGCTGGTCTCCTTGTTTTTCACTACTACCACATATTTTTTCACCTCATTTGATTTGTTCTCATTAACAAAAATTATTTGTTCCCTTGCTGCATATTTAATTCACCAAGTCAATTTTTACTTTTCTTGAATCCATCTTTATCCATTCGATTTGTTGGCCACTACCCATATTGATACCACCATATATTGCCATACCCGACCAATTAATATATGTCTTTAGATTTGTCTTCACCCAAAAATTCCCCACCTTCATCACCAACGAAGAAAAGCATGGCTGGAATTTGAGAAACCAAATCTACACAAATCATTGTTCAATACGAAGGATCTGGGTTCAATGCAGGGATTACCCTCATTGACTCCAATTATGATGTGTGGTCTCAAATCATGGAGATGCACATCGCTGAGAGAGAAAAACTTGTCTATATTTGTGGGAAAACAAAAACAAAAAAAATGTTCCCCCTAAAGAAGATGATGAAGGATATGAAAAGTGGTATGCTGACAAAGCAATGGCTTTTACAATCCATGGCCCCATAAATTATGAGATGTTATTTGCGATACTGCTCGCGAAATTTGGAGTGCTCTTTCTACAACATTCTATGATGGTTTTGATGCATTATAGGTGTTCTCTTTGAATCAGAGAGCCTTTTTCGCCAAACAAAATGGGAAGAATCTCTCCACATATTATGGAGAATTAACAGATATTTTCGGTGAATTGGATCATCGTGATAAGGCAATTATGACATGTGCCCATGATATTGAGATTTACAGAAAGTCAATTCAGCGACAAAGGGTGCACATTTTTCTCGTTGGTCTTGATGTGGAATTTGAGCAAATTCATGGGGAAATTCTACGCAAATATCCTATACCTGAATTGGAGGCCACATATGCTCTTATTAGACGTGAGTCAGTACGTCGGGCTACTATAAATTCTTAAGGGGACAAGTCTGACACAACAACCATGATTGCTCGAAATAGATCACCTAACCAGTCATCTTATGCTCAGCTAGAGTGCACAGGGTCCAATGATAGGTCTGGTCGCATCTCTGGGTCAAATCAGTCTGGCAAGGAAATTAGGTCAGATCTGTCTGGCAAAGCAACTGAAACAGATTGATTCAATCAGTCCTACCGAGTCAATAGAACCAGTGGTAGCTTAGAATCCTCCAACAACACCATGTCATCTGATGATCGTGTTTGTGCTTATTGCAATCAAATTGAGTCATCTAAAATATCGATGCTTCGAACTTGTGGGATATCCAGATTGGTGGGATCACAACTATGATCCAATAAACAAAAATTCAACTGTAGTTGTTGCTGACACAAAGAATGGTGATAATAGCAATATTGTTGACAAGGCCTTCGCCCTGGTGGCCAGTACAGGTAATATTGGTAAGACTTTAAATGTTTCTACATATGTTTCGAATAATACATGGATAATTGATTATGGTGCCACCAATCATATGACTTTTGATTCTAGACATGTGTCATCACTCACTCCATCCACTAAACCTAGCGTGTCCACTGCAAATGGGACTTCAGCCTTTGTTATTGGGGAGGGATCAGTTACTCTTACTGATACCTTAAATTTAGACAGTTCTTATTATTCAATCCCTCGATTATAATTTACTATCTATTGCCCAAATTACAGTTGCTTTGCATTGTATTGTAATTTTTTGGCATTCTTTTTGCATCTTTAAGGACATCCGAACGCGACAAATGATTGGTTATGGTGTTAGGCAAGGAAAGCTTTACTACTTGGATTTGGTGTCTGATAGTTCGAAGAAGTTGACTGAAGCTTTGACAGTGGCAGACTCTCAAGAGGAGAGGAATCAAGAAACAATTTGGTTATGGCATCGTCATTTGGGACATGCTTCTTTTAATTATTTGAAGAAATTATTTCCTGCGTAATTTTCATATATCGGTGTTTCTAAGTTACGATGTGATGTTTGTGAGCTTACTAAGAGCCATTGTGCTTCTTTTGATTCTAGTTTGAATAAAAGTTATGTTCCATTTCAGATCATTCATTCTGATGTTTGGGGTCCATCTACACTTCTTCATTGGGTGGATCACGTTGGTTTGTTACATTCATTGATGATTGCACTAGGATGCCATGGTATGTTTTATGAAATCCGAAGGGGAAGTGAATGCATTGTTTCAAAAATTTCATAAGACTACTACTCAATACAACATGCATAGTCAGGTTCTCAATAGTGATAATGGAGGAGAATATAAGAGTACAGAGTTGAGGAATTATTTGAAATCCCATAGCATTGTCCATCAAACCACTTGTACATATACCCCTTAGCAAAATGGAATAGCTGAAAGAAAGAATCGTCATCTCTTAGAAGTTGTTCGCACTTCTCTTATTGATGCCTATATGTCACCCTTATATTGGGGTGAAGCCCTTACATCTGCAGCTTATGTGATTAATCGAACTCTTTCCAGTACATTGGGATTTCAAACACCGTTGCAAAGCCTTATTGCAGCCATTGCCGCTCCTCTTATCTCCAATCTATCACCACATATTTTTGGATGTGCTACTTTTTTCCATTTACATAAACATCAACGGAGTAAGTTTGCTCATCGTGCTTTACAATGTGTTTCTGTAGGTTATGGCACATCCCAGAAATGGTATTGTTGTTATCAGCCTCCATCCCAAACTATGTATGTCACTCAAGATGTTGTGTCTTATGAAGACACTATTTTTTCCCATGAGCCTGAACTTCAAGGGGAGCACCAGAAGGAAGTTCAATTATTTGATTACGGTCATAATGTTTAGATTTATGATATAGATGATTGCTCCAACTTAGGGGAAGCATCTCCTGTACCCATTGGCGACATCATCGGTGTCGTTAATGCCACAAAGCCCAACATCATCAAAGGCACCATCATTATTGGATTTATCATTACCAGATTCATCAGCATCACCATTTTCATCTCTGGCGTCTATGTTTTCATTGCCCTAAGATGACACATTGCAATTGGATAATGAAGTTGATATAGATTGTTTAGTACGCCAAGTGCCTACACCTAACCAATCCGTTGCTAAGAATGTTCCTACACCACCAAAGAGACAGATGCCCAATCATTATACTAGAGGTATTCTTAAACTCACATATGAACCTGATCTTGCTAGTAAAGTGAAATACTCCATGAGTCATTATGGCTCTGACCATAAGTTGTTTGAATCAAATAAGTCATTTGTCTATGAATTATCTTCTGTATCTATTTCTAACAGTGTGCAGGAAGTCTTAGTTGACTCTAAACGGAAAAATGCTATGAATGAAGAGATGAGGTCACTTCAGAAGAATGGGACATGGGAGTTTGTTGATCTTCCTACAGAAAAGAAACCAATTGGGTGTAGGTGGATATATATAGTGAAATATAAAGTAGATGGTATAATCGAACGCCTTAAGGCACGGTTCGTTGCAAAGGGGTACACTCAAACATATGGCATTGATTACATGGAGGCATTTGCTCCAGTAGCAAAGATAAATACGGTACATGTATTACTATCATTGGCTGTCAATTTGAATTGGCCCTTGCAACAATTTGAGGTGAAAAAATGCTTTTCTTCACGGAGACTTAACTGAAGAAGTATATATGGATATCCCACCTGGGTGCCAAATACCCACAGAGCATAGACATAAGGTATGCAAACTAAGAAAATCATTATATGGTTTAAAGCAATCCCCATGAGCATGGTTTGGAAGATTTACAAAAGCTATGAGAAATTTCAGGTATATGCAAAGTAACTCAGATCACACCCTGTTCTTGAAGTGACGGAATGGCAAAATTATGGCTCTTATTGTGTATGTTGATGATATGGTGGTCACAAGGAATGACTGATGAACGAGAAGCTTTGAAGAAGTATTTATCTCAAGAATTTGAAATGAAGGATCTTGGTGATTTAAAATATTTTCTGGGAATTGAGGTTTCTAGATCACATGGTGGAATCTTCTTATCTCAAAGGAAATATGCATTAGATTTATTGAGTGACACAGATACACCCATGGAAGAAGTATTGAAGTTGGAGATTGAAGTTGATCAAGTGCCTGCTAATAAAGGGCGTTACTAGAGGTTAGTTGGAAGGCTGATGTACTTAGCTCACACAAGGCCTGATATTGCCTATGCATTAAGTGTTGTTAGTCAATACATGCATAATCCTAGAGAGAAACATATGAATGCAGTGATGAGAATTCTGAGCTATTTGAAAGCAGCTCCTGGAAAAGGAATTTTGTTCACAAAAGAAGATAACTGTGGGAACCGAATTAAATCATACCCTAGGTCAAATAATTCCTTCCATTTGGGGATTATTTGACCTATTTGGGAATTACTCAACCTAATTGGGAGTTACTCAATTTAATTGGGAGTTACCCAATTAAATTGAGAATTACCTAATTAAGTTGGAAATTGATTTGATTCCTACCCCAATTCCCAATTAAATGAGGAGTTACCTAATTAAATTAGGATTTGATCTGATACCTACCACGATTAGGGATTTGATTTACCCAAATAAATCAAATCCCTAATTAATCAAATCAATGCCAAATCAGGGAGGAATAATTCCTTACCAACTACGGAATTATTCCTCTGAAACCCTAATCTCCGAGACCATTATAAATACTTGGCTACGCACAAAGGTCAAGGTACGTCTAAATTCCTACTGAAACTCTGCAGAAATTATTTCTCACAAACCCTAGCCACCACTTTCTTTCTCTCTCTGACACAAGGCTCCGGCCACCACACACGGCTCCGGCCACCCGGTTTTCCTTGAAATACCCTACCTAACTTAGGCATCGGAGGGCCTTTGGCCAACACCCCCCGGGTGTGGTCCTTTTACCCCGATTTGTTTTGCAGGGAGAAAGAGAAGTGGAGAAGACGAAGGAATCTTAGACGAATATTCTCGTGAGGAAATTTGTACAAACAAATTGGTGCTTTCATTGAGAGCACGAGATATATTCAAAGCGTGCTCCAAATCCATCTTTCACACATTTTTTCAAACAACCATGGTTGATACAAGACGTACGAAGAGTAACGCCACCACGACGGGCCCATCTCATGGTTTCGTGGTGGAAACCTCAATGCAACAGCACGAAATCATGCCTGCCAACGCCCTGCAGCCGTCTTCTAGTGCTTTGCAGCCGCCTTCAGCTGCTGGAATTGCAGAACAGCCGCCACATGACCCTGGGACCTCCACAGCCTTGCAGTCGCCAGCACCGATTACCGGAGCTGCTCTGCCTCGCTGTCCTACCGTCGGAGCACAGCAGCAGCCACACCACTTAACTACTGGACTTGCTGCACAGCCCCATGGCTACTCTGACATCGTCCCAGTCTTGGAGCAGATCCATTCTCTCCCTCCTCTGCAATCACACTTGACATATGCACCTGTGTACACGTCTAATGGAGCCCTAGCCCACATGCCGTTGGGCCCGATGCACACCACTCTACTTGACCCGGGCAGTTAGGTGGACCTTAACTTGCGGGTTGATCAACTCACACAGAAGGTCGATGATCAAAACAACTTGATTGGCCAGCTACTCAGGCAGATCAACTTGAATCAAGGCCCTAACCATGGACCCCCGTGACGAGGAGAGGAAGGCACACGAGCATGCTAGCGAGCAGTTCGAGAGGTCCCAGGCTAGTCAGACAAGGGCAAACCGGCAGGGGAGAGAGCGAGATCGTGCAAACGAGAAGCAGACAGCTGCGAGCCGTACTATGAGCCGTTCGAGGTTAGGACCCAGGACCAATGTGCTCGAGAGGCTAGGCCCATAATCCAATGTTCGTGCTTGCTTAGGTCCACAAGGAGCTCGAGTTCGTGAGCGGTCGCGACGACAAGCTGTGGAGGGATCTTCCCAAACTCAACCTTCTCTCCTGCCTCACGGGCAGGGCAACCAAGGGGATCGACCCTTGGGAGCTGGGGAAGAAGTTAGCCAATTACGCTCGAGGCACCAAAGACGTCGACCTGAACGACCTTCCCTGCGAGCAGAGGATGACGATCAACGCTCACCAGCCTGCTCGAGGTCCAACATGCGGTGACAAGCTGTGGAGAGATCCTCCCAAACTCAACCTTCTCTCCTGCCCCACCGGCAAGGCAACCAAGGGGATCGACCCTTGGGAGCTCGAGAAGAAGTTAGCCAATCACGCTCGAGGCACCGAAGACGTCGACCTGAATGACCTTCCTTGCAAACAGAGGATGATGATCAACGCTCACCAGCCCGCTCGAGGTCCAACATGTGGCGACAAGCTATGGAGGGATCCTCCCAAACTCAACCTTCTCTCCTGCCCCACCGGTAGGGCAACCAAGGGGATCGACCCTTGGGAGCTGGAGAAGAAGTTAGCCAGTCACGCTCGAGGCACCGAAGACGTCGACCTGAACGACCTTCCTTGCGAGCAGAGGATGACGATCGACGCCCACCAGCCCTCTCGAGGACCAACACGCGGCGACAAGCAGCAAAGGAATCCTCACAAGCTCAATCTCCTAATCTGCCTCACGGGCAGGGCACCCAAGGGGATCGACCCTTGGGAACCGAGAAAGAAGTTAGCCAGTCGCGCTCGAGGCACCGAAGGCGTCGGCCCGAGACTCCAACCCTGCGAGCAGAGGATGTCGAGAAGCTAGTAAATGACCAACTCCGAGGTCTCCGACTCAAAGGAAGCACGGAGGAAGCCCTGTGCAAGGAAATTGATCGAGTTGACTGCTCGCCCTTTACCGACGAGGTGGAACGAGCTCCGCCGCCGAAGCGGTTTACAACGCCATCCATCACTCCATTCAAGGGGGACTCTGACCCTGAGAGCCATTTGAGGCACTTCAAGAGTGCCATGATCCTGTACAAGGCAGACGACGCCTTGATGTGCAAAGTGTTCGCGATGACTCTTCGAGGGGCAGCTCAAGATTGGTTCCACACTCTACCGTTCGCGTCAATAGGCAACTTCAAGGAGTTCGCCATCATTTTCACAAAGGAGTACACCTCCTACAAGACGGTCAGAAAGCATTCAGACCACCTGTTCAACCTGCGCAAGAAGCTAGACGAGTCTCTACGAGACTACCTGAGACGGTTTAAGGCTGAGAAGGCTAACATCATAGGATGCAACGACCAAGTTGCATCCTCAGCTTTCAAAAAGGGCTTGCCAACCGAGCACGAGCTATACCGGGAGCTGGCCATAACTCCAAGTCAAACCTTGGCAGAAGTGTTCGCGACGGCAGAGCGCTATGCACTTTGGGACGATGATCGTATCGCCGCAAAGAAAGCTAGCAAGCAAGTTGACCACCCGACGAAGCAGGCAAGCCAAAAGAGCAACAAGTTCGAGCAAAAAGCCCGAGATAAGCGCAGATCGCGGCCCCAAGAGGGAAGCTTAGAAACAGGGACCTTTACTGAGTTCGCTATCCCAATCCACCAGATCCTAGCTCAGGTGAAGGATAAGCCGTGGGTGAGGAGACCACCACCCATGAAGGGAGACCCCTCTAAAAGAGACACCAGCAAATACTGCGCATTCCACGGGGAGCACGGTCATTACACCAACAACTGCAACGCTTGGAAAAGGCACCTTGAGGAGCTGGTCAGAGAGGGCCATTGCACAGAGTTCGTTGCAAAGAAGGCTATCCAGCAGATCGAGGATCGTGATACAGCTGCCAATGAACCTCCCCAAAAGGTCATTCGAATCAACACCATTCTAGCCGACTCCCAAGAGTCCAGGCTGACCACCAAGGAGCGCAAGAGAAAGATCGCTCAAGCAACTTATGTCTCCCAAGTCACAACGAGAGTACCAGCCATTGTGGATACACATATCATCGGCTTCCAGAAGAAGGACTTGATCGGGCTTGACCTGCCACATAATGACGCCCAAGTCATCTGCATCCAAATTGAACAAGCTGTGATCGAGCGAGTTCATGTAGATGAGGGCAGCGCAGCCAACATCCTGCAACTATTGTTATCCAACAGATGGGGTTCGAGCCCAAGATTAGCAAACTTGCCAGATCGCTCACCGGCTTCAATGGGGCCACATCAATCACTGTTGGAACGATCGACTTGGATGTCCACTCACCCCCAGTGGTCTACTCGCAGACCTTCATGGTCAACGACGAGGTTTCCCCCTACAACGGAATCTTGGGTCGACCGTGGATCAGCAAGATCGAGGCAATCACATCTGCTCTACATCAGAAGATCCGCTATCCCATCCCTGGGGGTAGGATCGGGCAGATCAACAGTGACCAAGCCATGGCAAGGAGATGCACCGCCCAAGGGCTCAAGAAGAGCAAGCAGCTGCAGTTCACACTAGCAGTGCAAGCTACCAACGAGGCAGGAAGCGCTCTTAGCAGACAAGCAAACCCGAAAGGGAAGGAAGTTGTTGCCTCACAATAGTAGTTAAGGAACCAGGATCAAGGTGGGGGAATCTACCCGGAAGACTCCCCTGAAAAGGGTTGGAAGCCTGAGGATGACGTTGAGTTAGTACCCCTTGATCCTGGCCAGCCAGACAAAGAGGCGCAGATCGGCTCGTGCTAGAATCCAAACAAGAAGGATCGAGACGAGGGAATCCGCCCGGAAGACTCCCTTGAAGAAGGTTGGAAGCCTGAGGAAGACGTTGAGTTAGTACCCCCCGATCCTAATCAGCCAGAGAAGGAGGCGCAGATCGGCTCGCACCAGAATTCAACCAAGAAGGATCGAGATGAGGGAATCCGCCCGGAAGGCTCCCTTGAAGAAGGTTGGAAGCCTGAGGAAGACGTTGAGTTAGTACCCCCTCGATCCTCACCAACCAGACAAGAAAGCGCGGATCGGCTCGCGCCTAAGCCCAGACGAGAAGATGGAGCTGACCATCTTCCTCCATAACAACAAAGACATGTTCGCGTGGTCACCATCTGACATGCCTGGCATTGACCCAAACATCATCTGCCATCGGCTCCATGTCAACCCTGCTAGCAAGCCTGTGGTGCAGAAGAGACGCAACTTTGCTCCCGAGCGGGTCGCGATCATTGAAGCCGAGATCGACAAGCTCCTAGCTGCCGGTTTCATTGAAGAGGTCTCTTACTCGGAATGGCTGACTAACGTTGTTTTGGTGGCGAAACAAGAAAAGGGAAAATGGAGAGTATGCGTTGATTACACCGACCTCAACAAAGCATGCCCTAAAGACAACTTCCCATTGCCGAGAATCGACCAGCTCGTGGATTCAACTTCCGGCAACCAGCTGCTCAGCTTCATGGATGCTTACTCCGGCTATAATCAAATTATGATGTACGATGATGACAAGGCGAAGACCTCTTTCATCATCGAAAGAGGGGCCTACTGCTACAAGGTCATGCCCTTTGGGCTAAAGAACGCCGGAGCAACCTACCAAAGGCTCGTGAATAAAATTTTCAAGGAGCAGATCGGCAGAACCATGGAGGTGTACGTGGACGATATGCTGGTTAAAGCCCCCAAGCGGGCAGACCACCTCAAAAACCTCACCGAGGCGTTCAGCCTACTCCGCCAATATCGCATGAAGCTGAATCCAAGTAAATGCACGTTCGGTGTATCGTCTGGCCGGTTCCTAGGGTACTTAGTGACGCAACGAGGTATCGAGGCACACCCGCGCCAAATCAAAGCCATTCTCGAGATGAAGTCGCCTTCCACAGTGAAGGAGATACAAAGCCTGACGGGCAGAGCAGCGGCCCTTAACAGATTCCTCTCAAAGTCTACCGACAAGTGCAGACCATTCTTCAAAGCTTTGAAGAAAGGACAAAAAGACAAATGGGACGAAGAGTGCGAAGTAGCTTTCCAGAATCTAAAGACCTACCTTACTTCACCTCCCTTGCTCTCAAAGCCAGTTCCTGGTGAAGACTTGTTCGTGTACCTGGCAGTGTCCAACTCGGCCGTCAGCTCAGCTCTCATCCGAGAAGAACTTTGGGCCCAACATCCGATATTCTACACGTCAAAAGCTCTCCTCGATGCAGAGACTCGCTACCCGAAATTGGAGAAGCTCATTTTGGCCCTTGTGGTTTCTGCGAGAAAGTTGCAACCTTATTACCAAGCTCACCGAGTCATCGTCATGACTGACTTTCCTTTGAGATCAATCCTCCACAGCCCTGATGCTTCTCAGCGACTCATGAAGTGGGCTATAGAGCTAAGCAAATACGACCTCCTCTACCGGCCGAAGACTGCAATAAAAGCTCAAGCCTTAGCAGACTTTGTTGCAGAATTCACACCATCAGCCGAAGCAGAGAAGCTGGTCAGCAAAAAGAAGGAAAGTTCAAGAGCAGACAAGACCTCTACTGAACCTGATCAACCTAGAGACCTGTGGCAGTTGCGCGTAAACGGAGCTTCGAACCTGAAAGGAGCTGGAGCAGGCATCGTCGTCATCTCCCCAGATGGAACCTTGTTAAAGCAAGCTATCACACCCGGCTTCCCGGCTTCAAACAACGAGGCAGAGTACGAGGCATTGCTCGCTGGCTTGCGCTTGGCAAAGGAGCTATCAATCAAAAAGCTGGCTATCTACTCAGATTCCCAACTGATCACAAGTCAAGCCTCAGGAGAATACATGGCGAAGCACCCAAGGATGATCTTGTACCTTGACAAAGTTCAAGAGTTGTTGAAGGCGTTTCCCACCTTCACCATCCAGCAAGTTCCCAGAGTAGAGAACGCGCACGCAGATGCACTGGCAAGCTTAGGATCGGCGTTGGATACCCAGTTCAGACGCTCCATCCCGGTCGAGCACCTTGACCAGCCTAGCATAGAGGAGGCAGAGCAGCCGGACCTGATGCAGATCGATGAGGATCCTAGCTGGCAAGACCCAATTATTGACTACCTAGTGAATGAAAACCTACCCAAAGACAAGTCCGAGGCCAGAAAAATCAAGCAGAAGGCTGCAAGATACTACATGAAAGGCGACATACTTATCCGCAGATCATACTACGGGCCTCATCTCACTTGCATCAAGTACCCACAAACGCTCGAGGTTCTCTGCAAGATACACGACGACGAATGTGGAAATCACGCTGGGGGCAGATCATTTGCTCAGAAGGCTCTCAGCATAGGCTATTTCTGGCCTATCATGCGCCAAGACTCCACGGAGTATGCTCGAAGATGTGATCGATGCCAACGCTACAAGCCGGTCCCTGGCCTGCTGACTAAGGAATACCATCTGCAGAACAGTCCATGGCCATTCATACAGTGGGCCATTAACTTGGTGGGACCTATGCCGACGGCACCTGCCAACAAAGGGATGATGATCGTTGCCACTGATTACTTCACCAAATGGATCGAGGCCGAGGCTTTATCTTCTACCAAGGAGGCCGATGTTGAACGGTTCATCTGGAAGAACATTATTTGCAGATTCGGTTGCCCGCAATCGATAGTCATCGACAATGGTACACAGTTCGTGGGCAGGCAAATCACCGCATTCTTTGTGAAGTATGGCATCAAACAACACCTATCAACACCCCGATACCCGCAAGGCAATGGCCAAGCAGAGGCATCCAACAAGATAGTGCTGGACTGCCTAAAGAAAAGACTGGAAGGTGCAGAAGGAAAATGGGTCGACGAGCTGCCAGGAGTCCTATGGGCTTATTGCACGACCAAAAGGAGATCGACTGGAGAGACACCATTTTCCCTGGCTTATGGGACAGAAGCAATCATTCCCCCACACATCATAGTCCCTTCCATGAGCATTGAGGTGGATAGTCTTGACCAAAATTGCAAGCAGATGAAAGTCAACCTTGATCTGCTCGAAGAAGAACGAGAAAAGGCCATTGTTCGAGTTGCCGCCTACCAGCAGCAGTTGACATCCTACTACAATAGGAGGGCCAAGATCAGACAGTTTCAGCCTGGGGACCTTGTGCTTAGAAAAATTTTCATCACAGCACCAAGGCAAGGGTCAAAGAAGATGAAACCAAACTGGGAAGGCCCCTACGTGATCAGCCGATCTGGGGGCAGAGGAAGTTACACCTTTGATACTCTAGAAGGAAAAGAAATTCCGAGACAATGGAATGCCCACCACCTTCGAAGATACTATCCATGAAACTCTTCGCTTATCAGCTTGGCTCCTAGCAGGCGACGGGCCTCCTGTACTTCCATTAAAGACGAACTACTTTTGATGTTACCTTTGTTGTTAATTTCCTTTACTCAATAAAGCGATGTATTCACACCAACATCAATACAAGAGCAAGCTTTTCAATGAAGTACTTTTTTGAGCATTATGTCTTACGAACATACACATGCCTGCAGCAAGCCCCATCTCCATTGCAAACAAGCTGCTCCACGAAGCATAAACTCAATGGAGTCTTTTCGAGCGTTGTGTCCTTGACATACGCTCGCAGGCGACAAGCCTTATCTCCATTGCAGACAGGCTGCTTCACGAAGCACAAACTCAATGGAGTCTTTTTTTGAGCATTGTGTCCCTGACATACGCTCACAGGCAACAAGCCTCATCTCCATTGTAGACAAGCTGCTCCATGAAGCACGAACTCAATGGAGTCTTTCGAGTATTGTGTCCCTGACATACGCTCGCAGGCGACAAGCCTCATCTCCATTGCAGACAAGTTGCTCCACGAAGCACGAACTCAATGGAGTCTTTTCCGAGCATTATGTCCCTGACATACGCTCGCAGGCGACAAGCCTCATCTCCATTGCAGACAAGCTGCTCCACGAAGCACAAACTCAATGGAGTCTTTTTCGAGCATTGTGTCCCTAACATGCACTCGCAGGCGACGAGCCTCATCTCCATTGCAGACAAGCTGCTCCACGAAGCACGAACTCAATGGAGTCTTTTTCGAGTATTATGTCCCCAACATATGCTCACAGGCGACAAGCCTCATCTCCACTGTAGACAAGCTGCTCCATGAAGCACGAACTCAATGAAGTCTTTTTCGAGCATTGTGTCCCTGACATGCGCTCGCAGGCGACAAGCCTCATCTCCATTGCAGACAAGCTGCTCCACGAAGCACGAACTCAATGTAGTCTTTTTCGAGTATTATGTCCCCGACATATGCTCGCAGGCGACAGGCCTCACCTCCACTGAAGACAAGCTACTCCTCGAGTACAAACTTCATAGAGTCTTTTCAAGCGTCATGTCCCCGACATACGCACACAGGCGACGAGCCTTACCTCCATTGTAGGCAAGCTACTTCACGAGTACAAACTCAATAGAGTTTCTTTCAAGTGCTGTATCTCCGGATATACACTTACAAGATACAATGAGAATTGAAGTTTGAAAGACAACTGAAAATTCCATAACAAAGCGGCCGACAAGCACCATCTACTCAACGGCCTCACCTGCCTGCTCCTTCGCATCTGGCCTAGCCTTATCAGCTACGCCACCTTGGGAGTTGTCTTCCTCCATTGTAGCTTCATCTGCTATCTGCTCTTCCACTGCTTCTGCACCCACAACATTGCTCTGCTCACTTTGAGCAAGGGGCAGGTCAGGATAGAGCTGCTTACTGTCTTCATGTTCGAGAGGGCAACAAGGAGAATCACTATTCCTGCAATCCAAGTATCCCAGCTTGTACACATTAGCAACAATCTCATGCTTGGATGCCTCTGTGGCTTTAACATGAGTGTCGAACTTGACCAGCGGAGCTATCACCAACTTCTGGATCGGCAGTTCGTGCAACTTAAGGACTCTTTGCTCGAGCAGACGACTCTTTAGCTCTCTTGGCCGTAACTTGCAACATTGAGTCAGCTCCGCGCTTGACTGTTCAGGGCTTTGCAGACGAGTGATTACTAGACAGATGTACAGTTCTCTCAGTTTGATCCCAGGATCGGCACAAGCAACTCAAACCCTGCTTCTCAATAGCCTCCTCACAAGGTAGATCATGGGTTTTAGGCAGTTCGAGCGGATACTTGAGCAGTATATCTCGGATCTCCTGCATGCCATTTATCTTCTTACTGTTCGCGCTGACGAGGCGCTTGATCCTAGCAGATGAAGAAGCAACTCTCATAGGGACATTCTCAGCAGACGAGACCCCCTTACGGAAGACTTGCTCATGGAACAATGAGGAAGCTTGGTCGAGGACTTCTCCCTCTCAACTGGCAGATCATCTAGGTCTGAGCCATGCAGCTCCCATCTTTCAACATCTTCGGCTGGGGGCAAGCCTCCAGCCTCCTTCCGATGTTCACTCAGCAACCAGCGCAATCCACAAAACCTAGCAAGGATGTTCAAAGCTTAATGAACATTGGTCGTGTCCGGGCAGAGATCGAGCTTCTTGTGGATGTCATTTTCTACAAGCATGAGACAGAAGTCAGTCAAACACACAGCAAAGAATTCCATGGCAACTGTAGCAGATCATAGGGATGCAACCTACCATCACAGTAGGTGAGAGGAATGAGCGGACCGTCGCCAACCTCCCCTACCCGTCTGCCGCTGACTTCCAACATGTCCGTGCTCCACACGTGATCGCCTTGACTCATACTGTTCCTAGTTCGTGACACAAAAAGAAGAAGGAATTGAAGCAGTTTGGATCAACCACAAATAAGCCGACCCAAACTGCCACCTGCTCCAGCAGCAGGCCAGCTTGCCTCCAGCCCAGTTACAGCTGGACAACCCAAGTCAAAGACCAGTTGGCAAGTCAAAAGCCTCCTCCATTCAGGAGCCCAAATCCAAGGAGGAAGCCCAGTTACAGCTGGACAGCCCAACAAACAATTCACATCTCCTACATGCCACCACGTGCCATGCAAAAGCTGGGGGGCATTTGTGGGAACCGAATTAAATCATACCCTAGGTCAAATAATTCCTTCCATTTGGGGATTATTTGACCTATTTGGGAATTACTCAACCTAATTGGGAGTTACTCAATTTAATTGGGAGTTACCCAATTAAATTGAGAATTACCTAATTAAGTTGGGATTTGATTTGATTCCTACCCCAATTCCCAATTAAATGAGGAGTTACCTAATTAAATTAGGATTTGATCTGATACCTACCACGATTAGGGATTTGATTTACCCAAATAAATCAAATCCCTAATTAATCAAATCAATGCCAAATCAGGGAGGAATAATTCCTTACCAACTACGGAATTATTCCTCTGAAACCCTAATCTCCGAGACCATTATAAATACTTGGCTACGCACAAAGGTCAAGGTACATCTAAATTCCTACTGAAACTCTGCAGAAATTATTTCTCACAAACCCTAGCCACCACTTTCTTTCTCTCTCTGACACAAGGCTCCGGCCACCACACACGGCTCCGGATACCCGGTTTTCCTTGAAATACCCTACCTAACTTAGGCATCGGAGGGCCTTTGGCCAACACCCCCCGGGTGTGGTCCTTTTACCCCGATCTGTTTTGCAGGGAGAAAGAGAAGTGGAGAAGACGAAGGAATCTTAGACGAATATTCTCGTGAGGAAATTTGTACAAACAATAACTATTTAAAGATCGAAGGCTACACTGATGCTGATTGGGCTAGCAATGTGGGTGATAGAAGGTCCACGTTAGGATATTTTACATTTGTTGGTGGAAATCTTGTCACGTGGAGAAGTAAGAAACAAAATGTTGTTTCTAGTTCAAGTGATGAAGTAGAATATAGGGGAATGGCCCTTGGAGTTCAAGAATTGTTGATTGATTTAGGTTATCCACAAAAAGAACCTATGAAATTATATTGTGATAATAAGACGGCGTGTGATATTGCATACAATTCGGTACAACATGATCAAACAAAGCATGTTGAAGTGGACAGGTTTTTTTATCAAGGAGAAATTAGATGAAAACATTGTGGAAGTGCCTCAAGTACGCTATGAAGATCAGTTAACTGATATACTCACTAACGTGGTTTCTAGTCGAATATTTGACAAGTGTGTTTGCAAGTTGAGCATGTTCGATATTTATTCCCCAACTTGAGGGGGAGTGTTGAATTATTCTAATTATGTAATTATTATAGTATTATGATTCCTTACCATAGAAGGATTCTTGATCCCATAATTGATGTAATTACTTTCCTGTAATTCCTGGTGTAAAATCATTATCTATTGCCTCCTTGAGAGAAGAATATCATTATTCTGATTATTCCCATAAAATTCTGATTTTCAAGTAAGATAAGGAAGTAATAATGGGTGTCATGACTGCTTTTGATAAAACAGCAGAAGATGCACACAAGGTTAGAGAGCTGCAAGAGTAATATGCTCGCTTTCATCAACGGAAAGATCTTTATGTTGTATTGATTGCCCAAATAGATGCGGTGGTAATGAATGTTATTGAATTGATGGTCAACATATGATTCAGAAACTCCGAAATTAGTAGAGGTGGCTAAAAAGGTATTATTTAATTTTACTATTTATTAAATATTATTTTATATATTATTAATTCAATTGATTTTTTTAAGGAGAAATATTTTTGCTCACCACTTTAACCCAAAGTGTACCCTCATCACCCTTCTCAACACTTGACACGTGTCCATTGGCATAACCATAGTTAACTCTTTACTTTATAAACCATAGTTATGTCAATAGACACTATCAAATGTTAAGAAGGGTGGTGAGGGTATACCTTAGGTTAAAGTGGTGAGCAAAAATGCTCCCTTATTAAGGTGTTTGCTCAACCAATATCAAGTTCATTGAATGAAAGAATATGGAGCACATAAGTGCGAAGAGAAATAAGTTGAGTACTAGCAGAGTTGATCAATTGGTTTTTATCCATTCCAAAATTTGTCTACAATCTCCTTTTAGTGAAAGCTACAGGTATGAACGTTTTAAGAGATGAGATATTGATTCCTAATAAAAGCTTGGATGATTTTGTTGCAAGATTGGAGGACCTGCGATGGAAATATTTGGATGGTGATTATGTAGGCGAAGCTGCAAATGAAGATGATGTAGCATCATCTTCACGTTATACTACATCCACTAATGAAGGAAGCTCAAGAAACACTTCAAAAAGCAAGGGGAAACAACATGTTTAATGACATTATTCCTAAATAAACTTCTCCTAGACACAACTTTTATTTTCCTAAATAAACATGTTTAATGACATTGTTCTAAATAAACTTCTTCTAGTTTTTTTTGGTGATGGTCAATTTTTGTGTGTGATGTTTATGTCATAATTTTAATTTTTGTACTTAATTGGTTTATTTAATTTGCACAACACCCATTGTCCACCATACATTCACTTTTCCTTGAAACTCTAACCTAACACAACATTCCAAACGCCACCCTTCCAAATTCCCTGTAAGTCTTCTTTTTTTAAGTCAAGAAGGCATCTTCATCCCACACGTCACCAATCAAGAAGGCATATTTTTTTGAGTCAAAGTTCATCTTAAACTAAAACTCTTGGTTATCTTCTCACCAAGACAAATCGTCAGCCATGGATACACTGCCAAATAGAGGTACGCAATCTTCTTTTCCTGTCTATGGTTCGATTACGATCTTGGTCGTGAACTCACCTCGATTCAGAACAGCTGAACCAGTTCATGGTTTGCTAGAGGAAGGGAGGAGTGAATTAGGCAACTCTGATTAACAGCTTCCCAAGTAAGGTGGAAATGAATTCTCTTTAATTTTTTCAATTTTTCTTATCGCTCAAAAGTGAAAAATATTTAAGAATTTGCAAAAGATATGACAAATTTGTTCAAAATTGTGGTAATGAGTACCTTCATCAATTGAACATGTGGTTGGCCTTGTTATACTAGATATAAGTTATTGTAAAAATCACTTATAAAAGTGTCTTTGGTTTTTTGAGGTGCGATATGTAATTTGAAGTCTCTTCTATGGTTTGACTACTAAGCTTGGATATGCACCTACATATGGGATGAATTTGTTTTGTGACAACAAGGCCATGATATCCATTGCACATAATCCAGTTCGGCATGATCGCAAACATGTTGAAGTGGATGGACATTTTATCAAGCAGAATCTCAAGACAAAGAAATTTAGTTTCCTTTTTTAAGATAGAAGAATAGTTGGCAGACATATTAACGAAGGCCGTTTCTGGTAAGGCGTTCCACAACTCACTGGACAAGTTGGGCATCGACGACATTTATGCACCAACTTGAGGGGGAGTGTTGGCGTGACTTGTGACTAGCAGTTGACTTCCCTTGCACGCTAATGATTCCTATATTAATTGTAATTGATTTCCTTTTATTTCTGATTTCCTATTGAACATGGCCTCCAAGGCTTTATTGTACTATAAATATGGTCTCCTACAAGGAGAATAATACACAAAAAATTCCCACAACCATTATTCTCTCATATTTTAGCACTTTAAATGTGTAATGCTATACATTTGAAGGAGGTTAACCTCCAAACTTCTAATTCTTACATAAACCCTAGATATATGTTACATCTGAAAATTTATAAATGGTTCAAATAGGCTGAGTGCATGATCTCAAGCTTATAACTAGTCTTTTCCTACACCAGTTTGAGGCCTAATGACTGCTTTGCATCTCCAATGGGATTTTCCAGTTTGTTGCAATATCTTTGGAGCAGAGGAAGAGAGATCATAGGAAGATAATTTACTTTAGTTAGTCGGGACTGTTCGTAAACCACGCCTCCCAACCATTGCCTTCAGTCGCTTTCCCTATGAGGGAAAAGCCCTTTCCAAATGGAGTAGTGTATTTCTGTCGCCCTACAGATAGAAGTTCCTATCTCTATTGCCTATCCAACCTGAAGACTCTTATTTGTGGTGGAGTGCTTTGGGTTTGGGTGTTTAAATCAAAATTCCAAAACTTAAAATCAATTAAATCAATTCTATTATCTTAGTGTTGAGTTTGAGGGCTCCTCCACAAATTTGGAATAAGCCCATAGTCCTAAATCTTTTTGTTGCATCCAGGTCAATAATACGAAATGGTACAATAATCGTTTGAGTAACTCAACATTCGAGTTTAAAATTTTACACAAATGAATTTGATCAAATGGTTTTGCTTATTAGGAAATGATATTCAAGATGTTGGATCAAAGATGCATAGCTATCCAAATCACCGTCCCATATCTTATTCTCCCAAAAGCAACCCAAGATTGCTAATTTGACTTCACTATTGACTAATAAGATGGAATCCAAGTCGAGTTCTTGATGAACAAAGTTGTAGGTTGATCTCAAATGCATCAGTGCCTCTAATAAATCCATTAGTATCTTGATCAATTATGGTGTCATCATTTGTTTATCATCAAATGAGTAGGTTTGTCTAAACCTAGTATCGAAGTGCACAATCCACATTATGAGTTATCATAAAAACTTTTTCAGCTTGATGTTGGATATATAGCTGAGATACAATAGCCATTTACTTCAAGGTCATAACTTGACAAGGTATTTAATTTATTTCATGGGTGATGTTAAATGAACCCTAAAATTAACTGAGTACACCTTATGATCTAAGTACACCATAATATTTAAATCAAAATGTAAAATTAACTAAGTACACTCTATTTAACTACCAAAAATACTCATAGTACACCCTAATACACTCTATCACACAACACTAACCCCATTCGAGAGCTGGTTGCCGAACACTATCAAACTACCAAACCCACCTTGTTGCCGAACTTGCTGCTTAACCCACCAAAGCTGCCGACCAATACTTCAAGGTATGTAACTGATTTTTTGTTTTTTCCAAATTTTGTCAAATATTAGACTCAATTTTACCTTATAGTCTTGGCATTGGTAGTATTTGGGTTATGAATTAGGTTAGATTGAGGTTGTGTAACAAAATTTTCATTGCTGAAATTGTTATTACAAATTCAGATAGGTTATGTGCACATTCGATGTAACTAGTCGTGGAGACAGGCATGATTTGGAGATGAGTTTGGTCTGTCAACTTCCTGCGTTTTATTCCAAATTTGGGTTGTCGCGGGCACATATTATTCTTTCTTTATAATTCATGTGGCTGTGATATATTATTTGATGAGGTACTGCCAAAACCAATTTAACCATTTGAAAAACCAAGTTGGGAAAAATAATGCTTACAAAGATATATGGGGATGTCTAATTCCAGGAAATAGATTTGATGATATTGAAGGCTTGTGAATCAGAGGAACTTATTAGATTAAGGAACAAGTTGATCAATCAACAATTCAATATGGTGAATAGTATGTACTTATTAATATTATGTTTGTTTCACAATTCAATATATCCTTTTTGTTCATTTTATATTAGGGTAAATTAGTAATTCAATAAATAGTGTGGTAGTAGGAGGGTATACTCACATAATTTTAGAATTCGTTACCCTATTTCATTTCACATTACTAAAATGTTTAAAATCAACTTTTGAAATATTAAACAATAAAAAATAATAGCACTTTGTTTTGCAATTAGGCTAAAATCACTATAAAAAAAATGAGTATTGAGTTCAGGCTTAAACCACCAAACTGCTTGAACCTAGTCGTTTAACAGTTGTTTAATTTGTTTTGATTTCACCCCTCATTCCATAACTCATCGCTTAACGGTTGATTGATATAAAATGGCAGTTTGAGGGTGAAATCAAATCCATATGGGAGTGTGCTCACCCTAAGAACACTTCCACCGCAAGGGTTTAGCCCAGGTAGGAGGGGGCCCTAGGCTTGTGAGACGATTTCAGCGTGCACAAAGCAGCCCGAGCAAGACGTGGGGACCACCAACTTGGGCAAGCCCAAAGGCAGATCTAGCCCGTGTTGTTGCCTAGGTTTGTTGATGTTGTGCTGACGCCAAGTTGGCCTCAGTGCGCTTTTCAAATTGTTTTCACATCACCTAGAGTGTCCGATTAAATTTTCCATTGCAATTCAACGATTGCAATTTTTTATGTAATAAAAATTGAGAAAAATACCAAAAAATAATGCATTTTTTTCTATAAAGTTTAAGTATAAAAAATAGAAAATAAATTAAAGTGAATAGTAATTGTCCTACTCTTGCCCATAAGGGTGAAAATAAAATTGAAAGGGCTGTCACTATTTGAATAAAGACAACTCTTGCTTTGCCCTTGTCTATAGGAGTGGAAGTGCTCTAATAAGAAGACATAATTTTTTACTGAAAAAAAATAAGATAACGGAATTTTTTTCGGCCCTATTTTATTATTCAAACAAAACAGAGAGAATGAAGAGACAGAAAGACCAAAAAGCAAGTGTCAAAAGAAAATTGAGATAATCCTCTCCTCCTCCCACCTTTTTCCCCTTCTGTTTCGAGCTCTCAGCATCTTTTTATTATTTTCCTACACTTTCTCATATGTAAAAAAATTTAAAAATAAATATAATTCCACCTCTCTCTCTCTCCCCTCCGCCCTCTTCTCTCTCTCTCTCTCTCTGGAGTTAAAGCTGTTTCTCTCTCTTCTGCAACTCATAATCAAAATCAGATCATACTCACCTGGATTTTCTCACCTTTTCCCTCACTTTTTCGCCTGGATTCTCTCTCACACTGACTCGAGTCAGTAAGTCTGTGACTCACCAAGTCACCGATTCCGTAATTCTCGGAAACACTAAACTCTCGCCTCATTTCTCTCTTGGTTTCATTCACACTGGACGAAGCTTGTGGACTTCACCCGAAGACTCCAAGCCTTTGATTTCTGTACAGTTCGGCAGCTGAAGCTGAGAAAATTGGATTTGAAGTAAAGTGGCTACGATGGTAGATGTAAGTGTCGGTGGCGATTTGGGGCTGTTTGGGAGCGAGGATATGGGGTTGGACTTGGAGACTGAGTTGAGAATCGTTCAATGGCAGTGTTTGGTTTTGAGAGTGAATGAGTCCCGGATTGGGGTTTAGAATTTAGAGTTGTTTAGGGCTTTTGAGGAGAAGAAGAAATGTCGCGGACTGATAGGATGCCTTCCGATCTTAGCAGGACCGGGCCGGTCGAAAGAGACATCGAGCAGGTATTGTTCTACGAATTGTTTTCGATTCTTTTGCGGTTTCAGTTGGATCATCTGCAATTTTAATGGATTAGCTGAAATGTTGAATGCCTAGTGTATTATAATTTACTTAAACGAATTTGAAGATATCATTAACCTCAAGTTGAGTGGTTTGTCTTGTGGTATGGGATGCTATTTTGGTGGCGATGATGATGCTGTTTCGGGTTTTCTTCAATGTCATCAAGTAGCATTGTGTTGCTTTTAGCGTGAAATAAATTGTTGAAGGAGATTGTAACTTATGGCATTTGTAGCGACTGTAACTCATGGAATTTGTAGGAGCGCATTTAGATTTAGTCATGGACTTGAGTAATTGCTAACATTGATATTTGGGTTGTTGTTCAAATGGGGATGACAGACAGTTGACTATTTGGGTTTATCTGTTTCAGTGTTTCCTGTTTTTAAACATTGGCTAATCAGGCAATGCCTGGTTTCTTTTTCTTCTGGTCATGTTATTGGTATTTTCATTTTGCTGCCTTTTGAGATATGGATTGGGGGTTGGGTTTGGTTGCTCTAAGCTCAGCAATGACAGAATGTAGTTTACTTTATGAGTCTATCAATGGGGTTGCGGTTACCTTGTACATAAAAGAATGCAAAACACCAATTAAATTGATCATCAATCTGAGTAAGTCTTGGTCAGCTATCTGTTGCTGTAATCTTTTCTATGGTGTTCACTGTTTTATCACAGACAACGAATTTTCTTTATATAGTGGTATACAAATATGAGAAGGTCAGGGAACTGAAACTGGATCAGCAGCAGTATTTGTTCCTTGCAAATGATGATGGCTGATGCACATAATTTGGAAAACATGAAGGATGTTTGAAGTGGTTTCAGTATAATTGTATCCATTCAAAAGGTACCGGTTAGTGACCATGGGATACCAAAGCAAAAATTAAAATAAAAGAACCAAAAACAAAAAACAGAAAAGAAGAAGAAGCAGATGAAGAAGAAAGGGGTTAGTGGAATAGGATCTTTCTTTGATGATAATCGGTGGCAATAATTGAATGATGATGAAAACAAATTAATTTTTTTTTAGATCTGGAGAATCAGAACGTTCTCCCTCATCCGAATCCTCCCTTGCCGATATGTTACTCTTCCCAAAGAGTGAATTGTCGGGAGTGGTTACTGTCATCTTTAGTTAATTCAATTTGATTATCTATCGATTAAATTTAGTATGGCCTCACCATGACATTACCTGGTCCCATGATTATTACGCTATATAAGATTATGGGTTTCTGGAAAATATTAAAATATGGTGAAACTCAATATGAAGTCTTAAAAGGAATCGTAATACTAGAACTCATTTTGAATTCTTGCTCCTGCGTATTTATGCACTTCTTCCTTAATATATCTATTTTCTCTTCATATTTTATATAGCTAGGTGATTAATGCATATGCAATTTACTTATCGTTTCCTGTACTTCTCTATAGTTCTTCTTCTTAGTATTTTCTTCCCATATGAAAATGTGCTGAATATGCTTAACTTAGATTCTTGATTGTTCTTTACTACAGGCTATTACTGCTCTGAAGAAGGGGGCATACTTGCTCAAGTATGGAAGAAGGGGGAAGCCTAAGTTTTGTCCCTTCCGTCTTTCCAATGTAAGTTTGGTCCTGAATTTCCTGATTTACTATTGTAATATGGTATGTGTGTCTGCCTTTCTTCATATCTATTTTGTTCTTTTCTTTTCCTTGCAACAGTATCATATGCATCCTTTTCTCCCACATTTGAATGTTTTTCCTTTCTGATAATCAGTTCATTTGAAACTAGATTTCTTCTCTGCCCCTCACCCCCAAAAGGTATGAGAATGGGTTGGTTTTGGGACCCAGGAGCCCACCTCAAACCCATACATAATTATGGGATCTTAGCCCAACCTCGTCCCAAATCGAAGACAGCTTTAACAGACGGAGTGTGGAGTAATGTGGTCTGTCTTGTATGTGTGACCACGCATGGAAAAAAAAAAAAAAAAAAAAAAAAAAAAAAAAAAAAATAAAATCTTTTCTCTATCTAAGGATAAATCCAAAACTATAAATATAGAGCACAAAGGAACTGATGATCAGAGATTCTAGCTCTGTAATTAGGGTTATTTCTCATTGTTGAAACCTCTTTCTGCATATCGGTGGGTGTTATGGTATTCTTTTCTTCTGCAACTCTATTTATCTCTCAGAAATGCAGAGCCATATAACTTTTACGCACCTCAATAGTACTTTTACTCACCCAGAAAGGGTCTCATTGTAAGGAATTGGATAATAAAAGCAATAAAATTTCTGCAAGTAGGTTTATTGACAGCTAAAGCATTGTTGGTTTGAGCTGTATGCAACAATGCTTTTAGCTGTATTCATTGTTTCCAAAAGTAGTCATACAGAGTTCTAAACACTTAATATCCATATGAGATAATAGTATCGTAATTTGTGCCAACTCAAATGCCAAGTAACAAATTGAGAAAGTTAAAGTTATAGTAGCTTTAGTGCCATCTCTGAACAGAGGAAGATTTAACTACATTAACATCTATTCAGCAACAAATAAATCAGGCTGAATGATCAGGTAGTATTAAAGTAATTAGCTACCCCTATGCTGGTTCCTCTGCAACCCTTTCATTGGATCCCTTTATTATCAACAGTCATATATGATGTTTATTCATGGGCATGTAACTGTGGTTAAAAGTTGTGCACTCTTCAATACAGTAGTTTCGTGACCCGTCTTTGCATTCTTGCTTTCAGGATGAGTCAGTTCTAATATGGTTCTCTGGGAAAGAGGAAAAGCACCTTAAGCTAAGCCATGTGTCTAGAATTATTACTGGGCAACGCACCGTAAGTGTCTCACTGTTAAGACATCTGTATATCTGTACTTCACATGTTCGTTAATATATTAATGAATATTAACAATGTGGTTGCATGGCTACATAATGTGATGATTTTTGTGATTGAAAGATGGTTGCAACCCTGAAAAGGTTGCTATTATTTTGATCAATTGCTTGTAAATTTTGTTTTCAAAATAATTAGAGTACATATTAGCCATAATTTTTGTCCAAACCTTGCATAAGCTGATTTGGAGTTGGATAGAATCAGTTACATCTGTTTTAACCTCAGCCTGGCACCTTATTTTGGCTACTCTTTTTAGATAAGTTCTGTGTGTAATGGGCCTCAGTTATTTTGCCAACTTCTTGCTCCTTTAATGCACGAATGCATTCAGGATGCAGTTGTGCTGATACCCATTTCTTGACCAGTGATTCCCCTTGTTCTTGAAGCTTATAGCTTACGTTAAAGCATACTTTGCACTTTGAAGAATGAGGTACAAGTTTACCTGTTTTTCTTTTTTCTATCTTTTGTCTCTCGATCATGCCATTCTGGATCGTAGGAAGCCTTGAATTTCGCTGCTCATATGCCGTTTCTTGCTCTTTCTCCTTAAATTTGTTGGTGTTCTAACAATGGTTCCTTTGTAATTTTTTTTTGAAGTATTGTTATTTTGTGATACGTGTAAAACTCGTGCTTTCTCATTATCACTATTGCATCTCAGTGATTATGCCTGCATATGTTTTTTCCCATGATTGATTTTTGTTTGTGTTTTATTTAAACCAGAAGCTCCATGTGTTTATACATCTGCAGTAAATTGATGTTAAGTTTTGCTTAAAATAGAAAGATAATTGATGTCAAGTCAGAAGTTTTTCTGTTTTGTACTGATCAGACATGGTCTCTCATTCTTCCAGCCAATCTTTCAAAGGTATCCACGCCTTGAGAAGGAGTATCAGTCATTTTCTTTAATATATAATGACAGATCACTAGATTTGGTAAGATTTATTCTACTTATATCCAGGTCTTCATATAATAGCTTCTATTCTACTGTCAAATTAGAAAGCTTTTACTATTGTTTTCTTAAATTTAGTGATCTGTTTCTTCTGCAGATTTGTAAGGATAAAGATGAAGCTGACGTATGGTTTAGTGGTTTAAAAAGCATTGATATCCCGCAGCCATCATCGAAAATTGAGAACAGAGTCAAGGAGTGATGGAATTCCATCTGAAGTCAATAGTCCTAGAACATACACGCGTAGAAGTTCTCCTCTTAATTCTCCATTTGGTAGTAATGATAGCTTGCAGAAGGTATGGTTTCTTGTTCCTTTGTGTACTTTTCTTCACTTATGCTGAAAATTGAATTAAATCCTTTGTCTTTTGTTCAATTCAGGATAGTGCAGATCACCTTCGCCTTCATAGTCCATATGAAAGTCCTCCTAAAAATGTCTGGATAAGGCACTATCAGATGTTATACTGTATGCTGTTCCTCCCAAGGGTTTCTTCCCTTCAGATTCAGCCAGTGGTTCAGTACATTCTGTGTCATCTGGTGGCTCAGATAGTGTACATGGGCAGATGAAGGCAATGGCAATGGATGCTTTTAGAGTTAGTCTATCCAGTGCTGTTAGCTCATCAAGCCAAGGATCTGGACATGATGATGGTGATGCCTTGGGGGATGTTTTCATGTGGGGAGAAGGCACAGGAGATGGTGTTGTGGGTGGTGGTTCTCATAGAGTTGGAAGTAGTAATGGTGCAAAAATGGATTCTTTGTTGCCCAAAGCCTTGGAATCTGCAGTTGTACTTGATGTCCAAAACATTGCCTGTGGTGGACGACATGCTGCTTTAGTGACTAAGCAAGGGGAGATTTTCTCTTGGGGAGAGGAATCTGGAGGCAGGCTTGGGCATGGTGTTGATGTTGACGTTTTGCATCCAAAGCTCATTGATGCACTTAGTAATATGAACATTGATCTTGTTGCTTGTGGTGAGTACCATACTTGTGCTGTTACCCTTTCTGGTGATCTGTACACATGGGGTGATGGAACTTACAATTTTGGTCTACTTGGACATGGAAATGAAGTGAGTCACTGGGTGCCCAAAAAGGTGAATGGACCCTTGGAGGGTATACATGTCTCATCAATATCTTGTGGACCCTGGCACACAGCTGTTGTAACCTCGGCTGGGCAATTGTTTACTTTTGGTGATGGTACTTTTGGTGTTCTAGGCCATGGAGATCGAAAAAGTGTTTCAATTCCCCGGGAAGTGGAAAACTTAAAGGGCCTTCGCACTGTGCGAGCAGCTTGTGGTGTTTGGCATACTGCTGCCGTTGTAGAAGTCATGGTTGGGAATTCAAGTTCCAGTAACTGTTCTTTAGGAAAGTTGTTCACTTGGGGAGATGGTGATAAGGGTAGGCTTGGGCATGGTGACAAGGAAGCAAAACTTGTGCCTACCTGTGTTGCTGCTCTTGTAGAACCCAACTTTTGTCGAGTTGCTTGTGGACATAGTATGACCGTTGCACTTACAACGTCTGGCCATGTCTACACAATGGGCAGTCCTGTTTATGGTCAGTTAGGAAATCCTCAAGCTGATGGAAAGCTCCCCACTCGAGTTGAGGGAAAGCTCTCGAAGAGTCGTGTGGATGAGATTGCTTGTGGTGCCTATCATGTTGCAGTTTTAACTTCAAGAACTGAAGTTTATACTTGGGGAAAAGGAGCAAATGGTCGTTTAGGTCATGGGAATATAGATGATCGGAGTTCCCCAACGTTGGTTGAAGCTCTGAAAGATAAACAAGTCAAAAGTATTGCTTGTGGTGCTAATTTTACTGCAGCTATCTGCCTGCATAAATGGGTTTCAGGAGTTGATCAGTCAATGTGTTCGGGTTGCCGCCTTCCATTTAACTTTAAAAGAAAGCGCCATAATTGTTATAACTGTGGGCTTGTGTTTTGTCATTCATGCAGCAGTAAGAAGTCACTTAAGGCTTCTATGGCACCAAACCCCAACAAACCTTATCGTGTCTGTGATAACTGCTTTAATAAACTGAGAAAAGCTGCTGAAACTGATACTTCATCACAAAATTCTATGAGCAGAAGAGGAAGTATCAATCAGGGGTCAAATGAGCTTATTGATAAAGATGATAAATTGGACTCCAGATCTCGTGTGCAACTTGCCAGATTTTCTTCGATGGAATCTCAGAAGCATGTGGAAACCCGTTCTTCAAAGAAAAATAAGAAACTAGAATTTAACAGCAGTCGAGTCTCACCTGTTCCAAATGGAGGTTCACAGTGGGGAGCTCTCAATATTTCTAAATCTTTTAATCCAGTATTTGGGTCATCGAAGAAGTTTTTCTCAGCTTCTGTCCCTGGATCAAGGATTGTTTCTCGAGCTACATCCCCAATTTCAAGGCGCCCCAGCCCACCTCGTTCTACAACACCAACTCCAACTCTGGGTGGACTTACATCACCAAAGATTGTTGTAGATGATGCTAAAAGGACAAATGAAAGCCTTAGCCAGGAGGTTATCAAACTGAGATCACAGGTACCCACTACTTTTCATTTTATTTTGCACAAGTAGAGAATAGGTGCGCAGCACTCTAGTAAGCCAGCTGCTTGTGAAAATTGAGCTTGTTTACTTGATTGTCTTTTTCTCCTTTCACCAATTTTTATTGATGAAATAAATATTTGTCTATGGACCTCTGTACCACTTAATTTCAACTTAACATATTTCATTTTGGATAGAAATGTTAAACATTTAAACATCCAGTATTTGAAATGTGTCCTGATGAATATGTGGATTACTATAGGCAAGCATGCCTTTTAAATATTTCATTGCTGGTCTGATGCTTAAAATTCTCAAGTAAATGCCTCTCAACTGTATGAAAGGCTACTTAAACTTTTAAATGATGCATAACAGTGAAGGAAGAGATTGGTAAACATCCTTTTATCTCCAAATCAGTAGCAACAATTCCAGCATAAAGTGGTTAGTTTGGTGTTTTGGTTTACAGTAAATGTGTTAAATGACTCACATATTTACTAACATAGGACCACGTAGGTTAAGAGTTTCTTTCAGGTCCATCATGGGTCAGTTATGTTCTTTTGGGTTTGACATTATGCAAACCAAATTTCGAACTGAAACCTAACCAATTTTTTATGACGATAGTTATTTTCTCAGGTCTGAGTTGATAGGGATTTTAAAATACTTTAAACAGGCTGAAATGGTTTTTGGTTGACTTGCTTGTTCCATCTAAACTTAATGCATTTGTAGTTGGATTGGCCTGGATTTTTAGGGCATCTGCCTATGATCTATCTTTGGTGAACGATTAGGCAAGTGCTTATTGATAGGGTACAAGGCAAAGCATAAAGTAAGTGGTTTAGGAAGTAAATTAATCAGCTATTTTAGCTTGCAAGAATTTTAAGCAACCACAAGAAAGTCTCTCCAACTTTTTGTATTTATGATAATAACTATATACAGTGCAATGGTAGATACCAAAATGCCCCTCCCCTCCCAACAAAAGAAATTGTTTCTTGACAAAAAGATGAAATATGCCTTTTGTTCAAATGAGTGCCAAATATAATTTAATACGCGATAGAATTTCAAAAAAATCAAGATGGCAACTAGCCATAATTTTTCTGGACAAAAATTCATCAACAGGTAATTGAATTTGAATTTTGTTATTTTCAAATTAGAGGCAGACAATGATGCATGAGTTTTTGTGCTCAAGTGACTAAGCAATTAACAATAAGAAAAAGAAAGAGCAAAAGCTAGAAAATGAAACAATCATGTTAGTTTTTCAAATAGAAAAATGATTGTTTTCTTAGATAAGATAAGAAACACAGCAAGAGAGAAAACAAAGGAAAGAGAAAAATTAAGCAATTGAAATAATCATGTTAGTTTTTCAATTTGTAGCAACACGACTGTTTTCTTAAATAATTGATTTTATGATTCTACTTTGATCTAAGAAATGTTGTTGGGCTGTCCGTACCCTTCATATTCATTATCTAGGACCCAACATTCATATTAGGCTTGTTCAATTTTGTCTTTGTGCATTATGTCTGACTAGTTTTTATCTCTTAGGTTGAAAGTCTTACTCGAAAGGCCCAACTACAAGAGGTTGAGCTGGAAAGAACAACTAAGCAGCTGAAGGAAGCAATAGCAATTGCAGGTGCAGAGACTGCAAAATGCAAAGCAGCAAAGGAAGTGATCCAGTCACTTACTGCCCAAGTAAGATAGATGTTTACGTGTGTTGGTAAAATAGTTATTGAAATTCACCAACCATTGTGTCAAATGTAGCCTGTTAGTTAGATTGACAAATAATTGTTATTTTCCAACCATTGTGCCAAATGTAGTCAGTTAGTTAGATTGATAAATAATTGTTCTTGATAAATACACGATTGAATTCTACCTAGAGTTATTTTTTACCAGAAATAGTAAAGAAATGGGTTCACCTCAGTTTGATTTATGGTTTTCATTTGACATGTAGTGGCTGCTTGGTTAGTATCTCTGCTAGATATTCAAGTTGTTCTATCTCACGTCATAACAAATGTGTTTTACATGTTAAACCACATGGGATGATGTTTCATTGTCATGTGTAAATTATCTACTGTTCGATGTAATTTTCCCGAGTCAGTTCTGGAGATCTATTAAGCGGTCAGACCGTTGTAATAAAGCTTACTGTGTATTTTCACTTATGCTCTGGTTGGCCTAGTCTTGCTGATGGTTCATTTTGTGTTTCCTATATGGTGACCAGTTGAAGGACATGGCTGAAAGGCTGCCTGTTGGAGCAGCGCGGAATATTAAATCACCTTCTCTTGCTTCTTCCTTGGGTTCTGATCCTTCCAATGAAGTTTCTTGTGCTTCGACTGACCGATTGAATGGTCAAGTAACATGCCAAGAACCAGACTCCAATGGATCAAATAGCCAGTTGCTTTCTAATGGGTCCAGCATCACTGGTACCCGCAGTTCAGGTCACAACAAACAAGTCCATCCTGATGTAGCAACTAGAAACGGGAATAGAATTAAAGAAAACGAATCTCGTCATGAATCTGAATGGGTTGAGCAAGATGAGCCTGGTGTATATATTACACTGACTTCCCTACCAGGAGGTGCAAAGGATCTCAAGCGAGTCCGCTTCAGGTATACTGTACTTACCTACATAGCTATATATGTGCGTTCATGTGGTTGGATTTTTCTTTTGATGGGAGTGCATATATACAAGGATAATGTTTTCTTGTCAGACTGGCATGTATGAATTTGGGCCACACTTTCAGGCAAGAAATATTTTGCAACATAAAATCGTCTAGCACTAAAACATTTTCGTCTGTATATATGTGTGTATGTGTAAATATAGAGAGATTGAGTGTCTTTTAGATCCATTATATAAATATAGCATAAAATCTTTATACTTAGAGTATTCAACTCTTTATCATTGTTGAATGCAGTCGGAAGCGATTTAGTGAGAAACAAGCAGAAGATTGGTGGGCAGAGAACCGGGCAAGAGTGCATGAACAATACAATGTGCGCATGGTAGACAAGTCTAGTGTAGGCGTCGGGAGTGAGGACTTGGCTCGCTGATATGTGAAACAGTCATTTGTACATGAAATGATCTTTTTTCAGATTCAAGCTTGGGTTACTAAGGTCGTACTGGTTAATTAGCATTGGCTTTTATTCTTATAAAGGATTGAGAGAAGCAAGGCTTGGTATAGGAGAGAGAATTTAGATGGGTTTGATTGCCTCTTTTTTTGGTACCATTTTTCCTTGATCTCTATTTTTTTTTCACCTTGAGTATGTATTCCATTTTTTCCCTATGTTCCTTGTGTGGGGGTTTGAGGGTGAGAAATGTAAATTCCTATTAGGTTGCTGGCTTTTGTGGAAAGCAGCCGCCATGTAAATTCCATAAGCGAGTGCATCTGCAGATTTGTTTCTTTCGTTTCGGCAATGGTTTATAAATGTGTTCAGGTAATGATGTAAGCAGCTGTAACTTGTAATATATGTCGAAAGGCGATGGTTTTTTATTTCTTGATATAAATGATATTGGGGAAGGGGGTTTTCATGAGTAAGTAACTACTTGAGCTACAAGTTTCTTGATTATTGTATGTCGAAAGACAAATCTATGTCGAAAGACAAATCTTGATTAATCTGATATCTCTGACATAAAAATTTGAGCAAATCTCTTTCATCCTCCGTGGTCAGTCCTAATTAATAAAATGACATCCCAACGAATAAAACTTACAGCTTAATTATTTAAGTATTGGGATGAACTAAGAGAAGTGTGAGGTTTAAATAAAAAATTTCTTAGTAATTTCTCAGATGTGTCTGTTCATCTACTCTGAAAAAAAAATCAACGAACATGAGAATTAGGCTTAGGGTGAGATTTTTTTATGGGGTTTGGTATTCATATTACCGACTCAAAATCTCACACAATACAATATTTAATGAAATATCTTAAAATTGGTAAGTAATTGAATGCCACCAGACTTTAATCATTACTTAAAATTCCTAATTGAATACCATTACTTTTTACAAGTATTAAAGAGCATTTGTCCATACATAAGAGCTTTGTGCTCCATTCCCTGGTCACGCAATATCGTTTGTATACTGAAGAAATACAGAAAACAGACTCAATTATTACAATTCACGACAATCACATTTAACTCTTCAGTCCTCCCTCGCAGCTATTTCACAAAATCAGTGACTACTTCATCCCCATTTCTTCGTCCACCAACAAAACACACACACACGCTTACATTAAAGTTGCATTAAAGAATATTCTCCGTCATTCTCGTCGGTTTTTTTCTGCTACATCTTCAATGGACGCCGCAAAATTATTAAGTCTCTTAAGGACATGTATCATTTCCAAGTCGCTGAAGCAAGGCGAGCTCATCCACCAAAAGATGCTCACTCTGGGCTTACAGAACGACCCTGCCCTCTGCAAAAACCTCATAAACTTTTACTTCTCTTGCCATTTTTGTGATAGTGCAAAGCTTGTTTTCCAATCCATCGAAAACCCATCCAGTATTTCCTTGTGGAATGGCGTCATGACAGGTTTCACGAAGAACCACATGTTCGTTGAAGCTCTTGAGCTCTTTGAAAGTTTACTGCGTTACCCTTATGTTGGTCCTGATAGTTACACTTATCCAAATGTTCTTAAGGCCTGTGGTGCATTGGGTCAAGTTGGTTTTGGGAAAATGATCCATAACCATTTGATAAAGACTGGTTTCGTATCAGATATTGTGATTGCCAGCTCTCTTGTGTGCATGTATGCTAAATGCAACGTGTTTGACTGTGCTATACGGCTGTTTGATGAAATGCCTGAGAGGGATGTGGCATGTTGGAATACTGTAATTTCTTGTTATTATCAAGATGGGCAAGCTCAAAAGGCAATGGAATTGTTTGAAAAGATGAGGAACTCTGGCTTTACGCCTAATTCAGTAACGCTGACAACTGTTATTTCATCATGTGCAAGACTTTTTGATTTGGAGAGAGGTATGAAGATTCACAAGGAGTTGATAAAAGATCGGTTGGTTTTGGATTCTTTTGTTACTTCTGCTCTTGTGGACATGTATGGAAAATGCGGATGTTTAGATATGGCTAAAGAGGTTTTTGAGCAAATCCCAATAAAGAATGTGGTTGCTTGGAATTCTATGATCGCAGCATACAGTGTAACTGGCGACAGTATATCTTGTATCCAACTTTTTAGAAGGATGAATCATGAAGGAACGAGTCCCACTTTAACTACTTTTAGCAGCATATTGTTGGCCTGTTCAAGGTCAGCCCAACTGCTTCACGGAAAATTCATACATGCATTCATGATAAGAAACATTATAGAGGCTGATATCTACATTAACAGCTCACTTATTGATCTCTATTTCGTGTCTGGAAGTGTGTCATCAGCTAAAAATGTCTTTGAAAAGATGCCTAAGACAAATACAGTTTCCTGGAATGTTATGATTTCTGGATATGTGAAAGTGGGTGATTATTTTGGGGCTCTGGCCATATATGATGACATGAAAGAAGCTGGTGTAAGGCCAAATGCCATCACAGTAACTAGTATCTTATCGGCTTGTTCACAACTAGCAGCACTGGAAAAGGGTAAGGAGATTCACAGAACTGTAATTGATAGTGAGTTTGAAACCAATGAAATAATGATGGGGGCTCTCCTTGACATGTATGCTAAATGTGGTGCGGTGGATGAAGCACTTAATGTTTTTAATAGATTACCAGATAGAGATCTTGTTTCATGGACCTCCATGATCACTGCTTATGGATCTCATGGTCAAGCTTTAGAAGCTTTAAAGCTTTTTGGTGAATTGCAGCAATCCAATGCAAAACCTGATGGAGTTACTCTTCTTGCAGTTCTATCTGCTTGTAGCCATGTGGGGCTAGTTGATGAAGGTTGTCACTATTTCAATCAAATGATCACCAGCTATGGAATTAAACCTAGAATAGAACATTACTCTTGCTTGATAGATCTTCTTGGACGTGCTGGAAGATTGAATGAAGCTTACGAAATTCTCCAAAGAACTTCAGAAATTAGGGAGGATGTTGACTTGTTAAGCACACTATTTTCCGCATGTCGTTTGCACAGAGATCTAGATTTGGGTGTGAAAATTGCAAGATTGCTAATTGAGAAGAATCCCGATGATCATTCAACTTATATCATGTTATCAAATACTTATGCTTCTGTCAAAAAATGGGATGAGGTAAAGAAGGTGAGATTGAAGATGAAAGAATTGGGATTAAGGAAAAATCCAGGGTGTAGCTGGATTGAGATTAACAAGAAGATCCACCCTTTCTTTGTCGGAGACAAGTCCCACCCACAATCAGAAATGGTATGTGAATGTCTCACATTTCTTGCCAGTCACATGGAGAGAGATGAGCTGCTTTCAAACTGAGCAGCAGGCATGGGTTATACTATATAGAAGCATTTACTTGTATACTTCACTGGAGAATAAACGCATATGGTCAGAATCCCTCGTATAGGATCCATAGAACTTTGTGTTCCTTCAGAGGGCAAGGAGATATGATATGGAACTTTGGTTCTTTGATTTATAGCGGTGACTTCTTTGCTAATTGGCAGCTGTGCTGAAACAAGGATGTTATCCTTGTGGCTTAAGATGAATGGCCGACCACTGGTTTCAAGTATAATCGGCACCTTGATGCAGATATGATAGAGGAAAATATAACACATCTTCTCCCGCTCTTATAGAAGTTGGAATCATCCAAGTACTGGACTGAAGGGAGAAAAGAAATTCACTCCTTTCTGGAATGCCGTACAAGTTTTGTTATGTTAAATTCTTTGTAGGGCTGCACATATCAAAGGATTCCATGTAAATTTTTAGCACTGCGTTACGTTATTTGAAGAATAAAGTGTTTTGATTATGCAACGGTTTCAAACAAAGAATTCTTGAATGATTAGTCCAGAATCCGTTGTCGTCCAGCGGTTAGGATTACTAGCTTTCGCCCAGGAGACCCGAGTTCGATCTCAAAAACGAAGCTGTTTATTTCCTTCTTCAATTAATACGGTTTGTTTTTATTGTTCATTCTTATTTTAAGTTTTCTCAAGAACTTATTCATTTCTTAGGGTTATTAAGCTACATTGGAGTCCTCCTCTCTCCTAGAGTTAAACTCAGCATTGTTTCTAAAAATGCTCTAGTCTCTGTGAACTGTATTTTATTTTTTATATATAAGTGACATTAGGGAAGGGAGGAATCGAACTTAAAACTACGAGTATAAGGATAAATACTCTTAACCACTTGAGCTCTAAGCCATTCTCTTTGAATTGTATTCTAGATGATGACGAAATGGACATGTATGCAGCGTTTAATAACGAGGGCTTAGACCTGCCAATTTAACAACTCAATAGAAGAGTTCCTATGTTCGAAACAACAATAGAATTTATATATATAATGTTGGAAGTAATGAATAGAAATCCGTTGTCGTCCAGCGGTTAGGATATCTGGCTTTCACCCAGGAGACCCGGGTTCGATTCCCGGCAACGGAATTTTTGAACTTTTTTTTCTTGCTTTTTTGGTTCCATTTCATTTTCAATTTCCAAATTTTCTCATAAATTAAATTAAATTTGGGTCAAAAAATAAATAAAGTAGGGTTTTCAGTTAAAGTGTTTAAGATTTATCCAAGTACAGCAGATACGACGCCAAGTCCAAGTTAAGGAAGGTCTGCAGCGTGCTGCGTGTTTGCTGGCCAAGCAACTTGAGCCCCACTCCCCGTCCTCCCTCCTCTCCTCCAAATCAACCATAAATAAAACCCTAAACCCACTTTCTCTCTCCATATCATCATCATTCTTCAGTCAAAAGAAGCTTAAACGCGTTCTCAAAAGGCTTGAGACACAGACAGATATGGCTAAGGAAAATAGCTGCTTGACACGCGTGGCAACCGGTGCTGCAATCGGTGGAGCCATCGGTGGTGCCGTCGGTAATTCTCTAAAATCCCTTTTCAAATTTTATTCGAAACCCTTGCTTTTGTTCTAGCGTTAGGGTTTAGGAACATGTAAATGTTTCCTAATTTGTGTGTTTTTTTCTTTCTGTTTTGATCTGCTGCATATCTTGGTTTGTGGAATCGTGCTTTTTCTCTTTTACAAGTTTCTTTTTAGTTCATCTGGGCACTTGGGATTTTATTTGTAAGAACGTTTTTAGAACGTGTAAATGCTTGTTCTTATGTTTGTTTTGATGTGCCTGGGGAAATTAAAGCGATTTAGAGGCATTCTAGTTTTTATTGTAAATTGGGATTTTTTCTGACACTTGTTTTTGGGGGGTCTTCAGTCACTAGGTAAAGTTGTACTCTTAAAATATGCGCACATTCTTGTTGTATAGATATAGCTCAGTCTATTTTGTTATGTTCCCGTGTCGTCGTGATGCATATGTATATGGTAGGTGGGCTCTTGTTAAAGCACTTTGTTGTTGTAATGTTTTATGTTGAGCTTGATACTTAATTAGAAGATGATATTTTCTGGCCACGATTATTTTTGCCTCTACTAAAATTCCTAGAGCTTTTCTGGCCACGATTCCATGAAAACTAGGATGGAAATCACTTAAGATAAATTAGTCAGCTAGCTTGAGAAAAAAGGGGTTAACATATGTTTGTTTTTTCTTGTATCACTAGTTCATGATTTGAAAGTCTAACCCTTGTCATTTGCATAATGTTATACAGTCATATTTTTATGTGTATGTACAGGTTCGGTGTATGGGACATATGAGGCTATAAGGTTTAAGGTACATTCTCGGATCTCATGCTGAACTTCCACTCAAGAGCTTGTAGTCATTATCATCTTTTGTCTGTTTTTTATTTATATATAAGAAGACCTAGATGAAGGATTTATGTTCTTTTTCTTAAGGTCTCAAAATTATTTTTGTTTTTTAGTTTGGTTCAAACAAATTGGATTCCTTGGTTGATCAATGTAAATTATTTAAGCTAGAGTCCATTTGGCATAGCTGCCACAAGTACACCTTTGCAAAGAGTCTCTTTTGGAAGAATAAATTTTTTTATGCTTCTCCAATATTCTGCATCTTTTTCTTTGGCGAAAGCATAAAAATCTTTAAGAGAACAGTCAAATAACAGAAAAATGTTATCTAAAGTGCTTTCTCTGAAATGGTTTTAATGGTGCTCCAGAAGGTCTGCCGAAGCGACCTTAGAACGATTGTTCTCTCCAATATAATGGCATTTAGTTAGAAAAAGTTTATTAATCCTTGAAGTATTTGTTAAATGTCTTCACAAGGTTTGGAAATTTCATGGTTTTGATTCTTCAAAAAATATTCTGTCAATAGTATCAGAAAACTTTTTCTTAAAAAAAAAGAAAAAAAAAGAACGTATAAGAAAACTTTAACCCAAAGGGGTAGCTCAATTGGTAAAGTGTTGTATCTCTGGAAACTAAGGTGCTCTGTTTGACTCTCTTCAAACCCTTGGGGCCAACTTCCCTACTGATGCAGCAGTTTGAAAGGGTATATATCTTTTCTAACTAAGCTGTTACTGCGGGATCAACTGTAGTTGTAGTTCTCATAGCTCAATAATGATTGAGCTTATTGTATTATATATGCTTGGCCAAATGAGAAATTAGACATAAATATCTTCTGGCTGATGCAGATGCCAGGGCTTCTGAAGATCAGGCACGTTGGACAAACAACACTTTCAAGTGCAGCTCTGTTCGGTCTTTTCTTAGGCGCTGGGAGCTTGATACATTGTGGGAGGAATTAAGCTCTTTCATGTATTAAGATGAACTGATTTTGTTCTGTTTACAAAGTTCCGCTTTTGAGCATGAAGTTAGATTCTATGGAGATATGGTGTGTTGTGGTGATTAGTCGTTTCTTCAAAGTCAATATTTATGTTTTGTTGTTTATGCTTTTAATGTTATTTTGGAATTTTGACTGTAGCTTATCTTTTCTTCCAGTTGCTGCACACCATGATATGATCGTATACTTCACATATTCTGTCTCTCAGCAATTATTATCTTTTTATTTTATTTTTAAGGTGATGCCAGTAATTCAATTGATGATTTCTTCTCCTGTTCTCACCTTGGGATGCATATAATTGTATTTTCTTGTCCATCACTTTGTAGGTTAGCTAGCTCATTGTATAAGATTCTTGACATCTCATTAGTCCTTTCTTTGTGAAAAAAGAAAGAAAAAGGATCAGTCACTTTTGGGTTAGCTGATTGTAGAAGTCTTGTGTATCTCGTTAATACTTCCTTCTAGATTCACAAGCCATGAATATTTAGAGCAACTTGTACTGTACCAGTGAGACCCAAAAAGTTGTGCTACATTGTAGCAGCTTCAGTGTCTCTTTTATAGCTTAAAATTTGGTTCCAGGGGCGTCTTGTATTAGAAGTTGTCACTTCCTTGCAACCACAACTTTCATTAAGTTTGTATTGCAATATCAATGAGCAAGTTTGATCATTGATGTTTGATGTATGTTATAATGGTATGCATCTTGCCAAGTTTGAACATGTTATTTAATTACAAATCATTCTTCAGATACATGCCTCAATATGAACATTATAAGAAGTGAATATAAAATTAAAGGCCAAAAGTTACTTTTGGTCCCTATATTTGGGCACTTCAATCACATTTGACTATGTAGTTTTAATTTTGTTAATTTCGTCATTGTAGTTTTGTGTTTGTAGCAATTCAAGAACAAGTTGGTATTCTTGTCAATTTCTTTGACTGTGCAAGGGGTAATTTTGTCAATCCAAATGGCCAATTTCAAGCCTTAATATGAAATATGGAGAGTTTAGTACGAGCTTTTACACTCAAGGGTTTTAGGTTGACTAAATTGTCCCTTGCACTATCAAAGAAATTGACATAAATACTAACTTATTGCCCTTGACTTGCTACAAATATGAAACTATATGGTCAAAATTGATGGAATTTAAACTACCGGGTCAAAAGTGGTTAAAGTGCCAAACTACAAGAATCAAAAGTGACTTTTAGGGCACTGGACTAAAAGGTCACTATTGTATTGATTTTTCATTTCACCCAAAAGTCTTCCTGGACTTCATCCGACCATAACTTATATACTAGTTTCAACCTTGTGTCTATCAATGCACATTATATGCGATATAAGCCCACAATGCAATTAAAGTTGGGGCTCGGATCAGGTGAGAACGGTAAAATGAGAACGGTAAAATGAGAACATTATACAAGAATTAATCCTAGCCATGCAAAGCCATCTAAACGTCTGAGGAGAAAAAGCAAGCTTACAATACAAACGAGTACACTGCACTTTCCCCTTAGCCCACGTGTTCTGTCGTGCTTTTTCCAATCCTGCCCAATCCCCTTGCCTTTGAATTCATTTTTTTAAGACTCCCTCTTATTCATCTCAATAAGATTATCCTCTCTCAATACAATCCCCTATTTTCTTTGGTCAGAATCGATACGGTTCTCTCGAATTCCCTCTCTCTTTGATATTAAGGTTTGCATTTACTTAATGTTTAATTTTTTTTAGGATTTTAGGGCTTTGATTTTCTAGGTTTAGGATTTTAAGGCTTTCATTTTTTGGGTAAGACTACTCTTTCTCGGTACTAGTTGTGTTTCCAAAAATATAAATTGGCTTCAGTTCCTTTGTGTGTTGTGTTTTCTAGTTTCTAATTTGTTAGTGTGTAGGCATTATGATTTTGCTTGGGGTTGAATTTTTTAAAATTACTGTTTCTCTACTATACATTAGTTGAACTTTCATGCATTTTTCAACTAGTTCAACATGTTAAGCATAGTAACTCTATATAAAGGTTTGCTGCTATTTAAATATTATTTCCTTTTTCCAAAATTTGGCTTTTTTTTTTGCTATTGTTTGTGGTAATTTGTTGAAGTGTAGATTCACAGTTGTTGCTTCTTCCTAGTTAATTTGCATCATAGATCCTTTAAGGTTTGTAGTTGCTGCTTTGCTTATCCTACTTCTTGCTTGTCTTTTCTTAAAATTCCAGGAACCTTTATCTGTTTGCTTGTCATCCTGCTTTGCCTATCTAGTGGTGTGAGTGTAGGGCATCATTTTAGTGATTTAATGGGGCTTGGAAAACAACTAATAAGTACCATTAGAAGTAGAATGCATACGAGAAAATTGAAGATCTAAAATGTGAATATGAGATGATTTGGGATGCATAAGGATCAATGCATCTTGTCAAGAAAGCATTTGCATACCTTGTTTCTATTTGTATGATGCTATGTAAATATATATTGGATCCCACATCGGTTGGTAGGTATCAGTTACCTATCTTAATGTGTTGAAAATAGTGTTAGTATGTATCAATTATGTATCTTAATGTGCTGAAAATAGTGTTGATAGGTAGCAGTTTTGTATCTTAATGTGTTGAAAATAGTGTTAGTAAGTATCAGTTTTGTATTTTAATGTGTTGAAAATAATGTTAGTAGGTATCAATTTTGTATATTAATGTGTTCAAAATAGTGTTAGTAAGTATCAGTTTTGTATCTTAATGTGTTGGAAATAGTGTTTGTAGGTATCAATTTTGTATCTTAATATGTTGATAATATTGTGAGTGGGTATCACTTATGCATCTTATTGTGTTCATAACATTGTGAGTAGGTATCACTTCGCTTTCTTATTTAAAAGGTGTCTGTTGCATGTATAAAATGGAATCTGGGTTTGAGCTGTGTTTCTCGGAGTGAGAGGTCTATTTTGCTTGGGTGAATAATTTTTATGTGGCGAATATAGTCCTATGTAATTTTCGGGCGCATTTCAATGACTCACTTATAAAAAGATTTAGAGAGAGTTGTTTTGGGCACCTGGTAGCTAGGGATGAGCAGTCCAACCGGGGGACTATTGCTCCCTAGCACGCACGCCGGGACTTGCATTGCACGTGCAAAGAGTATATGTGTGCCCTAAAGGGTCCGAAAGACCAATTTTAATTCATGTCCATAATTCTAGCATCCTTTCCGTATCGAACCAAGGGGAAGGGTACAACAAATGGTGTGTAACCACATAAATCCCTTGTTGCCTAGAGAACCTTCAAAAGCCTAAAGGGGGGGGGGGGGGGGGGGGGGGGGGGGGGGGTGGGGGATAAGGTTAATTGCAAATTTAAATTTAAATGCGGATAACTAAATTGACAAGCACAATAATAAAGAGATAGAGAAAGAGAGATTCAAACTCAAAGATTTATATTGGTTAAGTCCACCAACCTACATCCAGTCCTCAAGCACACCACTTGAGAGGTCGATCCACTATGTTGGAAAAACTCCTTGTAGGTGGAGTTGAAACCTTTACACTGATAGAGCACACCACTCTAATACACAAGGTGGAAGACACTCTTCTCACCTCACAGGGTCAAACCAACCCCTTTTACAAGTTTTAATGAAACAACTCTCGGAACAAAAAATCTCTCCTATTTGAGAGGGATATACAATTGATGTTCACACAATGATAACTCTCCTTTCTGAGTAGGTGATACAGAAGTAATTCGAACACTAGAACTCTTGTATGAATTTGAAATGATTGGCTCAAGAAAAAATGATATTCATAGTATGATGAATGCTTGTAAGCTTGGATGAATATGTTCAGTTCTTATTTTACAAGAAATCTGAAGACATATTTATAAGGACAAAAATATAGCTGTTGGAAATCATTGTGCCATTAGGAATATAGCATTTCAGAAATAATTGAGTCGTTAGGAAAATAGCTGTTGAGGAATATAACTGTTAAAAATATAGTTGTTGAAATATTTAAGCCGTTAGTGACAGGACCTGACCCAAATTCCACTTTGGAATCCAAGTCAAACCCTGTGTGTGTTCGACACGTGGAGGGTGCCGGGCGTAAATGACCAAGTCACCCTTCTAACTAAAAAAAATCCACTTTATTACTAGATTGACTTCTGCCGAAAATTCGGCAGAGTTTCCCCTATAATTTACTAATTTCCCAAAATTTCCACCTGTCATCAAACATTTATACAACTCAATCGTTCAACATACATTCAATTATATCCAAACAAAGTAAGCATCATAATATTCTGGTCTCAGGTTACAACCAATCAAATAAATCAATCTGCTAATAAAATACATCTCAACTTTCAGAACAATAGTAATCCATTGGTATTCTCAACATTTTAACTCGTGGCTGCACCTTGTAACCATAGGCTGCCTACGTACCCTTATTGAGGAACCAAGCCACACGTAGTTCTCATATTTCATCTCAGCTCCCTGTTCCAAGCTTCCTGGCATTACTCACTTGGAAATATATAATTAATTGAATAATTAAAAGCATTTAGATTCAGGTAATCACACTTGGAAAGCCATAACTATCCATTTCCTCGTGACACGTCCTGCCCTGTAATTCTCGCTGGACTCAGGAGACATCTGGTCAACCTGATCCGCAATCCTCGCTCCCATGGTCTGTATATCTCTAAGACTCGTGGGGCAAAATATATTAGAAAAATTTAAGCTATTTAATACTCTGTAAAATAATGCAAGATAAGGATAAATAAACATAATAAAATAAAATAAAATAAGTTAAAGATTTATAAGCTCCGAACACCCTTGTATCGAACTCACGTAAAGTTCATAAATACATACATATATTTATATATATATATATATCAATAACTTGATTATATTCTATATATATTTCCATCTATCGCTGGTAAAACAAATGTGACGCTTATGAAAATAATGGTAACTGTATAAAATCCTTAATTAGTTTAAAAGCATCTCAGAACTTAAATTCTCTCCACAAAGGCGTACCCCCATTTCTGATCCGTCAATTCCTTTTATATCGTCAATTCCATATATCCGTCAATTCCAATGTTAGTCCATCAATTCCATCCACACAAAGTTAACTGAGTCGCATTCCTCGCAGGTCTCAGAGATAAACTTCAATCTGAGCCGCAATCCTCGCAGGTCCCGGAGACACCAAGTCCATCCGAGCCGCATTCCTTGCAGGTCTCAGAGATAACACTTCAATCTGAGCCGCAATCCTCACACCACATGGTTCAGGCGTCCCCGAAACTCGTGGGGCATTATCAAGGTAACCAAACTGTTTCAAAGTAACTAGGGGGTACCCTCGTGGTGGGTTTGAAAATCATAACCCGTCATTTATATAAACTTTCAATAAATTGGTTCTCAACTAAACTTCAAATATATATATATATATATATACACACCACAATCTGATAAGAGCCAAAAGCTATAATTCATCCCTTTCAACTACTGAATATATATAAACATATACTAAATACTTAGCTAGTTTGTTAACCATATCAATCTCTGATTAACATACCATCCCATATTACATTTATAATCTTACGACATAATTAACCATATAAATATATAAACAGGCGATAAATAAACAGATAATTAAATACTCATCCCGAATTCATATAAAATCTTGGAATTAAAAACCATAAATAAACCAATTGAACACTCACACATACATGAACTTTCCACAAGCTCAAACACAAACAATAGAGCTCAACAACATTATTTTATCTAAAACCCTGGCCCTGGGTTCCTAAAAGTAAGTGCACCAACGTTAAGTCATTTCTATGCTCATAGTAGCTTTCCTTGCATTTGAATTGGTCTAGAAGTGTCTCGAGACTCAAAAGGCGATAATGTCCCAAAAAGTCAACACAAGACCCTGTGGGGTCCACAACCTCCAAAATTCTAATCCGAGTGTTCCTAGAGGTTTTAACATACCTAGGACACATGTCCTGAGAGTTTGGTCTCAATTGGACGGTCAGATTGCTTACAATTGCACGATCGAACGGTTTCTGTAACCTTGGCCCTAGGGTTGGCATTTTCGGAGTATCCGGGACTCCGATTCGCGATTCGTTGAATCCTACACGATCTGGGAATTGTCTAGGTCAACACATACAAGAATCACTGCGATCCAACAACTCAAACATATCGAACTCGGAAATCACACATCCATATTGGAATCTGAGCACACCTACTCGCTCATGACAACTAGGAGATTGCATTGGGATACAATGCCCCTTTGCTACAGTGCCCATGCGCCACCACACACGCTGGCAGCACATGGTGCCCAAAGTGATAACGTTTCGCCAGAAAATCTCAAAATCACAGCCCAAGACTCCTACCCTAGGTGTAACACCCTATTTGGAACCTCTTTTGTTCTTGGACCTACCCCAAAAACTGGTCGGAATTGTGATCCCAAAATGGGCCGAACCCTAACTTGAAAATCGAACTATCTATGCTTCGAATCGAAGAAAACCTACCCAACCATCAGCTAGATCATGAAAGTTAGGTGAGAAACCATACCTCACACGTCGAGATTGGTGGCCGGAGGAGGGAAATCGAATGGCTGGAAATTTTGAGCTAAACCGGACTGTTCTCGGGTTCTTTCCAGTGGACTCCGGCGGTTCCGACGGCGGGGCTTGACCAGGAAGGGAAGAGGGAGGCTACCCGGTTCATTTGGGTCCGATCCCTTGGCCAGCCGTGGCCTGTATCGGCGGTGGTGGCTCCTTGGAGCTGTCGGCTGTGCAGAAAAGCGAAGGAAAATTGGCGGCTTTACCCCTGGCTCACCTAATTTATTCACTAATATCCTTATTTTGAAACCCAATCACAAATGCCCCTTATAAAAACTCTCTATTGACAACCTATTGCCCATCCTTCACTTAGTTTTGTTTTCGCAGTCATTGCTCTTCCTCTTCCTCTTCTTCCTTCTCCCAAACCTCACAAAATCCACCTCCACCGTATAATCTCCCCTAACTCTATCTCCTCTTAGTTATATCCACCTCCACCATAGAATCTCCCCTCCTCTCCTCTCTTCTCTCTCTCTCTCGCTCACACCCACATCGTCAACAGTCACTATCCCCTCCTCAGAAACCCTAACCCACATCGGCTATGACGATCTTTCCACCTCCATCTCTCACTCTCTGTCGCCTATTTCAACCTCCATGCCTAGAGATGGCGTCTCAGGTAGCCAGCTTGGCTTTTCTCCTACATATTTGGGTTTTCTTCTCCTTGTTTCAATTTCATATATGGGTTTGGGTTTTTGGTGCTTGATGTGAGTTCAAGTCCCTCCAAGTCAAATTTGGGTGAGATTGTACAGAAATTTGTTGAAACATAATTGTGGGTTTAATTTAAAATTTACTCTCTCTATATTTTAAGCTTGTGTAGAGAATGTTATTTTAGTGAGATTATACAAGAACTTTTTGAACCAAAATTTTGGGATTGTGCAACAGATATTTCTCAGTTTGTCTTAAGGAATATTATGCTTGAAGCTTGTCCAATCTACAATGATTTTGAAGATTTTCTTTTGCTTATTGAATTGGATTATTGAGTTAGGTTTTTATTTTGACAAAAGTGACTGTGGAGTTTGTAAGTTTTATGAGAATGCCAATATTTTAACATAAGTTTGATGCTATAAAGTTGGCATATGTTGGATCTTGGTTTTCTCTATTTTCCATAATTCAATCTTGGATCTGTTTTTGGTGCAGTCTATAGTCCTCAAGGTTGGTATCATGCCAAGGTTGTGTTGGTGCTGTGAAAAGGGTTCTTGGAAAACTTGAAGGTTTGTCTTGCTCTTCTTCTTCTCTGAGACTCTGCTTCTTTAACTGTTTGAACAATGCGAAATGCACTATTGATGATTTCCTTATTTGTATTTTTATTCGCCTACCAAGACACACATTCACTTCACCCATGTTTATAATAACTTTTATATTGCAATTGAGTAGTACGAAATTGTGTGCATGAATGTGAACTTTAATTTTGCAATGGTATTATCTTGTGAAAGTTTGCTATATGAAGAATTGGGTCATTTAGAAAAGCTAACAATTTGTATGAAAGTAGGATTCTTGAAGGTAATCCTTCACTGGAGAAACCACAGATAGATTTCTCACAGGTATATATAACTCAGCAAACTTCAATCTCTGCTTTTAAATGATGTATATCATAATTTTTTTTTTCTTTCTTTTATTAAAAAATGTATATCATACTGAAGTTTTACATTTATCCATTCTATTTGTTGTATTGCATGTAAATGTATGTGTCTGATACTTGTAGTGTATGTAAATATGTCTGAACTTGTTTTGGTATTGGTTTCTGAATCTGTTTTGGTATTGGTTTCTGTTATAAATTTTGGAATTGGTTTCTGTTTTGAAATTGGTTTCAGTTGTGATTGAATGCTATGTTTTTGTTTCCATTGTGATTGAATGATTTGCTTCTAATATGCATTTTTTATCTGTTTTATACAGATGGAAGATTGTATTGTTTCAAGTGGTAGCGTTCTCTTGGGGAGGAAATTGCTAACTTTCAGCTTAAATTTGGTTCTAAGAGGAGATGTCGTCAAATTTTACTGATAGATATAAAATGTATTAAAATTCTCGACCAACAGCAAATGTAAATTTTTTCTTTTTTTGCCACTTTCTTATGTATATCTTAAGATGTAATGAGATAACATAATTAGTTCATCAATTTATGAAAGTCAAGTTAGAAGGAAATTTTTCAATATCTAGTTTCCATGGTTTTATCGTTCCTCTTGCAAAGAAGAAAAAAATACAAATGTAACCAAATCAGTGATTTAATTGGCAAATGCCATGACAGATATGTATTGCATATGTATTGCACACGTATAGCTCTTTATTGCTTGTGTATTGCCCCCGTATATCCTTTTTTTTTAAAGTCTGTTAGAATAAATTTATAGGGGGCATGTGAAGTTTGTGTATTGCCATTGTATAGCCTTTTATTGCTTGTGTATTGCTACTATATTGCCCCCGCATATCTTTTTTTCCTTCTTCAAGTCTATTTTGAAAAATTTATTGGGGGAGTATGAAGTTTGTGTATTGCCATTGTATAGCCTTTTATTGCTTGTGTATTGCCATTGTATAGCCTTTTATTGCTTGTGTATTGCTACTATATTGCCCCCGCATATCTTTTTTTCCTTCTTCAAGTCTATTTTGAAAAATTTATTGGGGGAGTATGAAGTTTGTGTATTGCCATTGTATAGCCTTTTATTGCTTGTGTATTGCCATTGTATAGCCTTTTATTGCTTGTGTATTGCCATTGTATAGCCTTTTATTGCTTGTGTATTGCTACTATATTGCCCTCGTATATCCTTTTTTGTTTTAAAGTCTGTATTGCGAGTAAGAAGGTAGGGATGGGGGAAAAAAGCTTCACGGGGATGGGGTGGGAATGACATACTCACCCCCGATTCGACATCGCCATCCCTATACAAAAGGCAAGAAGTATGAGTTATATATACACATAATAATGTGCTCTTTTCAATGTATAATATAAATAAAAGTATTTTTTCATTGCATACACTTGCGAATATATAATAAAAACAACATATTCAAGACTAAAATTTCTGAGGTAAATTGAACTCAATTTCATTCCATGAGAACTAGATAATTACATGGTCTGTCTGATACACAAATAGTCCCTCAATTGCATGTTTTTTTTCCTTATAACTATAGTACACTTCCTGCAACTAAATGGAATGTTGTCCCACCCTAAATTGATGAAGGTTCTCAATGACAACAATCTTCTAGAAGCCAAAAATCTAGGTCCAACTATCATGCAAAAAAAAAGTCAATTATCTCAAGACTTAAGAGTTAGGGTTTCGAATCACTAGAGACCAAGCTTGTGGGATATGGGCCGTGACATGATCTCGTACTCTACCAATTGTTCCTTCACCTTCTCAAATTCATCCATCATCTTCATCTACAACAGAAACAAAATAAAGCAATGTCAATATGTACATATATAAATATGTATATACAGAGTAATACAAAAGACAAATTGGTATTAATGAGGTACATCTTTGATCTGCTTTATTGGAACCATCACTTTCCTTTTATTGCTATATATGCATATGCACAAAAGCACAAACAAGCCCAATTTAAAATCTCCTACTTACATATCAAGAAAAGCCAAACTTAAACTCAAAGCAGACTGAGTTTCTTATAAAAATAGAGTTCTTTTTTTTTTTTCATCTGTGCTTCATTTGCAACTTATAACTCACATGGTATCCAAAATTTCAAGCAGTGCATGACAACTCAATCAAGTTAACTCCAGAACAATGAGAGAACAACAATATTAATCAATGAAAGAATTATGAAAGAGGCTGATCATTGATCAACAACATTAACTCCAGAACATAGACACCACAAAGGTATGCAGTACAATTTACTTTCATTCAATTTCTACACAAAAATAATCTTTTAGATTGATATAGCCATTCATTGCAAACTGAAATTTCACAGCCATGAGAATAATGCCAAGACAAAGAGTATCATATCATCTCAGAATTGGAAAACATCTAATGAACGAGGAAAAGCAAACCTACTAAGCACAAAACGAAAGGCCTTACTGCTCAAGCTTGATCAGCACACATCTACATGGACGTTAACCCTAGTATGATGATATTGCTTATTTTTTTTCTATTCTCGGCATTGGCTTTGCACCATTTATGTTTTAACAGCATACATGAATTGTTCCAAATTAAAAATTCAAACCACAGGTCCTAATTATAGGCAGTAAATTATGACTTAATAAAAAATAGCCATTGGAGTTGGATCTAGGGAGCTGAAAGCATCACATGGCTCAAAGAAACCAAATTAGGGGACCACATACAATAGAGGCAATAGTGCTAGCTAGTACTGCAGGGTAGGGTAGGGCAAGGCATGGCAAGGGACATTTGGATGCAAATGCTAGAGATATAGACCTTTTCTTTTAGGTAAATGAGGAAGAGGAAGCAGCAGCAAAACCTAGCCATGTGAAGCAGCAACATCAGACCCTTTTTATGTTTCTTTTGTTTGCTCACATACTTTTTTGCCATATCATAGCCCTTAGAATTCTTGCAAAATAATAACATGAACTTTATTTCTCAATTTCACAATGACACAAAACAGTGTAGTATTAACTTGTTCACAACACAAGTTAAATGGCGACGTAAAAATGAAAGAAACTCAAGACATGACACAAAAGTTGAAAAATAAGAAAATAAATATAATAGAATTCCAAATATCAAATGACACAACCAACTATCCATTCACTATAAACTGACATAATATGGTCCTTGTGTAAGTCTTAATGTAAAAACAGGGACATTTCTCAAGCATTGTTAAAAGTTAATCAAACTAATGTCAACGGTGATCTAACAAAACCATAATGCACTGTAAAGACATCTTCGTAAACAAATTATAATAAAACTCACATGTTCTTCCTTCCATTTAGATGGGTTCATTGGGTCCTCCTAGAAGTTCACCTTTAAGTATATACTAGGAGAATTGTCCCAATTGGTTTGTATCTCAAAGAAACCCATAGTGCGCTCATTAAGGAGATTCATCGAACACCTGCAGGCCTTTTTTTAATGCACTCATCAACTTAGCCTAACCAAACAAATAGAACCATATATTCAGAACAAGCAAATGAGCATGATAAATAAAACGATGTACCAAGAATTTGGATTTTGAGCAACTTTCTAGAACACTGTATGAAATTGAAACAAGCAAAAGAAAACCCAAATAACATATGGGTATGAAAGTAAAGGTGAAAAGCTAAGCTGGGTACCTAGGACGTCATCTCTAGGTATATGGATTTCAGGAATGTTGAAGAAAATTGAGAAATTTGTCGAACCGGAGGGGAAGAACGGCGGTTGAAATAGGTGACAAAGAGTGAGAGATGGAGTTGGAGAACAGCGGCCGAAAGAGAGAGAGTAAGGTCATTGTTGCCGATGTGGGATTTGAGGAGGTGACAGTTGTCGTCGCCAATGTGGGTGAGAGGGAGAGAGAAAACAGGAGAGGAGAGGTGAGTGAGTGAGTAAGCGAGAATGAGAGCTCTAAGCTCAGAACCACAAAAAAGAGTGACATAAGGGTAATACGTTGGCATTAGGGAGTTTTTATATGGGGCATTTGTGATTAGGTTTCAAAGAGGGGATATTAGTGAAGAAAACATGTGCGTCGGGGGCAAAGCCGCGTATTTCCAAAAAACGAAAGGGAGGGCTGGCTCGCGAGGAGAGAGAGAGCTTTAAAAAATCTGACTTTTGCCTAACTACAGTTTTGCCCCTATGAGTATTTTTATCGTAACTTCCTCGATATAACTCCGATTCGAGCCCACTAAGTGTCTACGGACTCGTTTTGTTGCGCTCTACGCAATAGTGCAATCGAAATTTCCATATTCTTTCCCACTCAAAAAATCAACTTTTCTCTAATAATTTATTTAGGGGCAAAATTGTCTTTCCACATAATAAAATAATAATTAAAAATTAATTAAGGATTGGGTTGTTACAGTTAGGAATAGTGAAGAGATTAAATCTTGGAATAGTGTACAGATTATCGTATTTTCATTTTCAGCGTTTAAGTATATGTCTTTGTCCTTTTACTTTCATTCAATTTTATTTTACTCCTTTTACTTAAGTTTACAATGTAAATAAGAAAGTAACCCCCAATTGGATTCGAATAAAAATACTAGAAAATCAAATTCCCACAAAATCAAAATATGAAAAATCGGTTTGAGTGCAAAATACGATTTAGGCTAAAATTGATGGCTCATTAAGTCAATATATACTTCATACTAAAATCCCATAAAATCAAGTTTTCTTATTTGAAGTGTAAGGAATAAAAGCCACCAAAACTTATATTGAGAAAATGATTATTTCAAAAAACCATTTTTCATACTTAGCCAATATTTTATAAAACAAGTTTTCATGTATGATATGAATGCATGAAGGGACCTAAGGTCAATCTAGGTAAAGAGCATTAGATGTTCAATCCACAAAGAGTTTTGCAAGAATAACCTAACTCTTTTTTATTGAAGAAATATTTGATTGAGTGTCGGCTTCTTGCTTAGTGTTCCAAATGTCTTCCAATGTGTACAATATTTTTGATCCATTTGGGAATGCCTGCTCCTTACAACTTATCACACTTGAAATACATTAGATAAACAAGGAACAATTTGTTATCATCAAAATAGCACAATCCCATATCCCAAAGTATATCCAAATTCCATAAACATAACTAATATCACCACAATCCGAAACCCAAATCCATATAATTTAATAATAATAATATATATATATATATATATAGTAATCCCTGGAAATCCTATATCAATTGTAAAATCCAAGACTAGCTTGATAATAAAATCCCACAACCTATTTAACCCAAAATAAACCAATTTCCAATCAAGTCCCAAAACAAATGTCCACTCACAACAAGTCCGATGCTAGCTCAACCCTGAGCGAGTCCATGATGAGCCCTACATTGCGCTTGGGTACCTATTTAAGAGAATAAACAAATTTAATTAATAAATGTACCAAACAACGAACTTTAAATCAAAATTCTGGTTCCAAGGTCTCAAAGTGTGCCCAACCTCTAAGAAGGTTTATAGGGTCATTCCAGTATTTCCCGAAGGATGAGACGGTCTTGGAAGACTCATGGTCAACCGAGTGGTCAAACTTTCCATATTAGTAAACCGGGCCCACAGGGCCCACGACCTCCGATTTTCGATCCAATAGTTTCTATAGGTCCAACACAATCCACATGTCTCAAAGTTTGGTCTCGTTTGAGTAGTCGGATCAACGCCAATCGCTCGATTGGTTCGCCTAAGCGTATAATCATTGACTCAGAGTATCCAGGGCTCTAATTTACAATCTGCAAGTTCCTACACAATCCTAGAGGTACGGGGAACAACATAGTTGAAATTGGTACCGATTGAATGGTCCGAACCTATCGAACCCTGATATCGCATAATAGGTACAATATTCGATTGATAGTGAAACAATAACCAACTTTAAATCCTAGCATATTGTCATGCTTGGGACGACGAGGGAATAATACTAGGTTGAAAACAAGTCATAGGCATAGGGCCAACACACCACCACCAACTGGGTGTCTTGAGAAAATTTCGACGACGGAAAATTCTCGAATCACCGGACAATACCTATACCAATGTGTTCAGACTAACAAGGGGACCAATTTTTGGTCTTGGACCTCGACCAAAAAGTGGTCGGAATTTGATGAAAACATGATGGCACCGTCAGCCCTAAGTGGGTGTCTAAATCAATCTTCAAAAGTCCAAAATTAACCCAAACCATCTATATAAATAGATAGAGCGCGAAGGGTAGATGAAGTTTCATACCTCACTCGACGGAAATGGAGACCGGAGTCACCGGAAATAAGAAAAACACCCCCGAAAAACCTAAGTTCTTCTCCTCGTCAAATCGAGTTCACCGGTTGCTAATTGGTCTAGTCTTGGGTGGGTTTTGTAGAGGAGGACAAGAGGAAGATATTTTGTGAAGGTTGCAACGACAACCTAGGTTAGGCGGCACCAAAATTTGAATGGGAAGTGGGGGAGTTACTTCCCTAAAGGAAGAGAGAGAGAGAGAGAGAGAGAAATTTCCCGAGGAAGAACCTAATCAGCTACTGAAATTGTGACTTCGCAATATTTACAATTGGGTCACTGCACTTCCGTAGAAAATAACTTCTTCGTTATAAATCAGAATTGAGCATGCTACCCGTCTACGGACTTGTATTAACAAGCTCTACGCAACGGTGCTACCCAATTCTCCAAATTCCTTCTCGAACAAAAAAGTGACTAAAGTACCCCTACTCCCAAGGGCAAAAATGTAATTTCACAATGAGTTAAGTAATTAAATAATTATTTGGGATGGGATGTTACTATCTCCCCTCCTTAAGAAAAATTTCGTGTTTGAAATTTCATACCTTGTCACCCAAAGAATGGATATTGAGCGATCTGCATTTTCGGTTCCTAAGTGGCTTCCTCAACAGTATAACTCATCCACAAAACTTTCACTATAGGAATGATTTTAGTACGTAACACCTTTTCCTGTAGGTCCAAAATTTGCACAGGTTCTTCCTCAAGTCTTCATTCAACTCCACTGTTTGAAATTCCAAGACATGGGATGGATATGGAATGTACTTCCGTAACATAGATACATGAAATACATCATGAATCTGCGACAGTTTGGGAGGTAAGATAAGTCTATAAGCCACGGGTCCAATGTGCTCAACAATCTCATAAGGTCCGATATAACAGGGGCTCAACTTCCCACATTTTCCGAACATCATAACACCTTTCCATGGAGATAATTCCAAGAACACCCAATCACCAACTGTAAATTCAAGATCCTTGAACTGGTTGTCAGCATAACTTGTCAATCTTGTGCCGTTTGAATCTTATGTCTGATTACCGTTACCTTGTATATTATTTCTTCTATAAAATCTAGCATCTCCAGTTTTCTCTCACCAACTTCATTCCAACATATAGGAGTCCTGCACTGTCTTCCATACAAAGCCTCATTCTTGAGTACACACAAATGAGTTCCCATTACCAATAGTCAATCACTTCTCATCACAAAATTCGTCGGTGAACCGTTACTTATAAACTTTTCATGTAAAGCATAGAATCCTTCAATTGGGCCTCAAACACTAGTTTAACAAGCACGGGTCTGACATGGAAACCAACAGGTAACTTTCATTCTTGATCCCTTTTCTAATTCAACCACAACTTCCTTAATTCCACCAAAGGTGGTGATAAGCCATTCAAAGGTGAGCTAGGGTTCCAACCAACTTCCTACTATGAGCATCCACAATGACATTAGCTCGGCCAGGGTGGTACTCAATAGTACAACCATAATCCTTGATTGACTCTAGTCAATGCATTTGTCACTAAAATCAATTCTCTAGGTGTATAAGTACCTAACGTTTTGTGATTCGTTAAGATTTGACACACCTCCTAACACAAGTAATGTCCCCAAAATTTAAGGGCACTGCCACTATAGTAAGCTCTAGGTTATGGTTGGTGTAATTCTACTCATACTTCCAGAGCTACCTAGAGGCATAAGTAGTCACCCGATCACGTTGTATTTACACGCATCCCAAAGCCTTGCAACGATGCACCACTATACATCAGAAAGTTTCCTTTGTCATCGGAAAGAGTTAAAATTGGTGTGGTGATCAACCACCTTTTGAATCCTTGAGAACTCAATTCACACTCCCCGGTCCATACAACTTGATTCCCTGACTCATCAACCGAGCCAAGTGTGCAGCTATTGTGGAGACATCTCCTACAAAACGATGATAGTAACCTGTGCAAACTAAGAAAACTCCTTCCATCAGTCACACTGGTAGACTGCACCCAAACTACCATTAATTTGATTTACATAAATTCGTTCTACTAAAATGACAGTCCCAAGGAAATCCACTACCAACACGTACTATTTCTGGGTATGACACCTCTTATGAACTGACAGGACCCGCCAAGAAATTCCTCGGAAACCGAGACGAATCCCATCTTGTTACCGACATCGCCCCGATGCCGGGCCCACATACTAAAAACTGAGACTTCCTACCAAAATTTTGGCAGAGTCTCCCTTGTACGTTGAACGATCCCAACAAAAATTCAACCTGCATAAAATACATAATAATCCCAACCAGTAGCATGTTTTCAACAATCAATAGTACACACAAAAATGGCCTCCAGCCTCACAAGTAAAACCTAACATGGGCAATAATAGAGCATCTAACAGATTTAGTTTACAACAACTAGTTGAGTAGAAAGAAATTACTCAAATCCTAATCTACGAATGTATGGTTCGGCCCTGGAACACAGCTTGCAACCTTCCTGAAGCGACTATTGTTTGGGGGGGCGCAAAACAGAAAACATGTGAGTGGACAAAAAAAAAGTTTGCATTTAAAACAACATAATAACCCCCACCGTGTAAAAATAATGCTCAAGACATGCAGATACATAACTTTCATTAAATGATCAAAAACATATATCTCCAACCCTTTAAAACCAATCACTCCATCCATAAACCTCATTCACAAACTTATACTGAATTAAACCCACATATATATATAAATAAATATAACTATAAATATTAGGTACCGGGGAAACAATCCAACCGGGGGAATGTTTGGCTAGTCCGTAGGATTTCCAGGTTCTATCTTGCGTTTAGGGATGAGCGGTCCAACCGGGGGACGAAACTCTATAGCTCACATGCCGGAACTTCCAACGCCACATGTAGCTCCAATACTAAGTCCTACATGCGCAGATTACATCATCACACACCAGAACTTCCATCGCCATATGTGATGATTCCAAGAAATATACATAATATTCCTATACGCCAGATGACAGGACCCGACCCAAATTTCACTTTGGAATCCGAGCCGAACCCTGTTAGTGGTTGACACTTGGCGGGTGCCGAGCACAATTGACTTGGTTGCCCTTTTTCTGATTAGAAACTTAATTCCCTTAAATCCTGACTTCTACCGAAAATTCGGCAGAGTCTCCCTTGTAAATCAAACGTTCCCAAAATTTACACCTGTCAACAAGTACTTAAATATATTCACCAACTGCCAGTATACAAAAATAAGTAAGTTCCAACAGTTAAATACGTTCCAGGGCAATGTCAGAGCAACTATACAGATTTATTTACAAAGGAGGTAACCACTTGTGAACCAAGGAACCCTACATCAAAATGGGGAAGAGCGGGAAGTGGGAAATGCCCTGTGGTGGCTCTCGGATGCACATCTACAGCCTGGGGGCGCAAAACATTAAAAAGGTGAGTGGACCAAAAAACAAAGTTTAGAAAATACATATGAACATACTAACCCCACTGTAAAAGCAGTTATAAAAACTAAATCATTCTCTTCTGTATATGCATACTGAAACCAATGCACTCATATATACATATATAAATATACCAATCATGCTCATGGTCAACATCAATCTCTTAAAAGCATTGAAATCAGTTTAAAACTACCACCTAGGTGTACCCCTCGCATCACCATTGGTGACACGTCCTCGCAGGTCTCGGTGACACAAAGTCAATCCGAGCCGTAACCTCGCAGGATTCAGGGGACCTTGGTCAACCTGATTCGCGTCCTCGCTCCACACGAGTCCGGGTACCACTGAACTCGTGGGGCAACTGTCAAGCATGCTAACTAAACCGAAGGCAACTGACAAAATCCGAAGGCAACCTGGATGTCCGTGCACATCATCATATCCGAAGGCAACATCTGTATATCTGGGTACCTAAGGTGGCTTAGAAAATAACAATAATAATAATAAGCAAAGTTTTTGAAAGATATGATAAATAACTGAATTTCCGTTAAGACTGGACTCTGCTGCCATTTATCTGATGTTTAACTAAAATTCTCTTTCTCTATATCCCTAAAAGATATTCCACTTGGCAGCATGTAAATCATAATATTTAAAAGCATGTCTCACTAATAAAACACTAGTCTTTGAATAAACTTATTCAAGATCAAATACTGAAACTAAATTGCATAAATTCATTTATGAAAACAAAGAGTCCACTCACGGTTGGTCCGAGCTCGCTGGACTTTTGGAAGGTCCCTCCTGCGGGTCAATTGGTGCCCGAGTGCCTGATTCAAATACCATAATAAAATATATTAATAAAACTGCTCGGTATAAATATTTAAATAAACTCTGACCCCCGGATTCTAGAAGTGCGTGCATCAATTTAAAGTTATTCATATGCCCACATTACGTTCCTTTAATCCTAGGACATTCGTCCCGTGAATTTGGTTTTGATCGGACGATTAGATTCGTCACGATCACACGATCGACGATTCTAAATCCTTAACCCTAGGGTTCGCGATTTCGGAGTATTCGGGACTCCGATTCATGATCCGTCGAATCCTACACAATCCTGGTAAGGTCTAGATTAACATATCTGAAAGTGATCACGACCCAACTGTTCGAAACTATTGAACCCGGATAACGCACACTATGTAAAAGTCCGCTTAACACTCAAACAACGTCCGAATTGAGATTCGCGAATTTCTACACGCTCATGAGAATACGAGGATCATTTGAAACTGAGAGTGGTCCTCTCCAGACTGCCCCTGCACCGCCACACGCACCGGCAGCTTGGGTGGCTTGAGAAATTTCTGGTGTCCGGAAAAATTCCAAACCGCCGGCCCAAACTCCTAACTTAGGTAAAACACCCAAACTCCAAACCGCCGAAATCCTACCCTCAAAACCGGCTGAAACTTAAGTTGAGAATCGAACGATCTACGCTTGAAATTTCTAAAATCCTACACAACCAGCAGCTAAGTCACGAAAAATAGGTAGGAATCCATACCTTGATCGTCCGATTTGGTAGCCGGATGACGGAGATCGACGGTTGTGAAAATGGATTGAAACCGGCGGGTTTTTCTCCAGTTTCCGATGAGCTCCGAGGTCGGTGACGACTGAGGCTGGTCGGGACGTGATGGGGGAAGGATGACAGTTCGAACGGATCTGGTCTCGTGGCTGGTGGTTCACGGTGGTGGTGATTATGGAGGAGAGAAGGTGGCGGGTTGAAATAGGGGGGGGGGCTGTGTTGCGAGGAAGAAGAGTGAGGCAGGAGAGAGAAAGTCGGTTGTTAAAAAAAAATCCTGGTCTCCAAAATTACCATTTTGCCCCTTAAAGTATTTTGACCGTATTTTCTTCGTTATAACTCCAAATCGAGCCCACTACTTGTCTACGGACTCGTTTCGTCGCACTCTACGCAACGGTGTAAACAAAATTTCCAAATTCTCCTCCGGTCAAAAGTCAACTTCTCAATTACTAAAATAGTCTAAGGGCAAAAGTGTCATTTTCCCTTAATAAACTAATAGTTAAATATTAATTAAGGTTTGGGTTGTTACACCAGAAATTCCAATGCCACGTATGGGAAGTGTCTCACACGCTGGAACTACCAAAGCCACGTGTGGGAAGCCTAGTAACTAGGGGATGGTACTTACATAGTGTAATCGTACATCTTCTCTCAACAACCCCTCATACTCAATTCTTCCACAATCTCACCTCAACAACCCAAGTACCCCAGACATAGACCCTATAGATAGTATTTCACAAAAATCCATATATACATACTCAAGATACTCAAATATGTCAAAACCCAAAACCCAAAATTCAACACCCGAATATATAATATATCCAATACACCGTTTAAAACATTATGCATAAATTTTCATCAATAAAACCATGCGTATGATTTGAAAACAAAGTCCACTCACAAATAGTCTCAAGCTGCCTGACCTTGAGAGGGTCTCGCCTACTGTGTACAATCGATCGGAGCACCTATTTCGAGATACGAACCCTTAATTAATATAAAAATCACTTTGAAATGGAAATCACAAATTAAATACTTAAATCCCCAAAGTTCCTGGTGCGTGTACGTAAAACGAGATATCCAAAGGTCCGACTACGGGATTATAGAATACGTCTTGCAGGTGTGATCCGAAAGAGACGGTCGGTTCGCTCACAATTTGATAGTTATTGCAAACCACAACTTCGAAATCCGTTCGATAGTCAAACGACGTCCGAATTGAAATCCGAGCACATCTTCACACTCATGACAACACAAGGATTATAATAGGATAAAAAGTGGCCTCACCACTATGCCCAAGCGTCGCCACGTGCTGCCAGCGCGATGGTGTGTAGAGTAACTTCCGGGGACGGAAAAACTCCACACCACCGCTCACCCTTCCTACCTTAGGTACGACTCGAGGCAAAGATCGTTTTATTCAACAATGGGAAGGTCCAATTCGGACGGCAACCGGCCATAATTTCACTTTGAAATCCAGCCAAAACCTAGGATTCAAAATCGGCTTCCTAGAACATAAATCGATTAAATCCTACCCCATAGACAGCTAAAGCATGTAAAAAGAGGAAGAACCCTCACTTGTTTCACCGGGATTGGACGGCGGAGGTTGCGGCGCAACAACGGAGGAAAATCGATTCAAACTAGTCGAAACTGTGGCCGAAATTCGAGGTTTTCGGCCAGGAAAATTGGTGGTTCGAGTTCGAGGCTTTGAGCGGAGTCGATCTAGACCGGTCCCGGCCCTTGTCGTGGCCGGAGCTGAGAGAATCGAAGAGAGAGAGAGAGAGAGAGAGAGAGAGAGAAAAGAGAGGTTCTGATTTTTCTACTCCCAAATTTGAAATATTTATAGTTCTGCCACTGGTGTTGTTTTGCTCGTAACTTCTTCGTTACAACTCCAATTCGAGCCTACCGCATGTCTACGGATTCATCTCAGCACGACCTACGTAACCATTCTACTCGTTGTCCCAAAATCCTAATGGATAAGAAAATGACCAAATTAACCCTACCCCAAGGGTAAATTCGTAATTTCTACTAAATAGTTTAAATGGGTAATTAAATTTGGAGTCTGGGTGTTACAATCTACCCCTCTTATAAAAATTTCGTCCTTGAAATCCATGTACCTATCCGTGCAAGAGATACGGGTACTTGGCCCGCATTTGCGTCTCAGGCTCCCATGTAGCTTATTCGACAGTTTGACTTCTCCACAAAACTTTTACTATAGGAATGGATCTGGAGCACAACATTTTTTCTTTCCTATCCAAGATCTGCACAGGTTGCTCCTCATATGTCAAATATTCTTGCAAATCAAAGATTGGTGCTCCAGAACATGGGAAGGATCTGGCATGTACTTCCGTAACATGGATACATGGAACACGTCGTGGATTCGAGATAATTCTGGGGGTAAGGCAAGTCTATAGGCAACAGGTCCAATGCACTCTGTGATCTCATAAGGTCCAATGTAACGAGGGCTTAACTTCCCACGTTTCTTGAATCTCATCACACCCTTCCAAGGAGATAGCTTCAAGAACACCCAATCCCCAACTGCAAACTCGAGATCCTTGGACCTATTATTAGCATAACTCTTTTGTCGGTCTTGTGCGGTTTTTAATTTCTCTTTAATCATCTTCACCTTCTCGGTTGTTGCTCGAATACTATCCACTTTTTCCAATTTCTTATCACCCACTTCATTCCAACAAATAGGAATTCTACACTGCCTCCCTTACAACGCCCCATATGGAGCAATCTCAATACTCGAATGATAATTGTTATTATAAGCAAATTCTATCAAGGCAAGGTGAGCATCTCATGCATACTTCAGCTGTAACACATAGGACATCAACATGTCCTCCAGAGTCTAGATAGTCCTTTTTGATTGACCATCAGTCTGTGGGTGAAAAGCTGTACTGAATTGAAACTTAGTACCCATAGCCTCCTGTAAACACCTCTAGAATCGAGAAGTGAACCTAGCATCCCTGTCCGATACAATGGACGCAGGTCCACAAAAAGTTTTGCCAATGTTGACAAATAATAGGTCTCCTTGATAGGTAGGAAATGGGCGGATTTGGTGAGTCGATCAACTATCACCGAAATTCCATCATGTCCCTTAGAAGTACGTGGAAGTTTGAAAACAAATCCCATTGTAATATGCTCCCACTTCCATTCAGGAATCGAAAGTGGTTGCATAAGTCCCGATGGTTTCTGTCACTCCGCCTTCACTTGTTGACAATTTAACCATATGCTCACATACTTGGCAATGTCTCCCTTCATATGCGGCCATGAGTAATATTCCCGTAGGGTTCGATACATCTTGGTACTACCTGGGTGCATAGTGTAAGCAAAATAGTGAGCTTCTTCCATGATTTCTCTTTTCAAGTCATCACTCTTAGGCACACAGAGACGAGTTCCCATTACCACAGCCCCATCTTCCCTTATGGCATAATCTGTCCGTGTACCATTTTCCACTTCTCCCCTTATTTTACAGAGTGTCGGATCCTCCAACTGGGCTGCAATTACCCATTCCACCAAAATGGATCTCACATGTAAGCTAGCAAGAATTCCACCCTGTTGAGTCATTCCCAATTCTACTCCATCCTTCCGCAGTTCCACTAATAACGAAAGATAGGTCGTTCTTAGATGAGCTAAGTTTCCATTAGTCTTCCTACGCAGTGCATCTGCAACCACATTAGCTCGGCTAGGATGATACTCAATCGTACAGTCATAGTCTTTAATCAATTCAAGCCAACACTGCTGTCTCATATTCAACTCCTTCTGAGTGAAAAAGTAATTGAGGCTCTTGTGATCAGTGAAAATCTGACACTTCTCACCATACAAGTAATGTCGCCAAATCTTGAGAGCGAACACTACTGTAGCAAGTTCCAAGTCATGGATAGGATAATTCTGCTCATGCTTCTTGAGTTGTCTCGAGGCATAAGCAATCACCCAATCATGCTGCATCAGAACACATCCCAAGCCTTGCAAAGATGCATCACTGTAGACCACAAAATTCCCTGAGTTATCCGGAAGAGCCAAAACAGGTGCGGTGGTTAACCGCTTCTTCAGCTCCTGAAAAATTTGTTCGCACTCCTCTGTCCACTCATACTTAACGTCTTTCCTCGTCAACTGCATGAGAGGTGCTGCTATCAAAGAGAACCCTTCCACAAATCGACGATAGTAGCCAGCTAACCCCAAAAAACTCCGTACTTCTGTCACACTTGTGGGTTGCACCCAATTCCTGCGGGTTCACATAAATCCCTTCCGCTGAAATTATGTGTTCGAGGAATACCACTCTGTCCAGCCAGAACTGACACTTACTGAATTTGGCATAAAGTTGCTTTCTCCTTAAAGTCTTCAATACCAATCTCAGATGCTTTTTATGCCCTTCTAGAGTCCTGGAGTAAATCAAGATATCGTCTATGAACACAATCACAAAGTGATCCAAGCATGGTCGGAACACTCTGTTCATGAGATCCATAAATGCTGCTGAAGCATTCGTCAGTCCAAAAGGCATCACCAGAAATTCATAATGACCATACCACGTTTTGAATGCGGTCTTGGGAATATCCTCTTCTCTGATCCTCAACTGATGATACCCTGATTTCAAATCAATCTTAGAAAAATATTTAGCACCCCTCAACTGATCGAACAAATCATCAATCTGAGGCAAAGGATACCTATTACATATTGTCACCTTATTCAACTGCCGGTAATCAATACATAGCCTCATGGTTCCATCTTTCTTTCTCACAAATAACACTGGTGCACCCCACGGGGAATAGGTCGGATAAATCCCAAATCCACTAATTCCTGCAACTGAGTCTTCAACTCCTGGAGCTCAGCTGGTGCCATCTTATAAGGAGTTTGATAGATGGGGTTGGTGCCTGGAAGAAGTTCTATGGTGAACTCGATTTCCCTTTTAGGGGGTAAACCAAGGAGATCGTCTGGAAAGACATCTAGGAACTCTCGAACAATGGAGATATATTCCAGATTCAAGGTGATCTCTTGAGTGTCTATAATATGAGCCAAATATCCCTCACACCCCTTCTTGAGTAACCTCTTAGCTGTGATAGCAAAAAGAAGACAAGTAGGGAGGACTGTACGTTCTCCCCGGAAGATAACTTTGGGTTGCCCTGGACTCCGAAGTGTTACTTCCTTCCGGAAACAATCCACTGATGCATGATGCTTCTCCAGCCAATCCATTCCCAATATAATATTCAAATCCATCAAATCTAAAGGAATTAAATCTTTTTCCAACCATGCATCGCCTACTTGGACATAACAATTTCTGAACACCCGGTCCGCATACAGGACTTCTCTCATAGGTAAAGAATTACTAAAACTTCCTGTCATGGATGTGGGTCTAACACTGACATACGGTACGAAGTAAATTTTGTGGAACTACATCCCATGATTAAAAGCATCCTGGCACTGCACGGTTCAGGCGTCCCCGAACTCGTGGGGGTAAAATAACCAACTGTCTCAAGGCAACTGGTAAAATATGAAGGCAACATATTCACCGAGGCAACCTGGATGTCCGTGGACATCATCATATATGAAGGCCACATATTGATATCTGAATACCATAAAACTCGTGTGGCAAAATAACTGACTGTCTTAAGGCAACTGGGGGGTACGCTATGGTGGGTTTGAAAACCATAATCAGTTATTTACATAAACTTTCAATAAATTGGTTCTCAACTAAACTTATTCAATAAACTAGTTCTCAACTGAGCTTAAAATATATCCATATATATATATATATATATAAAAACCTGTATAATATATTTTTCCTATGAAAACCTCAACAAATTTTTCAAATCCTTCTGGATATTTGTTTTCTCAGTCACACCAATCCAATAAAATAAAATAACATAATAAAATAACAATTGAAATAACAATTGGAATAAAACAACATAATAATTGTCCAGCAATTCTGAAAATACAGATGCACCTGTAATGCAGTGTCTACAAGAATTTAACCTAATGCTCTTATACCAATTGAGACGACCCGACCCAAATTCCACTTTGGAATCCGAGTCGAATCCTGTGCAAAACTAACACCTGGTGCCTGGGGGTCGTAAATGACCAAAATGCCCTGGAAGCGATAACACAAACTCTGGGACCCTATCTCGTGGCTACGCTTGGTAACTGTAGGCTGCCTACGTACCCTTACTGAGGGATCAAGCGATACGTAGTTCTCTCACCTGCCCCTGACCTGTAACTAGTTCAATCATCCGTAAAACATACTCTAGGTCTAACGTTTCCGGGGTATCCGGGACTCCGTTTTACGATCCGTCAAATATTATATGATCCTGGAAATACCTAGAGCAACATACCTGAAAATGGTTACGATCCAACGGTGCAAAACTAGTGAACCCGGAAATCACACACTAGGCGAGATCTGTTCGGGGTTCAAACGGCATCCGAATTAAGATCCGCGAATTCCTACGCGCTCATGTCGACCCAAGGATCATTCTGGAACTGAATGGGGTCTCGACCAATCTGCCCACGCGCCAGCAGCGCGTGGGTGTCCTAAGCGATTTCGGTCGCCGGAAAACCTCAACATCTCAGCTCAAGACTCCTATCCCAGGTAAAACACCCTATTTAGAACCACTTTTGTTCTTGGACCTACCCCAAAAAAAGGGCGGAAGTGGCTGAAACCGTGATCTCAAAACCGGCCAAACCCTAGGTTCGAAATTAACCCTCTCACGCTAGAAATTCCTCAAATCCTACTCAACCATCAGTTAGAGCATGAAAAATAGCTAGAAATCCATACCTTACTCGACTGATTTGGTGGCCGGAGGAGGGAGAATGGAAGCTCGAAAATTCTACTAAAAACCGGCTATTCCTGGGCTAATTCCGGCGGCTCCTGGCGGTTTCGATGGTGGGGTTTGACCGGAAGGGGAAGGGGGAAGCTGTCCGGGGTCCATTTGGGTCCGGTCCCATGGCTCGCCGTGGCTTGTGGTGGCGGCGGTGGCCCTTGGAAGGCCAAGGCCGGCTGGAGGGGGGGATCGGGGCGGGGCGGGTGCGACAGGAGAGAGAGAAGATGAAGGTTTTTTAAAAAAAACTGACCTTCCCAAATTTACTATTTTTCCCTTTAACTTACTTTGACTGTATCTCCTTCAATACAACTCGGATTTGGGCCCACTACGTGTCTACGAATTCATCTCGCTGCGCTCTACGCAACGGTATAACTGAAATCCCCAAATTACTTCCTGGTCAAAAAGTCAACTTTCAAACCAATAAAGTATTCTAAGGGTATAATTGTCTTTTACTGGAATAAATTAATAATTAAATATTAATTTAAGGACCGGGTTGTTACAAAAAATGTGAACCTCCCAACATAATATCACCACCACTAATTAAATAATGAAGTTTTATTATTTTAGGTTCGACCCATTTGAGACGCGTTATCTCTTAATTTCAATCATTTGCTTCAAGGGAACACCCTTTGATTCCATCATGAAGAAACAAAACATGTGTGTTTGGTTTTGCGGCTACCCTTAAGTTGAACCTCAAGGTGCCTACATATCCCTTGCGAAAATCAAGCCACTCGTAGTTCAAGGAATTGCAATGAATAAATGACTCATTGCAAGGAAATTTTGATTTGAATTATATTGAGAAGTATTTGAGTGAATTTAGATGAATAAACCAAGGATCCGATATTGAATTGTGTTTGGGGGCGAATTTGGTTAAGAATGAACCAGAGATTCTATTCGGATTTAAGATTTGGACGACTGCATCTAGATTGAATCTCTAGATTGCCTACGTACCCTTTTGAAGGGATCAAACCAACGTAGTTCGGAATTTAGAAATTAATGGGTAAGTGTGGCCCAATAATTTAGCATTTGCGTCTTTGAGACAATTAGGAGATTTTCATACGTAAATGACCTATGGGAAAAATTGAAAATTGATGGGTAAGTGTGGCCCACTAATTGAGAATTTGTGTTTGAGAGATTTGAATTTAATCTCATTGAAATTTGCATGGGTAGATGACCCTTGGGAAAAATTGGATGGTTTTGTACCATTTTTCTTATTGTCAATGTCCAAGAAAAATAATGAGCAATTCTGATAAACCCACTAATTTTCTACAATTGACATTTGCATTTGGTAAAGTGTTTGGGAGAATTTGGTTAGGATAAACTAGGGATTCAAATTTGGTTACGATTGCGTCTATTGGAATGCTAGACTGCCTACGTACCCTTGACGGGATCAAACCAACGTAGTTCCGAAAAGATTGTTTAATTTGCATGGTTTTGTACCCCTTAGTGATTTTGTACCACTGGGGGCTTTGGCGTGGTTTTGTACCACTTGGGATTTGGTGTGGTCTCGTATCACTTGAGATTTGGTGTGGTTTTGTACCACTTGAGTCTTCATTGGGAATTAATGGGGCTTTTTATTTGAGCCTATTAATCCATAACTTGTGAATTTGAAACTTTCCACCAATTGTTCATCAATTGGATTTTTAAGGGCAGTTCCATTGAACTTGAGTCCTGCAATGGAATGAGCCCGTTATATTTGAGGCCGTCTAGTCTTGAAATATGAGATGAGTCCATTGTGTCTTGATATCCATTTTGACAAGAGACCGTCGGATTTTAAACTTGCCCTTGATACCCCAATATTTTAATGGGCATATCATGAAAATATAATTTTGGGCACCAGTCCCTCTCCAAGTGAAGTTCTTTTTGGATTGGAACCCCCTGAGGCATCAAGGAAGAATTCCTTCTGTTATTCGAGTTTCACGAGGTAGCACTTCCGTGCATGATCCCCTAGTGCCTTGGCGTGGGCCATGTTGAAAACTTTGAGATTCCTTTGTTTGTAAAGACAAAAGGAAAGTTCTCGCAAGGACCAAACAACCTTGGTACTGATCACTGCTTGCTGCACACAAGAGAAACAATAGACAATTGTTTTCTTCTTGGTTCGTCAAACCAATTGGTTGGTGGGTGGTTGTTGCAGCCATGTAATTTTCTGTCATGAAGTTGATGATTTTTCTATTATAGTGAAAAGTTCCATTAACCACAGAGAGAGAGAGAGAGAGAGAGAGCTAGGATTATAAAGATCCTTTTGTGTGCCACAAAGGGCTTAGGAATCATATGAGCCACCCCCTTTTGTTGTTTCTCTTTTTGTTATTGCCATGTGATTGCTAAAGGCATCCTGGGATGGGAGCATTCGAGCAGCAAAGCCACATCTTGGAGAGATCCTACCTTTAATTATGATGATTGAAATCATCATCATGACAATCTTGCTTTCCGTTTGGGATGCTTGAAGGCATCGTAGAGAGACCCAACGATCTTGAACTAGTCTTGAGAGATGTATTTACAACGCTAGCCCCAATCAATTTTCGATTGATGCCTTTACTCCAACTGGTTCCTTTACGACTTGGTGCCATAAGCAAATGCCTTTTAATTTGATCAAGACACCCAAGGATAAAAATCCTTCTCCAAGTGAAGTATGAATTAGCCTCCTTATGGCATTGGAACCCCTTGAGTATCTAGAAAAGCAGTAAGCCCCTTGTCCATATAGGATTAGGCAATATAAATTTCCTTTAAAAGATGTGCACCGCAACTTTAAATCACCAGCAAACAAAGCGAAAGCTTTTGAATTTTTTTTTTTGGTTTGCTTTTCTAGACCAGCCCGTAGACTTCCCCAAGACATCTGCTGCATCATCAAAAGAAGCAACAAATTGTTTCTTCCCTTCTGAGATTTCATGTCACACTGATAATCTTCTTTTTCTTCTATTTCAATTTTTTTGTTTCCATGTGGCTGACTTCTCTCTTTGGATATGCAGATTAAGAAGGTGCCTTACTGTGGGCCACATTGGGAGCTTTAAGAGCAATTTGTCTTCTTGCTTCATAAACCAAAGACAAATCTAAGTTGAGTATTTGCTTTGTCTTCTTCCACATTGAGAGCTTTTTCTTTACTCATTTTTTCCAACCAAAGCAGACCAAGAAAATTTGATTCAAGAGAGGGTGGGCTGTGCGACACAGCCCCCTTTTTTCTTTTTTCTTTTTTCTTTTTTTTTCCTTCTAGCTGCCTTTTGTTTTGTCTCTTTGCAAAAAAGAAAACAAACCCACCATTTTTTCTTTTGCTCCATTCTCCATCCCTCCGCTGGCTCTCTTCTTCTTTTCTTTTTTATCTTTTTTTTTGTTGACTTGCTGGCAGCAATTGTTCATAGAGAGGCAATTCAATTTCCATGAGGCCCTTTTGGTTTTAGATGCTTCATACAGAGGCTTTACATAGAGACTTGTAATTACATGCTTTCCTTCTTTGATTTTGATGTAAGTTCTATTTCACATGTAATTATAAGTACTAACCTTGAGAAGCCATTAGAGCAAGCACAGCAACAGCAGCAAAAACACACGGACTGGCCTTGGTCTTACTCTCTCTATGCACTCTAAATCTCTCCTGTATGGGTAGGAATATGAGTCTGTTTTTGTGCATGAGAGTGGGGACCGAAGCCTTAGTTTTATAGGTGAGAGCCTTAAGGTTCCTAGCCCATAAAGGAATCCTTAAAGCTTATCCTTATCACCACATGAATTCATAGCCTAATATAATAGATATTCCACAAGTGAGATAGAGCTTCAACTCTATCAAACTTATCCGTGTATACCTAGCTTATCTCTCCCTTGTATCCCTGATCAGATTGGACTCCTAAATAGATGCGAACTCAAATAGAGTTCTTACATTTGATTCCATGGTGGGTTCACCATGTCCTCCTCAATTCTCTACGTCCATGATTTGAGGCATCCTCTGCTCCTAGAAGCATTTATTCGGAGTTGACTGTTGGAATAGACTATGCCATAAAATATGATTATTGAAATCATCATGGAAGACAATCTTTCATGTTGGTTGTGGACCGGATGTTTTGAAAACATTGCTGGAATTATTTGAGAGGAGCCAAGCCTTGGAGAGATTCCTGACTTTGTTTATGATGATTGAAATCATCATAGCCAAGACTCTCTATGGACTGATCAAAAGCTGGGTGCAGATTGTGTCCTTGGAAATACTTGAACGGAGCCATGCCTTAGAGAGATCTCTGCCTTTTTTTATGATGATAGCAATCATCATAGCCAAGATCCCTTGGGTTGATCGAAACCTGGAGTTATAAAACTAAGATTTTACCTTGAGATGGCTCTTGCTTTCTCTAGCCTGCTTGTTGTCTTTTTTTCTTCCTGCTTTCTCCTCTCTTTTTTTAATTGCAGGCATGGCTCTTTTATAGGTCATGAGTCTTGAGGAGTTTGAGATTGAGTGAACTATCACTCCTTGGCATTAGTGTTTGATACAAACACTCTAAGTACAACCATTGCATCAAAAGAACTTTTATTCCTTTTTAAACACATGCTGGATGAATTATTATTGCTATCATTCACTTGTAATAAATTTCCACGCAGGCAGCCATCCCCTTGTTTTCTTGTACCTTATTTATTTATTTAATAAAAATTATCATTTCAATAACCAATACACACGGTATCATCTATATATGTAGTTAATGGCAAGGTCTCAAGTAATTAAGTGTGGAGACACATCGATATGTGTGTAGTACTTGTAGAAGAACAAGTACACTGAACGCGATCCAACACTTAAGTTACAATATGGAAGTCTTTACTCACATGTCACGCTGGAACTCATAAATTGTAATAGTGCAAACTAATCCTTAGGTCTGAGGCCTCATAGAGGCTATATTGTTAATCTTTAAGGGCACTATACCGTCATGCTGAATTAGACATAGCTTAAAGATGCTCATCAGGATTCTCAATAGAGTCATGGAAGCAAATAAATGTACAACAAGGAATATCTACTCTTAGGAAAGGGGTGAGAATACTCCAAGATATGATTGGTTAAATCTCTATGCAAAGTAGTGGATAAGACTTGAAAGAAGAAGTCTTCAAATCTTACCAGGATAATCATATAAAAGGAATGATTCACATTAGGATATTGACAATTGAATTCCATGACCTAATAATGTGAATAAGGAGTATTGACATAAGAGAAGGATTCAATTATACGGTCATTCCAATTTGAATAGGTTCTTTCACAACGTCTTATTTAGCTCGGATAACCGTGACTTACTGCTAGGCGACAACCATGCACTACAAGAAAATCAGGTATTTACATTCACGGCATGCGGTTGCGTGCCACGAAAGGTCAAGCCATAAAAAGCCTTTTCTTTTTATGGCGTGCATCCGCTTGCCGCAAGCGTTAATAAGGCGCGCCATGATTGAGTTCTCGTACTAGGTTTGAACAACTATTTATGACACATTTTGCACGCCTTAATTGGTATACATTACACTGCTCTTTTGGCACACCATAAAAGCTTTATTTGATATATATTTACAGCACATTGTTTACGCTTTAATTGGTATACATTACACAGCTCCTTAAGCACGCCATAAAAGCTTTAATTTCGTACTTGAGCATTTTGCACGCTGTGTGTGTTTTTTTTTAATTTTTTTTTAATAAATATAATCCAATTTCCTGATTATTCCAATTCAATTTGACAATATATTTCTTCATTATTAACCATGGCATTTGAGTTTAACAAAGAAACACATTTCAGTTCAAATAAATATACGAGATATAAAAAAAACTAATCATTGAAATCACCATCATAATCATTTCAAAATACGAACTCTTAAGAGTACATAAGAAACACATAAGAGTGCTGCCAAACATTCCCCAAACATTTTCACAGCCTCGAATCCATTCACTAGTGAAGATAACAACAAAAATAAGTCTCTAACATGAACCTATGCTAAAATAATGTCCTTTATCAGTAGACAATATTCATGAGCATTCTTTGACCGTTTGAGAAAAACCTGCAGGATATCAAATATATAAATAGGAAAAGTCATTTCTTTTTTAAAATCACAACAAAGGTGGATCCCAATGAGTAGAAAACATGACAATTTACAATGATATATATATATATATATATCACAGTCATGACTTGATTATGCACTAGACGTATATATAAAATGATATATATTATGCTCTTTTAACATTGATTATGCACAGTCATGACTTGATTATTATACAATGAGAACTATACCATTTACATGTAAAAGAAGAATGAAGAATTTACCTCAAAGATGTAAAGCTAACACAATTTTATGTACTTGATCGGCCATGCAATCATTGTTCCTAATGCTTCGCAAAGAAGAAAGAACTCACGTGTTGGTCGATACAAGGCCAAACTTTCCAGCACTCGTGACCAAGAGGCACATGATGGACTAATGAATTGGGATCAGTTGATGCAATTTCCCAATTTCCAACAACTTCACTCGTCCCAATCCAATTTAACAGTTTACACTTTGCATTCTCAGCTGGATTTTCCTTTGGTTTGCTTTGTGCCATCTCATTAGCAGAATTTTGAACATTATTATTTACCTTTTGTTTGCTTTGTACACTCTCATTAGCAGAATGTTGGACACTTAAGTTTTCCTTCTCCTATAACATTAAGGAAGACATTAATTGAATAACAAATTTATAACTCAAACATTTGGTATTCGAGTAAGAATATTTGTTATATGAATAGGACTTACAATGTTAATCTCCCCTGTTGCTATTCGAGTAAGAAGATCTGTCATTTGGTTTTTCAATTCTATAACCTCATTTTCCAATCTATTGAATTGATCACGAACACGAACCCCGAACCCCATTCCTCTTACTCGTCCTCGTGGATCAGGACCGAGTACTTTTGCTACAGCATCATCTTTAATAGAACATTTCTGTTGTCCTGGTTCTTTTTTGTACTTTTTCACTTCTTTCTGAAAATTTACCACCACAAAAATAAAAACTTAAATATCAATCATAGGATAAACACTAAAAATATGCAGCAAACAGTTTTTACCACTAAATCTGGATCTTCAACGTCATCATCCTCATTCTTTTTTCTCTTTTCGTATCCATAGATCCAAACATCAGTCCTTGAAATTGCATTAGGTGTCTCACTTTTGTGTTGCTGCAAAAAAAGAAAGAAAAAGAAAGTCAATACTCACACTACAAATTGAGATCAAACTAATATCATTTTTACTAGTTCATCCTCTATGCAGGCAAAGCTTTTACGGCTTGTTCTATGCACTAAAGTTTGTGTTGACCTCATTTCCCTGAAGTTTTGACACTTTCCCTATGCAAAGAGAGAACATAACAAATTAACACTAAAATATAAATCAATTTGCCCCAACAAACATAGGTAAATATCCAAATATAAGATGTATCACTCAAATCAAATTCGTGAAACACTCAATCAATATCTACAACATCATCAATGGCAGCCAATACCAAAGATTAAGACACAACAAAGATGAAAAAGTAAAGCCACACTTACTCTAGTTTCTTGACTAGTTCGTTCTTTGAGAAATGAGAGCCATTCGTCCATAGTTTTTACATTGTCCGGTTTGAGAAGAGAAGCAGCGTGTGGTAGGCCAACCACTTGAGCTTGCTTCATCACCATTTTCACTAAATTAGATCGATGATCCCTCCAAAGTTTGCGTAACTTTCAAAAAGTATATTTCTTGTGGCAATCATCAAGACTGAACTTTTGCTACCATAAAAAAAATACAGATAAGGGAATCAATATACATCACAAAACAATGAGGACATAAAATAAAAAACCACTTCACTCGTCATACAAGTAATTATTAGTCCTAATAATGGTTATGTGGATATATTTCATATAAAACATCCACCACATGACACAATTGATCACACAAAACAATATCAAGTTAAAGAAATAAAGAAAATATCAGCAAGTATAATTGAACCATCACATAGTTGAAAGAAAGAAAATACCAGCAAGTATAAGCTTATTGCACCAAATATGCTACTCCTCAAGCACATTCAAAGCAACAATCCGCCTCATGACAATCATCTCATTTTTCTGACCTGGTACACATGAAAAAAAAAACCATAAGGAAAAAAAAAGGATTAACAGCTATATATTTTTGCATAAAAAGAAATGAAATTTGAGATATCTATGGTCTAGAAAAGCATATAACTGGTATGAGATCCATCTAACAATTCCCACGAAAAAGGTTTCTCAATATAAGCTTATGCACAGAATACACAGCTTTAGACAAAGACACACCAAAATCTTGTTATAATTGCACTCAATACCCAATTTATTCATTCCTCTCCACTTTTTTGGGATTTAACCAAACAATCCTATTTCTTTAGATATTTCTTAGGCCCACAATCACATGTACGAAGGTAATAGGCATATGAATACATTGAACATCCTCTTATGTAATAATGGACATCCTTCACAGAGAATGTGAACATAACTCTTTCCAAAGAACAGAGACCCCTACATCATTTTGTGAAAACTCAGAACTACACATCTGGTGGGGAGAAATTTGCCCTCAAAGAAGTTTGTTGATGGCCTGGCATTTATACAACATATCATAAATTGTATATATTTGATATGGAAACAGTGTACCATATGCAGTTTCAGAAAAGAAAAAGCTTTAGTTAGATTCATTACATTCCATTTTTAAAAAAAATTCACTTTCCAGCATTAAGATCAATGATCAAGGCCTATCATACATTCGAATCATTTTAATTATCACTTTGTCAAGAGAAAAATTTAATAATCTTCAAATACATGCAAATAAATGAACTCCACAATCTTATCAGTGAGTAAAATCATAAAGTATGTGGGTGTGAAGAAGACAGTGTGACATAATAATGGCCTTTGCCTTTGAGCAGAAAACCCAAAAGGCCAACCGAGGATCGAAAGAGGGAAAAATGTTTGAATCAAAACAAAAAAAGGTTAGTCAAATTATAGAGATTAATTGGCAGCTGTTGATTCAGAGATATGCATCATGCATATGCAAGGTGGTCCCATCTAAGCTGCTGTTGATTCTGAGATATGCATCATGCATATGCAAGGTGTCCCAAAGACAAGGGCAAAGGCAACATCAACGGCATCAGCAATGGCAACAACAACATCAGCAAAAAACGGCAACAAATTCTTTCATATCAACTTTAGCTAATTCACGCAGACACAACTTCTCTTCACTCCCCTTCTCTCCCTGAAGAGAAGGGTTTGTCGGAGTCAAGAAATAGGCAACATCTTCATGGGAATACTTCAAGGTAATGGGGATACGTCAATAAACGTATCTTTTTCGCTCCCCCTCCCCCCCTTGAATAGGAGGGGAGGGGAGCACTTAAATTGCAAGGAGAATGCAAGCATAAGTCACAAGAAAACCTGGCTCTGATACCAAGTCAAACAAAGTAAGGAAAATATATTCAGATATGCTCATATTTGCTCATATTGGCTCATATAATTATTCTTCTCCAATATGGAGGTATTTATAAAGAAGTACAACCCTAAATAAAATATTAAATAAATCCAAATTACAATAGAAAATAAATATAAATTATAAGAGGAAATAAATCTCAATTATAATAGGACTATATGAATGGGTAAATAACCAAAGTCCTAACATAGTAAGGAACCCAAATCCTACCGGGAGGGACCACCACGGCTCCTCTCGTCTCGAGAATCATACATCCCTTATCAGTATATGGATAGCTATCTCTCGAGCACAGGTTTAGGTTCGGCCTCAATGGGAAAATAAAACGGAGCACCTAACAACGTATCTTCACAGACCAAGAACTACTGGTTTTCAAAGAAAATCTTCTTCCATCTAGGGGGGAAGAACGTGAAATTATTTTTTCTTTCCGCAGGGACCAGGAGATTGGATCTAGCCGTAAGAAGAATGCTTGGCTGATAAATAACTCACTTCTTGGTCTTCGACCCCCCTCAATCACTATTCTTATATAGTACAAAAGAGATAAAAATAACTGGGGATAGTAGGTTGGTCTGGCCTATTGCTCTTTCCTTGTGCCTATTTCGCTTTAGGGGGTTGGTTCACAGGTACAACCTTTGTAACTTCATGGTATACCCATGGATTAGCAAGTTCCTATTCTTAACCGCCGCAAAACTTCAATCATTTCAATTTGTTTGAAAGGGGAAAGGGGAGGTAATATTTATCCTTAAATATTAATCTGTATTGACTATAAATCCCAATGACCAAGAATTGGAAAAATTCTTTCCGGCATCATCCCATTTCGAGGACTCACAGAAATGCCTCGGATGGTGCCACAATCTGTTCTACGTACAACAATGTGTTTTGTCAGAATTGAGAAATTCTATGGCTCGAATCTTTAGTATTCTCTTATTTATTACCAGTGTCTACTATTTAGGCAGAATACCGTCACCCATTGTTACTAAGAAACTGAAAGAAACCTCAACGAATATGGTGACAACGATCATGTGCAGAAACAAGGAAAAGTAGAGATGAGTGCTGAGAATTGGTTTCATCATGGTAATTGTATCAAGGTGTTTGTTTGATGCTTGGGTTATTGTATACATGTTCACGATACATGTATATATATACATAGGGAGAGTTAAAGATATGTTATGTGTGGGTGTGTGGATCTCTGATTGGAATTTCTATTGCACAAGTGGGGACATACACATATGATCATCAAAGACTTTTCCAATTCAAGCTTTTGGTTGCATCTACTCTAAATTCAAGATTCTTGATCAACATCAGTCAATTTAATAGAGACTTTGATAACAACTTAACTTCGTTTTTGGGTTGGCCGTGGACTTGAAGAATTAACAAGTCTTTGGATTACAATTTGCACAAGATAATAAGACCATCTCCAACCATGTTGAGGCTAAACTCAAATTTTCACCCTTTAAAATACAACTATTCATGTATTTTTAGGACTCAAATTGTTTTTTCCTCCAACCTTGTAGACTCATAATTTGAGTCTACAACTTTATTTAAATTGTTTAAAAATAGTTAGCCTTTGATTTTTTTTTTTGTCATTAATTTTTCTTGATATTATTTTTATTTCAACATTCGTGATTTAATTTTCTAAACATTTCAACCTAAAAAAATCCAAAATTCAAAACATAATATAATTTCACATTTAAGTACAACAAAAGGGAAAAAAAAGCACATCAACTTAAATTTTTTTTACCCCAAACAGAGCAACTTTAACTTTAAGTTGCAAGTTTAATAAATAAAAAAATGAAAGAAACAATAACTACAAATGGTGAGCTGCCACTTGTCATGCAAAAGCCAAGGGAGAGCTGCAACTTTCTTCCGCGTGGGGCCCACTCTATTTTTCCTCTTCATATGGGCTGTGCAGCATGAGTTGGGGTCCACAAAAAATTTACAGTCCAGGCAAAACCCACTGGAATTCTGCCCAGAATTCCACCCATCTCAAATTTCCACCCCTTAAAATACATAGGTTGGAGATGAATTTTGGACTCAAATCTCAAAATTTGAGTTTTCACCCATTGGGTTGGAGATGGCCTAAGAGAACTGTAATGTACACGTTGTCTTATTTTCAAGAATGCGCTCATCCAAAAGGTGCCTAGTTGGTATCCTTGAGGAATGATCTTGTCCAAATTAATCCGTTTGCAAAGTATCAATTAAGCACTTGTATACGACAAAGAAACAGAAAAGCATTTGCATACGGATCCACAAGGATGGTATTCCCATATATACTTGGAAATAACCCCAAATGATGCACTCATTTCAAACTTCTATTTTTGTTGACCTAAAATCGCAAGTTATGGTTCATAAGAATAAGCTAGCCTGTGAAATTGCACATAATGGTTGATAATTTGAAATCCAAACTAGTGCATTGCTAAATAAAATTAATCATATATTTATTCAAAGGACAAACAAATTAAGTTCAATTCATATTCAACTATATAACAAATGCTGATTTTGTTCGAATTGATCAATTTGCCAGAAGCAATTAAATCCCTAGCAGCCATTCGCCCCATCGGCGGTAGCCTTCCTTCCCCACTCCAATTCACCACACATGTAGCATCGTGTGAGGATAAGAATCACCTTATATCGAAAAGTTGAACAATTTTGTAAAGGCTTAGAGCAGGTCCAGCGCAGGACCCAAATTGGGGGAAAGGTGCAAGCCTGAGATGGCTCCAGCACAGGAGAAGCAACCCAGTTTCGTGGTGGGTCCCACCAGCCCGGGCAGGAACAAGGGCAACTTCCCACTGGGCTGCAAACCGAGTTTTGTAATGTCAGCGCTGATGTCATGCAAGGCAATTCAATTTTTTTTTTACTGTTGGCGCATGAATTACACGCGCCAACGGTAAAAAAAATTTGATTTCCGCGCGCTGACATCAGCGCTGGCAGAATCCAACGGTAAAGTGCCACGTGTCGCGACAGGGACGCTTCGATCTTTTTTTCAAGAAATCCGACGGTCCTCGTTTTTTTGGCTAAAAAAATTTGAAAAAATTCTGAAAAATTCTGAATTTTTTTTAAAAAAATACCAAAAAATTATGTATTTTTTCCCTATAAATACCTAACAATTTTATTCACTTTCCACACCAAATCTTCATAAAAACTCATCTCCTTCCAATATTTTTCACTTTCCACACCAAATTTTCTATTACAAAATTTCATTTGTGCAAAAATACAAATGTCATCTTCCATCGAAGCCGGAGGGTCGTGGACAAATGTTCGAAGAGGTCAAAATCCTGGCAACGAGGTAAAAAAAAAAATTCCGTTTTATTCAATTTAATGTCTTTATATATATATATATATATATTTCTTGCATTTTCAATTTCTTTTTTTTTAATAGATTAGTCAAGGCAAAACAAAAAAGAGGAAAACCATTACACATGGCTCCTCAAGTGAACAATGCCCGCAGTCAGTTCCAATGGTGCGTTCCGTGTCAGAAATAATGGCACTATTACGTCCTCCGAAGGAAAATACTCCCCCACGTCGTGATCCGGTGGAACCGCCTCCTCCAATGATGGAGTTGTCCTTGTATTCCATTGTGTCGGACTATGAGGACCAAGAATATTTCAATTGTATGATGAGTGAGTAGGTATTTCAATTGTATGATGAGTGAGATGTGAATTTTATAATAAATATGGACACGTGGTAACAGAAAATTTTATCTGAAAATTTTATTTGAAAATTTTATCCGAAAAATGTTATCTTAAATTTTAAGTGAAAATTTTATAATAAATAGTGACACGTGACAACCGAAAATATAATCTAAAAAGCTTATCAAAATTAATGGTTTAAAGTATAAAAAAATAGGAAATAAAGTACAATGAATAGTAATTGCCTTAGACTTGCCATAGACTTTATCCTCATGAGTGGAACCACAAATGCAAAGGCTGACACTATTCACGTGAATAGTGGCAACCATTGCTTTAAACTTAGCCCTTGTGGGTGGAAGTGCTCTTATAAGGGGTTGGGTCCATATCTCGTCATTGATGACGTGGGTAGAGAGCCTCAGAGATGGAAAGGTGAAAAGGTTGGGAAGTTTCCCTGGTGGAGCTTGAGATAACAACAAAGTGGGAATTGTAATAATTGTACCCTCCTGTTGTCTTGATTATTAGAAAAGTCTGCGACGAGCCTCAGATGACTAGGGACACATGACTTGCAAAGTCTTTGTCTTAGATATATAAAAGACCAAGAGAGAAGACTTTGATTTGATGGTGTTTGATTTAATTCGAATTTGGAATGGAATACATGTATAGTTGCACTTTCATATTATGATTTGTTGCGGATTGATTTTTTAGCTTTTTTTATTGAATTCAAATAGGAGGCACTTCTTTATTTGCATTGTAAACTTAAGTAAATAGAGTAATATAAAAATAAATTAAAATAAAAGGACAAGACATTTACTTAAATATTTAGAATGAAATAAGGCAATATAAGGGGAAATAAAAAACAAGAGGCTAATAAGCGGGCTTACTTGGGCCAGAACATGGGCAAACCTTATCAAGTTAGGCCAAGGGTTGATTGAAGGGCTCGAGATCTTCAAACTTCAACTATCACACAAATACATTAATGTTTTGTATAAATTTTTAAAAAAGATAAAGAAAAAAGAAAAACACCAATAGCATATATACTATTATACATATACATGAATTCCATTAAAAATTTATGGGCAATCATCTTCCATTGGGATCGTTAATCTCAGAGAAGACTATCCCAGACATTCCTTTCATGGACTCGTTGGTTGAAGAATTGTGATCACTACTGCTCTTGGTCACCCTACTAACCTTCAACTCCGATGACAAGTCTTCCCAGCTACAACTAAACCCCGCATCACTTGCAGCACTCATTAACGACTCCTCATCTTCACCCTTTTTCTCCTCACTCAAATTCAGAACTCCTCCTCCGCTCTGTTGAAGCTGCAATGCAAACTCAAGCCCCCACACCACGTCGTTCATTGACGGCCGTTCAATCCCATTATCTTGGAGGCAGCTCACCGCGATCTCAACGTACTTATTCAAACATGCATTTCCAATCTTACCCCTCAAGCTCGGATCAATGATCTGATCAATTTTCCCATTCCGATGACAGACTTTGGTCCACTCAGCCAAGCTCATTTGCTTCTTCTCCACCGTACGGATCAAAGCCGGCCTCGCGCACAATACCTCACACAACACTACCCCAAATGAGTACACATCAGACTTCTCCGTCAGCTGTTGACGACGGTAGTATTCTGGGTCCAAATACCCAAAACTACCCTTCACCACCGTGCTGATATGGGTCTTGGACACGGTGGTGGAGCCCATTTTCGAAAGCCCGAAATCCGAAACCTTAGCCACCCATTTCTCGTCCAATAAGATGTTCGTGCTCTTCACGTCACGGTGAATGATCGTGTACTTTGCGCCCGTGTGAAGATAGTGCAGCCCACGTGCTGCGCCAATACAAATCTGGAGCCTTTGATCCCATGCAAGAGGTGGATTATCAGTGTGATAGAGATGGTCACGGAGGGTCCCACGTGCCATGTAATCATACACCAAGATCATCTCACCTTCATCCGTACAATACCCGATGAGCGGCACCAAATGATTGTGGCGGAGCTGCGAAAGCATCTCGATCTCCGTCTTGAACTCGAGGGCCCCTTGTGATGACTCTGGTTTCAGCCGTTTGATCGCAACGGAGGTTGCGCCACCGTCAACATTGATGTTCCCTTTGTACACGTGGCCGAACCCACCAACGCCAATAATGAAAACACTATTGAAGTTTTGAGTGGCGGCTTTGATCTCAGCCAGTGAGAAGTAACGACACAGATCTGACGGTAGAGACGAGCTACGAGTCTTGGTTGACTTGTTCGTCGAAAAAGAAAATGGACCCCACTTTGTTCCGTGGCTGGAGCTTGAGTCCTTGACTTTTCCTCCTCGCCTGCAACCCAAGAAAATTCCGAGAACGAAGACTAAAACAAGTACGCTGGAAACTACACCAGCGACGATGGCAATCAGAGAAGTTGAACTCTTCTTCGAAATTTTAGGGCTTTGCGGCGGAGACATCTTTGGTGGGGTTAGAGGTGGGTCGGGATTGGATCCGGCAAGATTCTGATTTGTGTCACTGAGTTTGAAGATCTCGAGCCCATTCAAGATTGCATCGTTGAAGTTGGTCATAAAATCGTTTGGGTTTGCTTGCAGTGCGAGAGAGAGATTAACTTTCTTCTGGCTTCCAGGGCCTGCAGGCATGAACACAACGTAATCCTTGTAAATTGGTCTTCCATTTCCGCCACTCCACATGATGATATCCGCTCCTTCTTCAGCGAGATCGTTGGCTATGTAGATAAGAAAATTTCGGTCTCTGGAATTGACAATGTCAGGTTCAAACTCGCAGAAATGAAGCCTAACCAGGTAATAAAACTTGGGGTCAACTGGGAAATTCCAGGAGAGATTATAGCTCTTGTTTATGGTCTTGTTCATGCCCATTGACCGGCCAGTATGGTAAAGTTCTTCAGGAGCAGAGTACTCTGCTATTTCAGTAAAGCTAAGTTCGATACTACTGTTTTGTGGTAAAACACTAAACTTAGAGCTTAAATCGTCTAAGTACTTGTGCTCTTCTTGCTCGCCATCCCAGTTTCGGTACATACCAGTGTCCTGATTGAAAACCAGTGATCTTCCACCGACGTTGAATCGGTACACCATTTCCAGCGCAGTGCCGTTATCGATCCGAAATGTGTTTTCGCTGCCTATATAATTAACTCCAACTGAATTTTGAGCAGAGGTGTAGTAAAGATTGTTGGGCATGGACACAATTTCAATTCCATTGATAAACGCATACGCATCTGCAGTTGCTCTGCTTGGCATGAAAGTGATGTTCAAGCTCTGTTCTGACTCAACGTTGAGACAAAATTCTCTGTATATTGTATCAGACTCAGAAGCATCGGCAGTGACTGAAGAGTTGAAGTCATTGAGAAGGGTGAAGCCAGCGGCTTTGACTGAGAAGAGGGCTTTGGATCGGTCGAAGTCAGGGCCATATGAAGCTGGGTTGAAATACAAGCGGATGAACTTTTGGCCGGTGGCGACTAGAAATCTGTATGTAAATTCAGAGCGAGAAAGCCTTGCAGTGCTGTAAGGTACAGAGGAGGAAGAAGGTGCTTCTCTGGATATGGAGGGGCTGCCAGCTGCTTGGTTTTCAAAGGGGGAAAACTTTGAGTTGATATCTCCAGTCCAAGTTCTGGTGTCGTCTGGATTGAGTTGGTCGCCGGAAAAGCCACATTGAAGGGTGATATCCTCCACCGGAGTGTAGATAGGAGAAGTATCACCGGCCACGTGCACGGTGATGATGTGCAGAAACAGGGGAAGGAACAGAGGAGTGAGAAAAGGTTTCATGGTTATTGATTTATGAAGGTGTTTACTGCTTGGATTCTTCATGATTGTTTGTAAGAGAAACAAAGGAAGCTGCTGTTTATTATTGTAAGCATAACAGAACTTGCCTGTTTAATTAATTTCTAATTGGAAATGGAAATCCTAATGACGCTGTGTTCTATACTAATTAGCCACAAGGAGAATAAGCTTTGCAAAACTGGGCTTTAGATCTTGGGGTTGGAGAGTGGATGTTTGAAAGATAAGAGGTTTTTATTTTTTATTTTTTTATTTTATCTTTCTACTGAGGAAAGTTCAAAGCTTTGGTGAGTTGCTTGTGTGTATGGTATGTAAGGCCTTGGTTGTCATGTCAATTGTGTAGGTGAAGATTTCATTTTATCAACGAGATACATACACTTTTTGGGGAAAAAAAAAGTGAGTGAAGAAATTACTTGGAAATGCTAAAGAAGTTTGTCATCTTCTGCTATTTTACAAAGTTTGTCATCTTGTAATTTCTTTTGAATTGTTGATGTGTTTACTAATTAAGAATTAAAATTCTCATTAAAAATTAAATTCCAGCTATTGAAGATTCTTGCATTTACTTCACATCAATGAATTAAAAAGTAAATGAGACTCACCGATTTTGGAGGAATTCTCATGTTTTTAAGCACTTGCCCTGTGTAACATGAGACTGATTCAACCATGCAACAGGGTCCAAAATTTCTGATGATTAAATCAGCTTTGTCTTCAACTTTGAGTTATGATATTATTGAATTTCTTGAGCAGAAGTGGAGGCATGGATCCAAGACTTGCATGCCAAACTTTTGTCTGCATACGTTTTCTAAATTAAAGATTCTCGATCAAAAACAGTAGCAGCTGTCAGCAGAGCAGTAGACTTGACGAATTCAGTCGTTTGCAGAAGTCTCCATGCGTACTTCACTTTCCAAACAACAAGTAGTGGAGATTGTGTAGTTAATTATATATTCTTTCTTTAGTAGAAAAGTCTCATTCACCTCTAGCAAACTTGTTAAATGGTCTCCAGCTATGAGTTGGTAAACGTCGTTTTAATCAAAATCACATTCATCAATTAGCTACTAGTTTAGTGGAACTTGTTTTTTACGTGCCGAGAAGTTTGAATGCGTCCTCTTCCGTTAATAAAAGAACAAAAACAAATCGCATTGTTTTGATAAAATTTATGTTCATCGATTTCGAACTAGAACTTACTAAATGCATGACATTTTTATATAAGTTATGATTAAGTGTTTTTTATTTGTAAAATACGAATTAAAGCAGGCTACCTGGTTCATGAATGGCAAGCGTAATAAAATTTTGTAAAGTTAAATGTTCTGTTGTATTTTCCTTCACCATATCAAGACGTTCATGTGTTGAAGAATACACAATTCCACATCGGAAACTTAACAAAATAGAAAGTCTCATATAATAAATGGTTTCACTCCTAATAATATCGAGATCTTTTGAATAACACCCCACACCTACTAAACAGGTGATTAAGTTGGGAACAATATCGATTTTGCTAGTAGTAGACCAAGACTCCGTCTCTTTGAAATCTTAACATCATGAACAATACCAAATGTTATTTTTTTGTTATGTTATTCATGCACAATAACTTCTTCTTTTTTCCAATTAATAATGGGATGTACAATACATGCATACATGTACTCTCCTAAGTACATCCGGACATCCTACCGAACGGCAACCGGGGAAACACCGTTCTCCATGGCTTTTGGCTCGGAAGCTGTAGTCCCAGTGGAAATTGGAGAGCCCTCCTACCGAACGGAAGCTTTCGCACTAAAGGCGAATGAGGAGGCGCTCGCCTTGAGCCTCGACCTGATCGAAGAACGCCGAGCACAGGTCAACCTTTGGAACGAAGCTTACAAGCAGCGCGTCTCTCGGTACTATGACTCCAGGGTTAGACCCCGCTCGTTCCGAGTCGGAGATTGGGTCATGTGAAAAGTCTCTCTGGCAGCTAAGGACCCCAGGGAAGGAACCCTCGGACCTTCCTGGGAAGGACCTTACGAGATCATCGGCATCCAGTGATCGGGGACTTATCGACTCAGGGACTCCAACGGAAAGACCCTCGGTCATCCTTGGAACGTAGAGTATTTGAAATACTACTTTAAATGAAGTCACCTAGCTTACGGCAGGTAGAAAACATTGTTAAAGCCTACGACTTATTCTTGCTCACAGCCTACGGGAGTGTAGAGTTCCCTAGCCTACGGCAGGTTTCAATTGTAAAACGAACTCCAAATGTATCTTTGCCTTAGGCAATTATTAATGAAAAGACCTTCGGTGCTTATATTCGCAACCTTCGGTGTGTTCATTTTTCAAAAAAAAAAGATGAGGTAGAGACCATCGGTCGCAGTATACTACATTTTAAAATCCTTTTATTGCCTTCGGTAATTGATGTACCACGGTATCCTTTCCTACCGACAGAGGTTTAACTTGTCTTTTATTAAGCTTATTAAATGACTTTAAGATCACCTTATTTAGCCATCGGCACTTGAAAGGGTAATTTCAGAGTAACTATTACTAGCCCTCGGAAGTAAAGTGTTAAGCCCAAAGTTGCTTACCGATTCAGGGTTCACTCGAAATTTGAACTTATACTAGCCTACGGCAGTTAAGCCAATCATTTTGCCTTCGGCAGTTACAATGATTAGTTTTGAACCTCGGAAGTTAGCTTGCACTAACCTACGGCAGTTAAGCCAATCGTCAAAGTGTTCAGAACATATTGCCTCATGACATATTACATTTAATAAAAACTTAAACAAAGCTCAAGCGTCAGTCTCCTCCTCGGCATCAGGGGCAACGGGCTCTTCCGGGACGTCCTCCACTTCTATCATCTCCAAGAGCTCAACCAGCTTTAGTTGAAAATGAGAAGAAGCTTTTGGAGAAGATTATCATTGCAGAGCGTACGAAACTTTCTGTCAGGCGGCAGCCTCCTCGGCCTCGGCAGCACCCTCCTCGACATCGGCAGGAGCCTCTTCTGGGGCATCCTCCCCCTCATAGCCCTTGATCATTTCTTTGGTTATGCCTTCAGGAAGAGGGGGAGAATCGGCAATGAATTTGAGGTTGAGCTTTTTTCCAGGGTTGTACCGCTTGAAACGGTAGAGCAGATCCGCCATTTCCGAGCTCACTTCCTTGTCAAGCAAGGTAGTAAACTCTGAAGACTGACGGTACCCCCGTATCGCCTCCTGGATGGCAGCCTCGATCTCCGAAGCCCTGACCTGCTCCGACTCCTCAAAGGCCACCTGGATCGCCTCCCTCGACTCCAGAGCCTCCTTTGCCGCTGGTTGCGCCGACTCCAGGGCTACCGATATCTCACCGAGCTTGGCTTGATAAACTTTAACCTGCCATTCGGCAGCCTGCATGTCCTTCGCCAAGTTCGCCTGAGCTTGGATAGCCTTGCCAGCCTCGGCAACTTTCGCCCTGCCTTCTTCATAAGCCTTCTTCGCCTTTTTGGCGGCATTAATGGCTCGCTTGAAGCACAGCCACATGTCCATTGAAGCCTGAAGAGCAAAGGAAAATGTCAGACAAGGATGGAAACAGACGGTAGGAAAAGCTGAGAATTGTTAAGTACTTACCGAAGCTTGAAGACGGAAGGCGCGGCCAGCCTCCTCCCGAAGGAGCTTCTTCGGCAGGTCCTTGATCACGGACAGCTCCATTTGTGAACCGAGGATCATGTGGTTCACAAACTGGACCGTCTTCGAAGGACAGGCCAGAGTGACAGCTTCGGGAGGCGCCTCGCCGTCCTCAGCAGCAAAGATGGCCCTAGCAAGCTCGGCCTGTCGCCCACACTTTGGAGCAGGATCGGCCTCCAGATCGACTGTGAATGGCCTTTTGCCGGCAGCTTTGGAGGAGGTACCCTCGGTAGGCATACCTCGGCCGGGAGATGGACCGGCAGCAGCCGCTTCGGCATGCGCCGATTCAGCGTTCATCTGACGACGACGCTCGTTGAGGGTTAGGTCATCGGGGTCAACTCCTCCCGAAGACGCTGGTGCTGTTTCCGGCTGCCACCCCTTGTTCTTCTTCCCCTGCATGCCGAGCAGTCATCCTCTCTTTGGTCACTACAAAGCAAAGATCGGTCAGATTTCCCATTATGGCTTTAAACTGTGTTGAAATGAACAAGTACACTTACTCTCAACAAGGTTGACAAGTTGAGCTTTGATGAGATTGGTGGTGAAGAGGAACTTCGGGTAAATTCTCTCCACGGCAGGGACTTTCTGCCTCACCCTCTTGATCTGTCAGATCTCCTCTTGTGTAGCGCTCAGCTGCTTCAATTTGCCTGCACAAAAAGGAAACGGAATTAAAACTTTTTGAAGGACGACACACTCTAGGAGGCCTACCGAACGGTACGATGGCCTACCGGCAATTTGGAAGGTAGTGGTGAAAACGGACGGGATGTACTGAGAGCGACTCTAGGATTGCTGGGATAGACTACCGAAACCCTCGGCCGAAAAGATGGTTCGGCAGCTGACTTTCCACGGCCGGAAGTGGAGGCCTCTGACTGGCGACTAGCACTCGCTTCCCCAGGCAGGGCTTGACTAACATGGCGACCGTCGCTATAGACAATAGCCAGCGGTACCGGTGCAGTCATTAACCTTTTTCCGATGCTGTGTGTAGGAACGGAGCTGGGCCCTTCACCGAGTATCTCAACATCGGTATCACTTCCATCCTCGGCATCGGGCCCTGCCGCTTCACCATCAGAGTCAAAGAGATCGTCTGATGACTCCTCATCGAACGCATTGGGCTCACGCTCGGAGAATGACTCGCTATCAGACATCTACAAAAACAGGGAAAAAGGAAACTAAGGCTCATGCCGGATGCTATCCTACTGATCCCTACATCACTACCTATGGCGACTAGACTACCGAACGGAACCCTATGGTTAGTCTAGTTCAAACCAAGGAACGACGTAACTCTTAAGATAAATAAGAGAGTAAATTGAAGTTACCGAACGGTACCTTAAATCAAACTCTGGAAAAGAAACACGAACTGCACTCCAGATCATCTTGACGAAAATCGCTTTTCTTGCCGTTCGCAACGCCGGAAATCGCCTGGTTACCATTAGCCCTTGTCGAAAATCGCCTTGAATGCCGGAAGCTCTCGTCGGAAATCGTCTCAACAGAGCTCCCGCTTCTCACGAAATGCAAAGTGATTTTGCCTCCGGGTTCATCTCTATTTATAGGGAGAGGGGTCGCAACGGTATACCTCGGAAAACCAAACGGCGCATTAATGCGCCACGCACCATGATTACTCTCACCACGTGTCGCTCATCCTATGGGGGACTGACGGTACGCGAGGCACGGAAGACGAAGTGCCCAGATGTCCCTTCACCCGTCCACTCGACGTGACCTTCTGACTTCCTCGACGTCGGCCTCTAAATGAACAAGAACGAAAAAGCCAAAGTTGAGCCCTTCCACCAAACTGGTTTACCGAACGGTAGGACAACATTTTCCTTCCGAAGACAACTTCAAATCCCCTTCCGAGAACTCTCGCAAGAGGACTTGGGGACTCCTGTTTATACCAAAATGAACAGCCAATGAACATCGGACACGTGGACCAAACTAGAGCTATGGGAGCCTTCGGCACCTAGCTTCGGTATCGTGCCTACCGATCGCACGATTATGCCAACCTCACCCCCGGGGACACGTGGCTGTCCCGCAATTGATGTCCACAGTCCCACATCGAAACTCTAAACAAATTGCACACCTCCCAAGGCCTATAAAAGAGGACAACTACCCCAGCTTGGAGGTAATCAATCAGAACTTACCGCATACTGTCTATTGATCTGTAGTTCAAACTTATTAAATCCGTACTTACTTAAGTATTGGAGAGCCTTCGGCCGGTACCACACCGGTGCCCTAGGTCTTACCGAGCGTTTGCTATCTTGCAGATCGAACGCCCTACCGAGGCCAAGAGCATACCGAAGGCCCAATATCTCTAAGTTGCGTGGGAAAGTGCCGAACCATTTTTCTGCGTCAACAGTATAAATAATTAAACGACAGGAGCAGGGAAATATTCTTTTTTTGAGTGTTGAATTTTCTGAGGGCCAACTAGGCACAAATGGCGACAAACTTTCTTTTCAATCTTGTGAGAATTTTATGTTCTTTTCTAGCAATTCATGCTTTTACAGTTCAGTCAATTCAAAGTGGTGGAGAGGGACGGGAAATAGGGCCTGGTGAGCTTAGAAGCTATCTCAGGGCAGGGGTAGTCTTGGGGTGATGGAAGTGGCGCTATCGGACAGGGTTTTGGAATTTTTTATTTATTTATATATTATATATATAAATTAATATTATATGAATTGTATATATAATATAGTGTGTGGATATTTGCACAACAGCGTGTTCAGGGGAATTGGTTGGAGCGCATATTTATTTGGCAAAAGGGCCAGAGTTCGATACTCCCTGAGGTCGATATATTGGCTAGATTTTTTTGATATTTTTTTTTCAAATTTACAAATTTAAATTTAATTTAAAATAAAAAAAAAAAAAAAAAAAAAAAAAAAAAAAAAAAAAAAAAAAACAAACAAAAAAAAAAAAAAAAAACAAAAAATAAAAACGTGTGAAGCTTAACCACACCAAAGGAGGAGTATATATATCTCCCAAACGTTCTTAAAAATAAAATAAAATAGGTTTTCTCCTCCAAGAAAAGTACTTTCTTCATTCAAAACAAAACGAAAAAAACTTCATGGCTTCTTCTTTCTCTTAACTCTGGTTTTCTAGTAAATAATCATCATTGTTCATCAATCTCTCTTTGGTTATTTTTTCAATCCTTTGACAATTTATATTATTCTTTCAATTTCAGGAATTTGAACACCAAAAAGAGAAAACCCTTATTCCTAAATTCATAAAGACCACTCAAAATCAAATAGTCATATTCAAATCTCAATTCAAATTCAGGTATGTATCTAAATTTCAATATATTCTATAAATTACATGACTTATTTTATTAAATTATTATCATGTTGATGATTGGTTATATGAGAATATAGTTTGTAGAAATATTTTTCTGTGATTCTTGATTGTAATCCAGATGCTAGCAACCAAGAACAAATGAGTTTGATAGTAAGATGTGTGGATGTCTCTACTAATCCAATAAAGGTTAAAGAATTCTTTTTGGAATTTTTTATTGTGAATGATACAGCAGGACAAGGACTTTTGAAGAGTTGCAAAAACTTGAGCTTGATATTGATAATGTGAGAGGACAAGGCTATGACAATGGATCAAATATGAGTGGGAAATACCAAGGTGTCCAAAGAAAACTTTTGGATGTAAATCCTAGAGCATTGTACACACCTTGTGGTTGTCATAGTCTTAATTTAACATTTTGTGATATTGCAAACTCTTGTGGAAAAGCAAAATATTTTTTTGGAATCATACAACGTATTTATACATTGTTTGCTAATTCTACAAAGCAGTGGAAGATATTGAAAGATAATGTTAAACACTTAACTCTGAAATCATTGTCAGTTACACGTTGGGAAAGTCGTATTGAAAGTGTAAGAGCAATAAGATTCCAAGCTGCAGATTTAAGAGAAGCTTTACTTCAGCTAGTAGAAAGTTACGGTGACTCCAAAATAACAAGTGAAGCTAATTATTTGGCAACATATGAACTTGGAAATTTTGAGTTCTTATTGGGGATGGTTATTTGGTATGATGTATTAGGTGTTGTCAATGTAGTTAGCAAAAACTTACAATATGAAGACATGCTTATTGATGTTGCTATTGATAAAGTGAAAGGGTTGATTACTTTTTTTGAAAAGTATAGAGAAAATGGGTTTACAGAAGCTATGTGTACTGCTAAAGAAATTGCTACTGACATGGGAATTGACCCGATGTTTCCTGAGAAGAGAAAAATTCGTAGAAAAAAACATTTTGATGAGAATACTTGTGAGCCATCCCAATAAGTTCCTGAATACATGCATGCATGTACTCTCCTAAGACAGTAGTATAAATAATTAAACGACAGGAGCAGGGAAATATTCCTTTTTTGAGTGTTGAATTTTGTGAGGGCCAATTAGGCACAAATGGCGACAAACTTTCTTTTCAATCTTGTGAGGGTTTTATTTTCCCTTCTAGCAAATCATGCTTTTGCAGTTCAGTCAATTCAAAGTGGTGGAGAGGGACAGGCAATGGGGCCTTTGGATAACTCAGGCTCAGAAGCTAACTCAGGGCCTTTGGATATCTAAACGGCGACGGTTTGGAAGACTGTGGGCCAAGCATATTGATTGTGGGCCAAGGTATCCAAATTTACATTTCGGGAGGTGGGGCTGGGGTCCACCTGCTAATCTTAATTAGGATCAGTTTTCAACGATGTGTTCATGGAGATGGGACCCCCGTTTGATGAGCCGGGTAAGGTTTGGGCCCATGCTTTTGGGCCCACAAATGGAAGGCTACACGTGGATGCCTAATGAAACATAGTACGGTTAAAAATGCCATTATGTATGCCTACGTTTCTGCTGGAAAGACTAAGAGGGCTTTGCACAGTGATGATATTGCCGGCATACAAGCTTTGTACTCCCAACCATAGATCCTACATGCCATGACGGAATTTCCGTCTATACCGGCATCATAATATCAGATTGGGGAGGAAGATTGGAATTAGAGATTGATAGAAAAGCCAGGATATGGGCTCTAAGTAAGGACTCGCCAACATTTAGGTCAAATATCAATATATAGAAACTCATTAAGATCAGTGAAAACCTCCAACAAGCATGTAAACCCTAGGAGTATGATATTTACCCTAGACGAAGCAAGCCTCAAATTAAGTATGGTATTTACTCTAATTTGCATCATATTAACTCAATTAAAAGTCTAGATGGTGATCAAGCATCAAGATAATAAACCAAGTTATTAAACACAATGATTAAGAATCCAACATCAAACGGTAATCACTAGATAGGTAAAGTAAGAAAACTAGATTATCCTACTAAGGCTACATCATGCCCTAGCCAAACGAAAATTAGTTACACATAGTCATAGAATTTGTCATGAGCAAAAACATAAGAAAGAAATAATAAAACTTAGCCAAATGCGGTACTCTTCCGGTCTCTCCAATCTCTCCAAGTCTAGCATAACTCAGAAAGGAATTGTTTCTCATGCTTAAATAAAAACACTACACGTCTATTCCTACCCTAGCTGGGCTTTTATAGCTACTCAAAAATAAAGAAAAACCTAATTAAAACATAAATCCAAAATAGGTAAGTAATTGACTTCTCTTCCTACTTTGACTATGATAATACATCAGTGCTTTGCATGCACGTTTGGAGTCGTTCCTCCTTCAATAAAATTCGGGAAAAATATGTAAATGTAGATCTTTGTCTTATCGTTCCAACCATATATCGCATGCCTTTAGGAAAAATCAGGAAGACCTTTAAATTTCCTTTTTCGCACAGTAACTCAAATCTGATGGGATTGCACTTATGTTGACTTGAGTTCAAAGACTATTATTATTGGCTACTCCGAAAATTCTAGAAAACTTCCACAATCATTTTCAAGGTCTTAGCTTCAATCTCCAACTGGCCTTACATAAAAACTCCACCAAAAAGTCGTATTTTCATTGAAAATCAATTAACTGCTTTGGAAAGCTAAAAGTGGAGAAAATAAAGTAATAAGTCCTTTTTAAACCCAATTGTCCTTAAAAAAAAACTAAGTATAAAAAGTAAATAAATGTGTAAATTTATGGACTTATTAGGTTTCAGTTGTGTGCTTGGTGCAGGATTTGTGCACATGTATTATGCTCACTTACATGGGAAATTTCTGTAGAACTTATAAGATTTTAAATCACACTTATGTGATTTGCTTTCATAGAAAATCACATCTATGCATCCAAATCTTTCAAGGTGGCTAAGGATTTTAAATAAGTCTTGGATAATGTGAATCATGGTCCCCTAGTTTTACGTTGTTTTTCAACTGATCATATGAATTATTTTGGTTGATGATTATGTATGTTATTAAAATTTGAGCTCAAATCATTGCTTCCTTACTCTTGTTTTGGGAGGGATTTCATGTCAGTGGTGGATTCCAAGGCTCAAACTCCTCTCAATTATTGTTTCACAATCTGTCCAGTATTTACTTTCGAGCACTTTCATTTCACTTTCTTCTTTTCATTTCAACAACAAAACCCCCCATTTCGAGTGCGTGTGTGGTGCTAGGATTCTATCCTAGACCTTGAGTAATTAGCAAGAGGCATTGTTGAATTCAACCTTGCCTTTAGCTAGTCAATCAAGTTCTTTGTTCTATGTGTTTCTAGCATTCTAAGTAATTTAACTTGGAACCAAGTTACCATTCTCCGTGAAATCGACCTCGTATTTACATAAGCTATACTATAAACGGTTCGTGCACTTGCGAGAATTAAAGTTGCTGTTTTTAATAACTTATTTTAGTTGTTAGGAATCGGCTCAACACCATCTAGCCCATCCTGTCTCATTGGTCACATTAAATAAAATATAAAACAAAGAGAAGCAATCATTGGTCAAAAAGAGAGTATCATGAGCTGCAATCACAAGGCAAGTCACCAACAACACATATGGGTTGGCAGCTTTTTCTTTATGTGGGCCATATTCGGTTTCAAGGGCTTCAACCATGAACATAAATATGGGTATAGCTCCAGTGGGGCTCAATCATTTAAGGCCCCAAAACTGAACCATTAGGGATGACTTTTTTGCTTCAGTTGCTATATATTGCAGCCCAAAGGTGGTGTAGCCCAATTTAGAGCCCCCATTGGGGATGGCCTAATGGGTTGGGAGCAACATGGTTGATGCGTGTGTGGGGCTAAATTGACGGTAGGTCCTCAATTGGTAATTTTTAAAAAAGTTTGAGCCTTTAATTTACAGCTTTTAATCACAAAACGTCCCTGAGGTTAACAAAACTATCAGATTGCATCCTTCTTGTTTTTTGGTGTCATTCGTAGTCCTCAACGTTAACGTGGGTGCTCACAAATAGTCCTTGTAGTTAACTTCCATCCAAAAATCTGTTAAATTGTTGACGTGGCATACATGTTGGACTCACATATCCAATGAAATGATGCCACATGGATTATTTTAAAAATTATATATTTCAAAAATAATTTTAAATTTATAAACCATAGAAAACTAATAATAAAATAAAACAAAAAAAAAAAAAAAAAAAAAAAAAAAAAAAAAAAAAAAAACAACTAGCTCCATTGCATGCCTCTCTCTCTCTCTCTCTCTGTGTGACCTAACCCCAACCCCCAGTTCCCCCTCCTCACAAAAATAATCAATGGTTACTATGGTTATGAATTGATGCTGATTTATTGATGATGATGAAATTTTTTTTTTTTTTTTTTTTTTTTTTTTTTCCCTTCCGAATTTGAATCATCAAACCGTCCAACCATAGTAGGCATAGGCATATCAGTGGCGGTGGTTGGGGTGGGCAAATTAGCAGAGTCGATGAGGTGGGGGAAAATCTACGATATCTGGGTACAGGAAGGGGGGCTGGGGTTGGGTCAGGGAGGGAAGAGAGAGGCTAAGAGAGGGGGCAGAGAGAGACCAGATAGAGGAGGAAGGAGGGGGAAGGGGTGTAGCGGTGCTTGGGGGTGATGTGCGATGGAGCTCGTAGTTTTTTATTTTTTGGGGTCTGTAATAATTTTGATTTCTTTTATTATTAGTTTGGGTTTTATGGTTTACAAATTTAAAATTATTTTTGAAATATATATTTCATGATATAATCCACGTGGCATTATTTCATTGGATATGTGAGTCATATATATGCCACGTCAACAATTTAACAGATTTTTAGACGGAAGCTAACGACAAAGACTATTTGTGAGCATCCGTGTTAACCTTAAGGACCACAAATGATACAAAAAAACAATAAGGACACAATTTGATAGTTTCGTTAACCTTAAGGGTGTTTTGCGATAAAAAAAAACCTTAATTTACCCAAAAAAATTGTTAAAAGGCTAAATGGATAATATGCAACTCGTTTAGGGGGTAAAACCACAAAAAATCCGAGTTATAATGAAAGAGTTGTGATTTAAAGAAGTTCAATGGCAATTTCGACATTTTAGAAAAATTTGGATTTTAAGTGGCAGTTTCTCGTTAGGTGTTATTCATAATTGTTTAAAATTAAAATAATTTTCTTATTTATTTATTTTTCTTCACTTTTGTGAAGAAAAAGTTTATGAAACCAATCTGAAACTTCTTTATGATTTTTTTGCAGATATTACTCCCCATCGTAGTAATGTTGTTGTTAATAGCTATAAGGATGCGTGTTGATACTCAGATTCACCCGTCGCAGCAAAGGAATATCACCTAACTTTGAACAAGTTTTGGAATTACTGTTGAATAAGGAAGAGTTTCTGGCTTTTGCTCCAGACACCAAAGAAACAAGGTCAATGATTAACATAATATCGGTTAAATTTCCCCTCTTGAAGGTACCCATTCTTATCTATTGCCTGATTTTGTTACTTTTGGTATGTAGTTGTGTGTTCATGCACATGCTAGGCACATTCTTTTTCTTTAGCACATCTGACCTTTGACACCTCTTCTCTATTTTGAAATTTATTTTTAAAAGCTAGCATTGAAGTCTTTGTCACATATGAGATTTGTTAACCACCCTGCATAGAATGGATGATATTGGTGTGGGACTCCAGTTACCCTCAATTGGATATCAAGAGTGCATTGTTTTCATTCTAGCAAACTATTGAAAAAGAAGATGTTTTGTTATCGTTACCATCCTGCTTTGATTTTCTTAAATGGTGTCCATTTGCATGGGGAGGCTTCATCTTTAGATTATGATTTTGGGGCTATCATAATTCATTAGTACAGTATTGTGGGTGAGACATGGTCAATTAGGCTCTGTTTTTTTTGTTGTTGTTCTTTTCCTAATAAAAAAAATTTAGGGTTAAGTTCTTGTCTTTCTCGCACTTTCTCGGCCTTTCGGTTAAGACTAAGTGTAGTATATGTTCGTATTAGTAGTTTCAGGTGATTGACCCAATGGCCATTAATTATTAGGCATGGAATGTGTTGCTTTTTATTTATTAGAAAAATCTTATTTTCTGCCCCTTCCTTTTAACTGCACGTATTAGTTGCAAAGTTCTTTGCTTTGTATTCCCATATGGTTCTCTTTGTCACATTCAAGCATGGCTTTGTTAGTTGGAATTTGCTTGTATAAATTAGAAAATGAAATAACGGGTTTCACAATGTGTCTTTTCATTTCCTTCACAAGGGTTTTCATGGCACAAGCTAAATAAACTCCATTTCATACTTACAGATAATGTTTCTAGAGTTTACAAAGATGAACAGGAGCTGGAAACCTATATAGGCTCAGATCTCTATGGTACCTGCAATCAAATAATGTAAGTCGTACTTTTGTATCACAGTATGCATGATTTTTGAAAAAAAAGGAGCCAACTGTGCTGGAGATATTACATTGGTTATGGTATGTTTTAATATCTGCACACTCTAATTACTTTACAGATTAAAATGTGTTTTGCTTTTGTTTTTATTTAATATTTTATAATTATTTAATATATTTTTTTTAAGTAGTTATCTGTGACTTATGCTTATAGTTTAAGACTCTTACTACACTGTATTTCTTATGTGATGGCCATTGTGTGATCACTGGATGGCTATTTTTTTAACAACGCAAGTCTGTTTGATTCTATGAGAAGTCACATTATTAAATTTAGCTGTGTCACTGAATAAACTGAACTATTTGTTTAGGAATTGCTCGAATAAAAAACCAGAGCAGTAGTATTTCATGACCAAGGTCCCCAATCTTTTGATCATAGCATGCGTCTCAATCACACTTGGGCTTTCTCAAGATTTCCTGACGTTAAATCCATCGTGGACACAAATGGTCCCTAACTTAATGACTTGGAACTTTGTCATTAACTATATTTATAGTTTCTAAAAAGCTTTCTATTCTCCTGTTGTGTTCCCAAAATTTGCCTATACAAAAAGTTGGGTTTGGATTATTAGTTCTTTTTATGCAATTCAGGGTCTAGTTAAAAGTAATTTAATAATCGTTCTTTTAACATTTGTTTAAGTAGATCATTGGTGATGGTTTTCTGAATCTGAATGTTAAGGTGAAACTTCAACTGATTAGTGGCACAGACATAGACAGTCTTTTTTCCTGGCTTCTTCCTTAACTCATTCATCTATATGCCGGTGGAAAAAAAATATCCCTTACAGAATATTGATTTTTTAAATTTTGGTATGTAAATCCTACAATATAAATAATAGCACATGCTGTCTCTAGTAACATATAAATTGTTAGTACATGGTATATTATTAAGAGTCTGTAGGGGCTTTTTCTTCCGGCAGCTAAAATGGGCTGGGCTGCCGTAAAGGGCAGATTGATGAAATTTTCCCCCTTGAGCCTGAGTTCGAAAATCAAGCCCCAAAATGCTTCGAAAGGGCAGTAGAGTCTTAGGAAGCATCTTGGTTATCTTCACCAACCAAAACAACAGCAACTTACAGATAAATTCTTGGCTTGGCATGAGAAGCTTGTGGCATGGGAGCAAATTGTCATGAGTTTAGCACTGAAGAGAAAACTAAGTATTCCTAGGGGAAAGATGGGGTATTAAGGTTGGAGAAAGGATTTTGCAGAGAGGTTTGGTTGAGCATGAGGAAAAAGAGAGAAAAAGGTGGCTTGAGTGTTTTTCCGGCATCTTGACAGAGACTCTGTCAAGTGTCAGAACAGCTTGCCAAGAGGGAAAACTAAGGGAAAATGATGGGCTGAGCACGAAATTGCTGGGTTTTGGGAGTAAGAGAGGAAACTTGCTCTCTGATGTGGTTGATGCTTGTTGGGTAGAAGAGGCCCCCTTTTATAGCCGCTGGAAGTTGACATTTTCCAAGAAACCCTAATGGTTTCTATCCAATTTGGCCAAGTCTTTCCCTTCCTTTCTCCCCTCATCCCTTCAATCATTCTATTTTGGTGAAATTTCCTCTGCCCATTTACATAAAATCAAGGATTTTGGGTGCTCAAAGCCCCTTTTTCCCGCTACTGTTTCAGACTCCTATTTTCAGCCATATTTCTTCCTTCTTTTCTCCCCTCTTCCAAGGCTAGGTCCGATGAGGGAAAGAAATGGGTATGCATGCTGGTTCAAAGGGTGATCTGCGCTCCAATATCCCTTGGTCATTTGGAAGTTTCTTGCTTGAAAACTTGTTCCTTCCCTCCCAGCAACCAGCGTGGTCTTCCATGCTTCTTCGTGGCTTTTGTTTTCCAACAAAGTGCTGATGGTTTTGCAGGTCTTTATTTTATTTATGTGGGCCTTCTAGAACAATGGATTGACTTATCAAATAAATGGGCCAACTTCACCAAGGTTTGGCTTGAGGTGTTGGGCTTTTTGGTTGAGTCAATAGGCTATTTTGGTTGGGATATTTTCTCTTTGTGCTCACCCACATGTTTGGGCCTAAGAAATGAGCTTGGGTTACAAGGCTCCCAAGCAACCCGAAACCTCCATTTCTCGGCTCATCAATGGGCCTCATGACAACTTATTACCATCTATACCTCAATTCACTCAAGCAAGCCCCAGGCATATTGCGTGGCTTGGGCCCACTTAAGCTTGTGGCGTGATTAGGTGCAGAATAATAATTCCTTGCTTGGCGTGGCGTGGCATGTGTGCAAGCGCATATGATGAACTTCCGTGTGCCCAAATCGAGTTTCTTATCAGTAAGGTATCACATTGGGCCGAGAATTTTTTTGGGCCAAACTGTGGATTTTTTGGGCCTCAACATAGTCTTTCTATACGTTGCAGTCTTTCTATATGTTGTTCCAAAAGAATCATAATGTTGAGCCAAGTGTAGTTTGTGTCATACTCAAAGTTTGGTGCCAAGTTTGATATTTTTTTTCCCCAAACATAGGGCTTACTCATGTTGGTCGGACAGGGTTTATTTATACCAATACTGGCGTCTGATGTTGTTGTTGCTTGTCCCTTCTCAGACATTCTCTCAGTGTTTCATAGTGTGACCCATAAATTTGTTGTAATGGTGAATGATTCAATTGTTAATACGATATCCACTTATAGACCAATCTTCAGTGATTTTGAAACTTGATGTATTGACCTTTAATAAGTTTAATGATTGTTATTTAACAATAGTGCAACTTCTAACTTTCATCCTTGTTAAATATTGTCACAATTTTTTTTTTTGTTTCACAAAATATTTTCTGATTCTGCCTTGATAAGCCTCTTATCTTCAATAAAATTGTGAGTGAAACTGCATGTATATTTGTGAAAATGTGCGTCCATTCTTTTTATGCCTTTATACTATTGCAGTTCTAGCAAGTTCTGGATTCCTTTATAATTTTTGCAATCCAACAATCTGACACCAAAAATATAGAACTTCCTTCATCTCTCCCTATATATCACTCATAAATAAATAAATAAAAACAAAGAAAAATAACTAGAAACAGGTAGTCAAGTAATTTCTCGAGTCAGCAAACCAGAAAAAGAAAAACAAATAACGGACGGCCAATGGATATATACCATTATCAGGTCCAAAACGACGGCGTCTCTTTGCTTGCCGCCTGACTAAAGCTGGTAATAGCTCTAAATAAATAGAAAATGCAAAAAATGAACAGAAAAATAGAAAAAGCAAACGGAGAAAGAAAAAAGAAACACATAAGAAATTGTCTCCCTAACCTCATCCCGTTTGGACCCAAAAACCACAAAACCAAAAGAAACCAAACCACACCGTTCTCTCTCTCTCTCTCTCTCTCTCTAACCAAACCCTAAACACGAAGACTTTCTTTTCTCTTTCTGAAATTTCAAATTCGCAATCCGATGTTCTAATCCGACAAATCTCTGCGTTGATCCGGTTTACATAGGTGCGTCTTTTCCCCCTTCTTTTATCTTTCCTTGATTTTATTCAGTTTAATAATTTTTTCTTGTTGTATTGTGGGGAAATTGTAGAGCTGTTTGATCTAAGTTAGGTATGCTATATTGATTTAGCGGATTCTGTTTTTATTCGTATTTTTTTTTTTTTTTTTTTTTTGTTTTTTTTTTTTTTTGTATTGTTCGCTTCTTTTTATTATATCTGGGAATTTTTCTTTCTCCGTTCTATTTTTGTTCTAAATCCAGGAAAGGAAGAGGAAATAGAAATAGAAATTGGAATGGTGTGATACGCAGCTATTGGTTTTGGAAGCCGTTGTTTTCTAGGTTTTTTCTTGTTTTGTTTTGTTTTTATTTTTTCTCCCAAAATCTTCCAGAAATCAAACATGGGTTATTTTTCTTTATGTACGTAATATCCTGCATGCTTAAAGCATTGTGGAATTTGGGTTTTTATTTCTGAATTGTTGATGAATATTAGGTGGTTGTATGCAATTATTGTTTCATATCCTAATTCCTAAGCTTCAATTTTAAGAATAGAGTTGGAATGCTTAATCATTTCATCCATTTGTATGAGTAAGACATATGCGGAACGGTTTTGTGACCTGTGCTAATGCTATGACAAGAAGAAACAGTTTTATGACTGAGAAATCTTTTCCCATGGTTAGAAGGAACATGGTGACAATGTGGTTGAGCTGTTTAATAGTCATCATTTTGGTTGAATGGATTAGAATTGTTACAGAGGAATTTTAGAAACTGTTAATGGTATTGTTGGGTTTGTAAGATGTTTGGTTTTACAGTAGAGATTTATTCTTTTGTACATGATCAGTACTATTGTCTCCTTGATTGATTGATTTTTTTGTTTTATGGCTTTATTCATGGGTGTGTACATCAAAGTTTTCTACTTAGTTCATCTTCTCTTTTGGGATTTTAAGGCATGATTATTCCATTATGGCATGTTGTGATTTTCTTAGAGTCAATAACATATTGAAATATTTACAATTGAGAAGTTGTAAAATAAAATTTAGATGTATATATATATATATATATATGAGTGGGTAATAATGGATGGTTTTCACAATGATTGATCTGGGTGGATGTTTATCATGAAATCTGTCAACTAAATATGTTGCTCAAATGATGTGGTTTTATTATATGTTCTTCATCCTTTCCTTGACTGCCTTTTTTTTATTATTGAGAAACAATATCTGGTTAATTAGTTTTTCATCCTGATGATGGGTTTTTAATTTTCTGCAGATTCAATGCCGTTTTTGGTTAATCAAGCATACTTGATGGCCGATGGTTACACATATGGATAAAATGTCAGCTCCTTCATCAAGGGAGCGTGCCCAACGCCTCTACGACTAGGTATATTTTTTTCCCTCATAAAAAAATTATGCTTTTTCTTGATTACTATTTTTTAAACTGCCTTTATGTTTAAACCCGTAACTACCACGTGGTTGATGCAAATGTTGAATGGAGGTTCTGTTAGATATACAGAAGGAATCTGTGTATATGCATGCTTGTGCGTGTGTGCTGTCTGTATTTTATGTGCAATCATGCTCCATAGTTTCCTGTCATTTTACGTTCATATTTTTACTTTGCAGGTTATTGAATTGGAGAATAGGTGTCGGAGGTCTGCTGAAGCAAAAATATTGATTTTTTTGTTTTATGGCTTTATTCATAGGTGTATACATCAAAGTTTTCTACTTAGTTCATCTTCTCTTTTGGGATTTTAAGGCATGACTATTCCATTATGGCATGTTGTGATTTTCTTAGAGTCAATAACATTTTGAAATATTTACAATTGAGAAGTTGTAAAATAAAATTTAGATGTATATATATATATATATATATGAGCGGGTAATAATGGATGGTTTTCACAATGATTGATCTGGGTGGATGTTTATCATGAAATCTGTCAACTAAATATGTTGCTCAAATGATGTGGTTTTATTTTATGTTCTTCATCCTTTCCTTGACTGCCTTTTTTTTTAATTTTATTGAGAAACAATATCTGGTTAATTAGTTTTTCATCCTGATGATGGTTTTTTAATTTTCTGCAGATTCAATGCTGTTTTTGGTTAATCAAGCATACTTGATGGCCGATGGTTACACATATGGATAAAATGTCAGCTCCTTCATCAAGGGAGTGCCCAACGCCTCTATGACAAGGTATATTCTTTTCCCTCATAAAAAAATTATGCTTTTTCTTGATTACTATTTTTTAAACTGCCTATTTGTTTAAACCTGTAACTACCACGTGGTTGATGCAAATGTTGAATGGAGGTTTTGTTAGATATACAGAAGGAATCTGTGTATATGCATGCTTGTGCTTGTGTGCTGTCTGTATTTTATGCGCAATCATGCTCAATCATGCGCCATAGTTTCCTGTTATTTTATGTTCATATTTTTACTTTGCAGGTTATTGAATTGGAGAATAGGTGTCGAAGGTCTGCTCAAGCAAAAATATAGAACTTCCTTCATCTTTGCCCTATGGCGAACCTTCCTCTCTTAAAGTGCCATGGACGAGTTATGGTCCGTCAAACATTCGAATAGTCCCATTTCCAACTCGTGAATACACTGATGATGAGTTCCAGTCCATCATAAAAAGTGTCATGTGTGTACTGTATGTATCTCTTGAATTTTTATTTCTTTCATGTTGTAATCTTCAGATCACATTCAATATTTCTTAGCATTAATATATTGACATTTTCTGTTTGGTTGTTTTGGAACTTGGATGAGCAGGCATCTTTTGGGATTTCTCTACCCAATTTCTCGGTTGATCAGCTATTCTGTGTTTGAGAAGGTTTGCTACCTGTTATTATATTTTACTTGAAATAAAGCTCAGAATTTACCTTATTCACCTCATGGTTTCTGTTTATTTCTTTATGTTTATTTTTTCTTGGTTAATGTTTTGGACGAGAGTAATTTGTTTGTCATCCTTTATGTTCCTGACTACAACTTGTTTTTTATTCATAATGTTTCAGGAACAGAAGATAAGAGGTCTTTATATGATGGGGCTGGAAGATGGGATATTCCATCTCTCATGGTTTATTGCATATGATTTGCAGGTTGGTTCTTTGTTCTTTTGTATTTTTGTTTAATTTATGAAGAAGTCTCAGCAAGAATTCAATCAATGTAACCCCATTTTTTTAAATAATATTTTTATATTATAAATTTATTATGTAAATAATTATTGCCACCATTGCTGCTCTTGTTTTTGTTGGAGTATTTTTGAAATATACTTCAAACTTTCAGTTATTTGGCTTTGTAGGATAGAAGTCTAACTATTGTTGCATGGCTCTAGTATTTGCATTGTTGAACAATGATTGAGTCTCAACATTGATCAACTTGCAAGAAAGGAAGTGTCTCTGATTGATAAAGCAATGTTCTGTAGGTATTGTGGGTTAGGTTAGATCATGAATATAATTAGGTACACTAGACAAGGAGAGTGAGATGGTCTATTGATAGGTTATGTTGCGTTGGTGGCAATCTAGATCAAGTTCTATTTGAATAAGAGTAGAAAATATAATGTTGGACTTTTCAGTGCTTGTCATCCCTAACAATTTTACGTGGGGAGTTTTTTTTCCTTCTGGTAGTTTGATTTCCTCTGCAGTTTGCAGTTTCTTTTGCGATTATTACAGTTTGCACTATGGATAATCTTTTCAAGTACAGTGATAAGATAGTTGTGTTCATTCACTTCTTTGGACTAAGTACAATTATGCCGTTAGTTGCTTATATAAATTAGAAATTGGAATAATGGGTATAGGAGCTAGTAACCTATTTTAGCACAGATCTCTTTGGTACCTATAATCAAATAATGTAAGTCGTACTTTTGTATCACAATATGGATCTGAGGGAAATTTCCTTGAAATGAATTTCAATTATAGTTGGGACTCAGATCTCTTGGTACACTGTTGTCCGACCAAGATTTCCCCATCAATCTGCTCGATTTGACTTCACATGTGATTGGCGAGTTTCCCTGTTCCTAGTTGCCTTTAGATATTTGTGTACCTATACTTAGTACACGTGTTTGACAATGATTTCCCCAGCCACCTGCCCGATTTGATTGCACAGGTAGTTAGCCAGTTTTCCCGTTCCCAATTGCATTTAGATATTTGCGTGTACCTGTGCCTAGTACACAGTTGTCCGACCAAGATTTCCTCAGCCACCTGATCGATTTGAATGCACAGGTGGTTGACTAGTTTCCCTGTTCCCAGTTGCTTTTAGATATTTGCGTGTACCTGTACTTAGTATACTGGTGTCCAAAAATGATTTCGCCAGCCACTTGCCCGATTTGATTGCACAAGTGGTTGGCCAATTTTCCCGTTCCTAGTTGCCTTTAAATATTTTGTGTACCTGTGCTTAGTACATAATTAGTTCTCCGACAATGATTTCCAAAGCCACCTGCCTGATTTGATGGCACAGGTGGTTGGTCAATTTTCCCGTTCCCATTTGCCTTTAAATATTTGCGTGTACTTGTGCTTAGTACACAATTGTATGACCAAGATTTCCCTAGCCACCAGCCCGATTTGAATGCACAAGTGGTTGGCCAGTTTCCCCGTTCCTAGTTTTCTATAGATATTTGCGTGTTCCTGTACTTAATACACAGGTGTTCGACAATGATCTCCCCAGCCACCTACCCGATTTAACTGCACAAGCGATTGGCCAGTTTCTCCCTTCCTAGTGTCCTTTAAATATTTTGGTGTACTTCTGCGTAGTACAAAGTTAGTTGTCCGACAATGATTTGCAAAGCCACATTTGATTTGACTACACAGGTCTTTGGCCAGTTTCCACATTCTCAGTTGCCTTTAAATATTTTCTTGTACCTGTGCTTAGTACACAGTTACTTGATAGGCAATGATTTCGACAGCCACCTGCCCGATTTGACTGCACAGGTGGTTGGCCAATTCCCCTATTCCCAGTTGCTTTTAGATATTTGCGTGTACTTGTACTTAGTACGCAGGTGTCCAACAATGATTTCCCCAACCACCTAGCTGATTTGACTGCACAGGTGGTTGGCTCGTTTCACCGCTCCTAGTTGTCTTAAAATATTTTTGTATACTTGTACTTAGTACACAGATACTTGTCCGACAATGATTTACAAAGCCACCTGCCTGATTTGACTACACAGGGGGTTGGCCAGTTTCCACGTTTCCAATTGCCTTTAAATATTTTCGTGTGCATATGCTTAGTACACTAGTTTCCGACAATGATTTCCTAAGCCACCTGCTCGATTTGACTGCACAAATGGTCGACCATTTTCCCTATTCCTTCTCAGGCCTCCTACCAGATTTGATTGCACAGGTGGTTGGCCAGTTTACCTGTTCCCAGTTGCCTTTATGTATTTTCGTGTGCCTGTACTTAATACACAGGTGTCCGACAATGGTTTACCAGCCACCTGCCCGATTTGACTACACAAAAGGTTGGCTAGTTTTTCCATTCCAAGTTGCCTTTACATATTTGAGTGTACCTGTACTTAGTACACAGGTGTTCGATAATGATTTCTTAAGCCACCTGCCTGATTTGACTGCACAAGTGGCTGGCTCGTCCCCCCATTTTTGATTGCCTTTAAATATTTTCGTGTACCTGTGCTTAGTACACTAGTGTTCGACAATGATTTCCTAAGCCATTTGCTCGATTTGACTACATGTGGTTGGCCAGTTTTTTCGTTCCCAGTTGCCTTCAGCTATTTGTGTGTACTTATACTTAGCACACAAGTGTCCGACAGTGATTTTCCCAGCCACTTACCCGATTTGACTGCCAAGGTGGTTGGCTAGTTTTCCCGTTCTCGGTTGCCTTTACATAGTTGCGTGTACCCGTACTTAGTACACAAGTGTCTGACAATGATTTCCCCAGCCACCTGCCCGATTTGACTACACAGGTGGTTGACCAATTTCCCCATTCCTGGTTGCCTTTAAATATTTTTGTGCATCTATGCTTAGAACATAGTTGCCCGACAATGATTTCCCCAGCAACTTGCCCGATTTGACTGCACAGGTGGTTGGGCAGTTCCCTCTTCCCGGTTGCCTCTACATATTTGCGTGTACCTATAGTTAGTACACAGGTGTTTGACAATGATTTCCTCAACCACCTGCTCGATTTGACTGCACAAATGGTTGACCAGTTTCCCCGTTCCCAGTTGCCATTACATATTTGGGTGTACCTGTAGTTAGTGCACGGGTGTCCGACAATGATTTGCCTAGCCACCTGCTCGATTTGACTGCACAGGTGGTTGGCCAGTTTCCTCGTTATCAGTTGCCTTTAGATCTATTTGTGTGTACCAGTACTTAGTACACAGGTGTCCGACAATGATTTCCCCACCCACTTGCTCGATTTGACTGCACAGGTGGTTGGCCAGTTTTCTCGTTCTCGCCGCCTTTAGATCTATTTATGTGTACGTGTACTTAGTACACAAGTGTCCGACAATGATTTCCCCAGCCACTTGCTCGATTACACTGCACAGGTGGTTGGCTAGTTTTCCAGTTCCCGGTTGCCTTTAGATCCATTTGTGTGTACTTGTACTTAGTACACAAGTGTCCGACAATGATTTCCCAGCCACCTGCCCGATTTGACAGCACAGGTGGTTGACCACTTTCCCCGTTCCCGGCTGCCTTTAAATTTTTTCGTGTACATATGCTTAGATTATAGTTAGTTGTCCGACAATGATTTCCACAACCACCTGACCAATTTGATTGCACAGGTGGTTGCCGAATTTACCCGTTCCCGGTTGCCTTTAGATCTATTTGTGTGTACTTGGACTTAGTACAAAAGTGTCCGACAATGATTTCCCTAGCCACCTGCCCGATTTGACTGCACAGGTGGTTGACTAGTTTCCTCGTTCTCGGTTGCCTTTAAATATTTTCGTGTACCTATGCTTAGATCAGAGTTAGTTGTACGACAATGATTTCCCCAGCCACCTGCCCGATTTGACTGCACAGGTGGTTGCCCAGTTTTCCCATTCCTGGTTGCCTTTAGATATATTTGTGTGTACTTGTACTTAGTACACAGGTGTCCGACAATGATTTCCCTAGCCACTTGCCCGATTTGACTGCACAGGTGGTTGACTAGTTTCCTCCTTCCCGGTTGCCTTTAAATATTTTCGTGTACCTATGCTTAGATTATAGTTCTCCGATAATGATTTCCCAAGCCACCTGCCCAATTTGACTGCACAGGTGGTTGAACAGTTTCCTCGTTCCCGGTTGCCTTTAAATATTTTTGGATACTTATGCCTAGATCATAGTTAGTTGTCCGACAATGATTTCTCCAGCCACCTGCCCGATTTGACTGCACAGGTGGTTAGCTAAGTTTCCTCGTTCTTGGTTGCCTTTACGTATTTGCGTGTACCTGTAGTTAGTACACAGGTGTCCGACAATGATTTCCCTAGCCACTTGCTCGATTTGACAGCATAGATGGTTGGCTAGTTTCCCCATTTCCGGTTGCCTTTACATATTTGCGTGTACCCATAGTTAGTACACAGGTGTCCGACAATTATTTCCACAGCCACCTGCCCAATTTGACTGCACATGTGGTTGACCAGTTTCCTCGTTCCCGGTTGCCTGTAAATATTTTCGGATACCTATGCTTAGATCATAGTTAGTTGTCCGACAATGATTTTCCACAGCCACCTGCCCGATTTGACTGCACACGTGGTTGGCCAGTTTTCCCGTTCCTGGTTGCCTTTAGATATATTTGTGTACCGGTACTTAGTACGCAGGTGTCCGGCAATGATTTCCCCAGTCACCTGCCCGATTTGACTGCACAGGTGATTGTCCAGTTTCCTCGTTCTCGGTTGCCTTTAAATATTTTCATGTTCGTATGCTTAGATCATAGTTAGTTCTCCGACAATGATTTCCCCAGCCACCTGCCTGATTTGACTGCACAAGTGGTTGGCCAGTATCCTTGTTCCCGGTTGCCTTTACATGTTTGCATGTACCTGTAGTTAGTACGCAGGTGTCCGACAATGAATTCCCTAGCCACCTGCCTAATTTGACTGCACAGGTGGTTGACCAGTCTCCTCATTCCCAATTGCCTTTAAATATTTACGGGTACCTATGCTTAGATCATAGTTAGTTGTCCGACAATAATTTTCCACAGCCACCTGCCCGATTTGACTGCACACGTGGTTGGCCAGTTTTCCCGTTCCTGGTTGCCTTTAGATATATTTGTGTACCGGTACTTAGTACGCAGGTGTCCGGCAATGATTTCCCCAATCACCTGCCCGATTTGACTGCACAGGTGATTGTCCAGTTTCCTCGTTCTCGGTTGCCTTTAAATATTTTCATGTTCGTATGCTTAGATCATAGTTAGTTCTCCGACAATGATTTCCCCAGCCACCTGCCCGATTTGATTGCACAAGTGGTTGGCCAGTATCCTTGTTCCCGGTTGCCTTTACATGTTTGCGTGTACCTGCAGTTAGTACGCAGGTGTCCGACAATGAATTCCCCAGCCACCTGCCTAATTTGATTGCACAGGTGGTTGACCGGTTTCCTCATTCCCAGTTGCCTTTAAATATTTACGGGTACCTATGCTTAGATCATAGTTAGTTGTCTGACAATGATTTTCGCTGCCACCTACCCGATTTGACTGCACAGGTGGTTGACAAGTTTCCCTCTCCTCGGTTGCCTTTACATATTTGCGTGTACCTATAGTTAGTACACAAGTGTTCGACAATGATTTCCCCAGCCACTTGCCCGATTTGACTGCACAGGTGGTTGAATAGTTTCCTCGTTCCCGGTTGCCTTTAAATATTTTCTGATACCTATGCTGAGATCATAGTTAGTTGTTCGACAATGATTTCCCCAGCCGCCTGACCGATTTGACTACACAGTTCGTCGCCCAATTTTCCGGTTCCCGGTTGCCTTTAGATCTATTTGTGTGTACCTGTACTTAGTACACAGGTGTCCGACAATGATTTCCCCGGCCACCTGCCCGATTTGACTGCACAGGTGGTTGATCAGTTTCCTTGTTCCCGGTTCCCTTTAAATATTTTCGGTTACCTATGCTTAGATCATAGTTAGTTGTCCGACAATGATTTCCCCAGCCACCTGCCCGATATGACTGCACAGGTGGTTGCCGAATTTTCCCGTTCGCGGTTGCCTTGAGATATATTTGTGTACCTGCACTTAGTACGCAGGTGTTCGAACATGATTTCCCTAGCCACTTGCCCGATTTGACTGCACAGGTGGTTGACCAGTTTCCTCCTTCCCGGTTGCCTTTAAATATTTTCGTGTACCTATGCTTAGATTATAGTTCTCCGATAATGATTTCCCAAGCTACCTGCTTGATTTGACTGCACAGGTGATTGGCTAGTATCCCCGTTCCCAGTTGCCTTTACATATTTGCGTGTAACTGTACTTAGTACACAAGTGTCCGACAATGATTTCCTTAGCCACCTGATCGATTTGACTGCACAGGTGGTTGCCCAGTTTTCCCATTCCCGGTTGCCTTTAGATATATTTGTGTGTACTTGTACTTAGTACACAGGTGTCCGACAATGATTTCCCCAGCCATCTTCCCGATTTGACTGCACAGGTGGTTGACCAGTTTCCTCTTTCTCGGTTACCTTTAAATATTTTCGTGTACCTATGCTTAAATCATAGTTAGTTCTCCGACAATGATTTCCCCAGCCAGCTGCCCGATTTAACTCCACAGGTGATTGGCAAGTATCCTCGTTCCCGTTTACCTTTACATATTTGCGTGTACATGTTGTTAGTACACAAGTGTTCGACAATGATTTCCCCAGCCACCTGCCCAATTTGACTGCACTGGTGGTTGACCAGTTTCCTCGTTCCCGGTTGCCTTTAAATATTTTCGGATACCTATGCTTAGATCATAGTGAGTTGTCCAACAATGATTTCTCCTGCCACCTGCCAGATCTGACTGCACAGGTGGTTGGCTAGTTTCCCCGTTCTTGGTAGCCTTTACATATTAGCGTGTACCTGTAGTTAGTACACAGTTGTCCGACAATTATTTCTCCAGCCATTTCCTCGATTTGATTGCACAAGTGGTTGGCCAGATTCCTCGTTCCCGGTTGCCTTTACATATTTGCGTGCACCTGTATTTAGTACACAAGTGTTGGACAATGATTTGCCCAGTCACCTGCCTAATTTGACTGCACAGATGGTTGACCTGTTTCCTCGTTCCCGGTTGCCTTTAAATATTTTCGGGTACCTATGGTTAGATCATAGTTAGTTGTCAGAAAATGATTTCTCCAGCCACTTGCCGGATTTGACTGCATAGGTGGCTGGCAAGGTTCCCCGTTCTCAGTTGCCTTTACATATTTGCGTGTACCTGTAGTTAGTACACAGGTGTCCGACAATGCTTTCCCTAGCCACTTGCTCGATTTGACTGCACAGGTGGTTGGCTAGTTTCCCCGTTCTCGGTTCCCTTTACATATTTTCATGTACCTGTAGTTAGTACACAGGTGTCCAACAACGACTTCCCCAGCCACTTGCCCGATTTGATTGCACAGTTGGTTAATCGCTTTCCCCGTTCCCTGCTGCCTTGAAATATTTTCGTGTACCTATGCTTAGATTATAGTTAGTTGTCTGACAATGATTTCCCCAGCCACATGACCGATTTGACTGCACAGGTGGTTGCCCAATTTTCCCGTTCCCAGTTGCCTTTAGATCTATTTGTGTGTACTTGTACTTAGTACACAGGTGTCTGACAATGATTTCCCCAGCCACCTGCCCAATTTTACTGCACAGGTGGTGGTCCAGTTTCCTCGTTCCCGGTTGGCTTTAAATATTTTCGAGTACCGATGCTTAGATCATAGTTAGTTGCCCAACAATGATTTCCCCAGCCACTTGCTCGATTTGACTGCACAGGTGGTTGGCCAGTTTCCCTGTTCCCAATGGCCTTTAGATCTATTTGTGTGTACCTGTACTTAATAAACAAGTGTCCGACAATGATTTCCCCAACCACCTGTCCGATTTGTCTGCACAGGTGGTTGGCCAATTTCCCTGTTCCCGGTTGCCTTTAGATCTATTTGTGTGTACATGTACTTAGTACACAGGTGTCCGACAATGATTTCCACAGCCACCTGCCCGATTTGACTGCACAGGTGGTTGACAAGTTTCCCCGTTCTTGGTTGCCTTTAAATATTTTCGTGTACCTATGCTTAGATCATAGTTAGTTGTCCGAAAATGATTTCCCCAGCCACTTGCTCGATTTGACTGCACAGGTGGTTGGCCAGTTTCCCTGTTCCCAGTTGCCTTTAGATCTATTTGTGTGTACCTGTACTTAGTAAACAAGTGTCCGACAATGATTTCCCCTGCCACCTGCCCGATTTGTCTGCACAGGTGGTTGGCCAGTTTCCCCGTTCCCGGTTGCCTTTAGATCTATTTGTGTGTACTTGTACTTAGTACACAAGTGTCCGACAATGATTTTCCCAGCCACCTGCCCGATTTGACTGCACAGATGGTTGACAAGTTTCCCCGTTCTTGGTTGCCTTTAAATATTTTCGTGTACCAATGCTTAGATCATAGTTAGTTGTCCGAAAATGATTTCCCCAGCCACTTGCTCGATTTGACTGCACAGGTGGTTGGCCAGTTTCCCTGTTCCCAGTGGCCTTTAGATCTATTTGTGTGTACCTGTACTTAGTAAATAAGTGTCCGACAATGATTTCCCCTGCCACCTGTCCGATTTGTCTGCACAGGTGGTTGGCCAGTTTCCCCGTTCCCGGTTGCCCTTAGATCTATTTGTGTGTACCTGTTCTTAGTACACAAGTGTCCGACAATGATTTTCCCAGCCACCTGCCCGATTTGACTGCACAGGTGGTTGACAAGTTTCCTCGTTCTTGGTTGCCTTTAAATATTTTCGTGTACCATTGCTTAGATCATAGTTAGTTGTACAACAATGATTTTCCCAGCCACTCGCCTGATTTGACTGCACAGTGGTTGGCCAGTTTCCCTATTCCCGGTTGCCTTTACATATTTGTGTGTACCTGTACTTAGTAAGCAGGTGTCCGACAATGATTTCCCCAACCACCTGCCTGATTTGTCTGCATAGGTGGTTGGCCAGTTTCCCCGTTCCTGGTTGCCTATACATATTTATGTGTACCTGTAGTTAGTACACAGGTTTCCGACAATGATTTCCCCAGCCACCTACTCAATTTGACTGCACAGGTGGTTAACCAGTTTCCCTGTTCCCAGTTGCCTTTAAATATTTTGGTGTACCTATGCTTGGAACGTGGATAGTTGTCCAACAATGATTTCCCCAGCCACTTGCTTAATTTGTTTGCACGAGTGGTTGGCCAGTTTCCCTGTTCCTGGATGCCTTTACATATTTGTGTGTAATTGTACTTAGTACACAGGTGTGCGACAATGATTTCCCCAACCACTTGCCCGATTTGACAACACAGGTGGTTGGCTAGTTTCCCCGTTCCTAGCTGCCTTTGCATGTACCTGTACTTAGTTCCTAGGAGTCCGACAGTGATTTCCCCAGCCACCTACCCGATTTGATTGGACAAGTGGTTAGCCAGTTTCCCTGTTCCCAATTGCCTTTTGATATTTGGGTGTACCTGAACTTAGTGCACAGGTATTCGAAATGATTTTCCCAGCCACCTACCTGATTTGACGGCACAGGTGGTTGCCCTGTTTTCCTGTTCCCAGTTGTCTTTAGATATTTGCGTATACCTATACTTAGTACACTGTTGTCTGACAATGATTTCCTAAGCTGCCTGCCCGAATTGACTGCACCATTGGTTGGCCCGTTTCCCCGCTCCCAATTGCCTTTAAATATTTTCGTGTACCTTTGCTTAGTGCGTAGTTATTTGTCTGACAATGATTTCCAAAGGCACCTGCCTGATTATACTACACAGGTGGTTAGCCTGTTTCCACGTTCCCAATTGCCTTTAAATATTTTCATGTACCTTTGCTTAGTAAACTGGTGTCCAACAATGATTTCCTGAGCCACCTGCTCGATTTGATTGCACAGGTGGTTGACTAGTTTCCCCGTTCTCGGTTGCCTTCAAATATTTGCCCAGCAACTTGCCCAATTTGACTGCACAGGTGGTTGGCCAGCTTACCTATTCCCAGTTGCCTTTAGATATTTGCGTGTACCTGTACTTAGTACACAGGTGTCCGACAATGATTTCCCTAGCCACCTGCCCGATTTGACTGCACCGGTGGTTGGCCAGTTTCCCTGTTCCCTGTTGCCTTTGGATATTTATGTGTACCTGTTCCCAATTGCCTTTAAATATTTTCGTGTACACAGAACACAGTTAGTTGTCCGAACATGGTTTCCCCTGCAACCTGCCCGATTTGATTGCACATGTAGTTGGCCAATTTCCCTGTTCCTAGTTGCCTTTTGATATTCGCGTGTACTTGTGCTTAGTACACAGGTGTCTGACCAAGATTTCCCCAGCCACCTGCCCGATATGAATGCACAGGTGGTTCGCCAGTTTCCCTGTTCCCAGTTGCCTTTAGATATTTGCGTGTACCTGTACTTAGTACACTGGTGTTCTACAATGCTTTCTCCATCCACCTGCCCGATTTAAATGCACAGGTAGTTGGCCAATTTCCGTGTTCCTAGTTGCATTGAGATATTTGCATGTACCTGTACTTAGTACACAAGTGTCTGACAATGGTTTCCCCAGCCGCCTGCCGATTTGAATGCACAGGTGGTTGGCCAGTTTCCCTATTCCCAATTGCCTTTGGATATTTACGTGTAACTATACTTAGTACACAAGTGTTCGACAAAGATTTCCCCAGCCACCTGCCCGATTTGACTGCACATGTGGTTTGCCAGTTTCCCCGTTCCAAGTTGCCTTTTGATATTCGCGTGTACCTGTGCCTAGTACACAGGTGTCCGACCAAGATTTCTCTAGCCACCTGCACGATTTGAATGCATAGGTGGTTGGCCAATTTCCCTGTTCCCAGTTGCCTTTAGATATTTGCGTGTACCTGTACTTAGTACACTGGTGTCCGATAATGATTTCCCCAGCCACCTGCCCGATTTGATTGCATAGGTGGTTGGCTAGTTTCCCTGTTCCTAGTTGCCCTTAAATATTTTCGTTTCCCTGTGCCTAGTTTATAGTTAGTTGTCCAACAATGATTTCATAAGCCACCTGCCCGATTTGACTGCACAAGTGATTGACCAATTTCCCATTTTCCAGTGGCCTTTAAATATTTTCGTGTACCTGTGCTTAGTACATAGTTAGTTGTCCGGCAACGATTTCCAAAGCCACTTGCCTGATTTGACTACACAGGTGGTTGGCCAGTTTCCCATTTCCCTTTAAATATTTTCGTGTACCTTTCTTAGAACCCAGGTCTCCGACAATGATTTCGTAAGCCACCTACCCGATATGACTGCACAAGTGGTTGACCAATTTCCTTGTTCCCAGTTGCCTTTGGATATTTGCATGTACCTATACTTAGTACACAGGTGTCCAACAATGATTTCCCCAGCCACCAGCCCGATTTGAATGCATAGGTAGTTGCCCTGTTTCCCTGTTCCCAGTTGCCTTTGGATATTTGCGTGTACCTGTACTTAGTACACAGGTGTCCGACAATGATTTTGCCAGCCACTTGCCCGATTTGAATGCATAGGTGTTTGGCCAGTTTCCCTGTTCCCAATTCCCTTTGGATATTTGCGTGTACCTGTACTTAGTACACAAGTGTCTGACAAAGATTTCCCCATCCACTTTCCCGATTTGACTACACAAGTGGTTGGCCAGTTTCCCCGTTCCAAGTTGCCTTTTGATATTCGCGTGTACCTGTGCCTAGTACATAGGTGTCAGACCAAGATTTCTCTAGCCACCTGCACGATTTAAATGCACAGTTGGTTGGCCAATTTCCCTGTTCCCAGTTGCCTTTAGATATTGGCATGTACCTGTACTCAGTACACTGGTGCCCGACAATGATTTCCCCAGCCACCTGCCCGATTTGATGGCATAGGTGGTTGGCCAGTTTCCCCGTTCTTGGTTGCCTTTAAATATTTTCGTTTCCCTGTGCTTAGTTTATAGTTAGTTGTTCGACAATGATTTCGTAAGCCACCTGCCCGATTTGACTGCACAAGTGGTTGACCAGTTTTTCATTTCCTAGTGGGCTTCAAATATTTTCGTGTGCATAGTTAGTTGTCCGACACCGATTTCCAAAGCCACCTGCCCGATTTGACTACATAGGTGGTTGGCCTGTTTCCCCGTTCCCAATTGCCTTTCAATATTTTCGTGTACCTGTGCTTAGTAAACAGTTAGTTGTCCAACCATGATTTTCCGAGCCACCTACCCAATTTTAAATGCACAGGTGGTTGGCCAGTTTCCCTGTTCCCAGTTGCCTTTGGATATTTGCGTGTATCTGTACTTAGTACACAGGTGTCCTACAAAGATTTCCCCAGCCACCTACCCGATTTGACTGCACAAGTGGTTGGCTTGTTTCCCCTTTCCCAGTTGCCTTTTGATATTTGCGTGTACCTGTGCCTAGTACACAGGTGTTCAACCAAGATTTCTCCTGTACGATTTGAATGCACAGGTGGTTGGCCAATTTCCCTGTTCCCAGTTGCCTTTAGATATTTACGTGTACCTGTACTTAGTACACTGGTGTCCGACATTGATTTCCCCAGCCACCTGCTTGATTTGATTGCATAGGTGGTTGGACAGTTTCCCCGTTCCTAGTTGGCTTTAAATATTTTCGTGTCCCTGTGCTTAGTTTATAGTTAATTGTCCGACAATGATTTCGTAAGCCACCTGTCTGATTTCACTGCACAGGTGGTTGGCCCATCCCCGTTCCCAAGTGCCTTTACATATTTGCCTATACCTGTACTTAGTACACAGGTGTCCGACAATGATTTCCCCGGTCAGCTGTCCGATTTGATTGCACAGGTGGTTGGCCAGTTTCCCAGTTCCTAATTGCCTTTAGATATTTGCGTGTACGTATGTTTAGTACACAGGTGTCCGACCAAGATTTCCCTTGCCGCCGGCTCGATTTCAATGCACTGGATGTTGGCCAGTTTCCTCGTTCCCATTTGCCTTTAGATATTTGCGTGTATGTGTGCTTAGTACACAATTAGTTGTCCGGCAATGATTTCATAAGCCACCTGCTCGATTTGACTGCACAAGTGGTTGACCAGTTTCTCATTTCCCAGTTGCCTTTAAATATTTTCGTGTACCTGTGCTTAGTGAACAGTTAGTTGTCCGACCATGATTTCCCCAGCCACCTGCCCGATTTGACTGCATAGGTGGTTGACCAGTTTCCTCGTTCCTAGTTGCCTTTTCATATTTGCTTGTACCTGTATTTAGTACACAGGTGTCCGACAATGATTTCCCCAGCCACCTGCCAGATGTGACTGCACAAGTGGTTGGCCAGTTTTCTCGTTCCTAGTTGCCTTTAAATATTATTGTGTACCTATGCCTAGTACACAATTAGTTTTCCGACAATGATTTCCAAAGCCACCTGCCCAATTTGCTACATAGGTGGTTGGCCAGATTACCCGTTCCCAGTTCCCAGTTGTTTCTAGATATTTGCATGTACCTGTGCTTAGTGCATAGTTAGTTGTCTGACAATGATTTCCTAAGGCACTTGCCTGAAATGTTTTCATGTACCTGTGCTTAGAACACAGTTAGTTGTCCAACCATGATTTCCCCAGCCACCTACTCGATTTGGCTGCACATGTAGTTGGCCAGTTTCCCCGTTCCCAGTTGCCTTTAAATATTTTCATGTACCTGTGCTTAGAACACAATTAGTTGTCCCACCATGATTTCAAAAGCCACCTACCCGATTTTACTACATAGGTGGTTGGCCAGTTTCCTCGTTCCAAGTTGCCTTTAAATATTTTCGTGTACCTACGCTTAGAACACAGTTAAGTGTCCGACAATGATTTCCCAAGCCACCTACACGATTTGACTGCACAAGTGGTTGGCCATTTTTCCTGATCACAGTTGCTTTTAAATATTTTCGTCTACTTGTGCTTAGTACACAATTAGCTGTCTGACAATGATTTCCAAAGCCACCTGCCCAATTTGATTGCACAGATGGTTGGCCAGTTTCCCCATTCCCTAAGCCTTTAGATATTTGTGTGTACCTGTACTTAGTAGACAGGTGTCCGACAATGATTTTCCCATTCACCTGCCTGATTTGAATGCACAGGTGGTTGGCCACCTTCCCATTTCCCAGTCGCCTTTAGATTATTGAGTGTACCTGTGCTTAGTACATAGTTGCCCGACCAAGATTTCCCTAGCCACTTGCCCAATTTGACTGCACAAGTGGTTGGCCAGTTTCCCCGTTCCCAGTTGCCTTTAAATATTTTCATGTACATGTGTTTCTTACATAGTTAGTTGTCCGACCATGATTTCCCCAGCCACCTGCCTGATATGACTACACAGGTGGTTTCCTAGTTTCCACGTTCCCAGTTTCCTTTATATATTTTCGTGTACCTGTGCTTAGTACGCAGTTAGTTCTCTGACCATGATTTCCACAGCCACCTGCCCGATTTTACTGCATAGGTAGTTGGCCAGTTTCCCCCTTCCCAGTTGCCTATAGATATTTGCGTGTACCTGTACGTAGTATGCAGGTGTCCGACAATGATTTCCCCAGCTGCCTGCTCGATTTGACTGCACAGGTGGTTGGCCAGTTTCCTCCTTCCTAGTTGCCTATAAATATTTTCATGTACCTCTACTTAGCACACAGTTAGTGGTCCAACCAAGATTTCCAAAGCCACCTGATCGATTTGACTACACAGGTGGTTTCCTAGTTTCCCCGTTCCCAGTTTCCTTTATATATTTTCGTGTACCTGTGCTTAGTACGCAGTTAGTTCTCTGACCATGATTTCCACAGCCACCTGCCCGATTTGACTACACAGGTGGTTCGCCAGTTCCCCCATTCCCAGTTGCCTTTTGATACATGTACCTGTACTCAGTACACAGGTGTTTGACAATTATTTCCCCAGCCACCTGCCCGATTTGACTGCACAAGTGATTGGCCAGTTTCCCCGTTCACAGTTGCCTTTAAATATTTTCGTGTACCTGTGCTTAGTACACAGTTAGTTGTCCGACCATGATTTCCCAAGACATCTGCTTGATTTGACTGTGCAAGTAGTTGTCCAGTTTCCCCCTTCCAGCTGGCCATTAGATATTTGCGTGTACTTGTGCTTTGTACACAGTTGTTCGACCATGGTTTCCCCAGCCACTTGCCCAATTTGAATGCACAAGTGGTTGGCCAGTTTCCCGTTCCCTGTTGCCCTTATATATTTGCGTGTACCTGTGCTAATACATAGTTGGCCGACCAAGATTTCCAAAGCCACCTGCCCGATGTGACTGCATAGGCGGTTGGCCAGTTTCTTCGTTCCCAGTTGCCTTTAGATATTTTCGTGTACCAGTGCTTAGTACACAATTGTCCGACCAAGATTTCTCCATCCACCTGCCCAATTTGAATGCACAGGTTGTTGGCTAGTTTCCTTGTTCCTGGGTGCCTTTAAATATTTTCGTGTAGCTTTGCTTAGTACACAGTTAGTTGTCCGACAATGATTTCCCCAGCCACCTACCCGATCTCACTGCACGGTGGTTGGCCAGTTTCCCTGTTTGCAATTGCCCTTAAATATTTCCATGTACCTATGCTTAGTACACAGTTAGTTGTTTGACCATGATTTCCCCAGCCACCAGCCCGATTTTACTGCACAGGTGGTTCGCCAATTTTCCCGTTCCTTGTTGCCTTTAGATTTTGTGTGTATTTGTACTTAGTACACAGGTGTCCGACAATGATTTCCCTAGCCACCAGCCCGATTTTACTGCACAGGTGGTTGGTTAGTTTGCCCGTTCCCTGGTGCCTTTAGATTTTTGTGTGTACCTGCTAGATTTTACTGCACAGGTGGTTGGCCTGTTTCCCCGTTCCCTGTTGTTGTTAAATATTTTCATGTACATGTGCTTGGTACAAAGTTGTCCGACCATGATGTTCCCCGCCACCTGCTCGATTTGACTACGCAAGTGGTTGGCCAGTTTCCTTATTCCCAGTTGTCTTTAGATATTTGCGTGTATCTGTGCTTTGTACACAAGTGTCCAACCAAGATTTCCTCAACCACCTGCCTGACATGTTTGGATAGGTGGTTGGGTAGTTTCCCCTTTCCCTAGTTACCTTTCGATGTTTACATGTAGTTTTGTTTAGTGTAAAGCTATTTGACTAGGGTTGCCTATCCATTTGTCCGATTTTTCTGCACAGGTGGTTGGACAGATTCCCCCTTCCCAGTTGCCTTCAAATGTTTACATGTACCTGTGTGTAGTATACTAGTGGCCAATCAGGATTTCCTAAGCCACCTGCCTGATTTTTCTGCCTAGGTGGTTAGTTAGTTTCCCCTTTTGCCAGTTGGTTTCAAACGTTCACATGTACTTGTGCTTAGTACACATTTGTTTGACCAAGATTTCTTTAGCCACCTGCCCGATTTGTTTGTACAAGTGGTTGGCCAGTTTCCCCTTCCGCTGTTTCCTTCAAATGTCTGCCTATTCATGTTTTTAGTATACACGTGTCTAACCTGGGTTTCCCCTGTCACCTGCCCGATTTCTCTGCACAGGTAGTTAGCCAGTTTCCACGTTCCCAGTTGCCTTTAGATGTTTGCATGTACCTGTTCTTAGTACACAGTTGTCTGACCAAGATTTCCTTAGCCACTTGCCCGACATGTCTGCACAGGTGGTTTGCCAAATTTCGCCTTTCCAAGTTGCCTTTCGATGTTTGCAAGTAGTTGTGTTTAGATGTTTGACGAGGATTTTCCTACCCACTTGTTCGATTGGTCTGCACAGGTAGTTGGCCAGTTTCGCTGTTCCTTATTTCCTTTAGATGTTTGCATGTTCCTGTGCTTTGTATATAGTTATCAGACCAGGATTTCCTCAGCCACCTGCCCGACATGTCTACACAGGCGGTTGGCCAGTTTCCCTCTTCCCAAGTTACCTTCCGATGTTTGCAGGTAGTTGTGTTTAGTGTAGAGTTGTTTGACAAGGATTTCCCTACCCACTTGCTCGATTTGTTTGCACAAGTGGTTAGCCAATTTTCCTGATCCTGGTTGCCTTCAAATCTTTGCATGTACTTGTGTTTAGAATACAAGTGTCTGCAAGGATTTTGCTATCCACTTGCACAATTTGTGTGCACCTGTGGTTGGCCAGTTTTCTCATTCCCAGTTGCCCTTAGATATATGCATGTACTTTTGCGTAGTACACAGTTGTCCGACAACCATTCCTCAGGCATTTGCCCTATATGTTTGCACAGGTGGTTTGCCAGTTTCCTCCTTCCATAGTTACCTTTCGACGTTTGCGGGTAGCTGGGTTTAGTGTAGTTCTGTCCGACGAGGATTGCTGTACCCACTTGCCCGATTTGTCTGCACAGGTGGTTGGACATTTTCTCTCTTCCCCAGGTGCCTTCAAATGTTTGCATGTACCTGTGTTTAGTATACAAGTGGCTGGCCAGGATTTCCCAATTCACTTGCCCGATTTGTCTACCTAGGTGGTTAGCAATTTTCCTGTTTGCTAGTTGCCTTCAAATGTTTGCATGTACATGTGCTTAGTACACAGGTGTCAGACCATGATTTCCCCTCCCACCTGCTCGATTTGACAGCACATGTGGTTGCCTAGGATTTGCCTATCCACCTGCTCAATTTGTCTGCACAGGTAGTTGGCTAGATTCCCTATTCCTAGTTGCCTTTAGATGTACTTGTGCTTAGTACATAGGTGTTCGACCAAGATTTCCCCAATCACCTTCCGATGTTTGCAGGTAGTCGTGTTTACTGTTGAGTTGTGTTTGACGAGGATTTCCCTACACACTTGCTTGATTTGTTTGCACATGTAGTTGGCCAATTTCCCTGTTCTTAGTTGCCTTCAAATCTTTGCATGTACTTGTGTTTTGTATATAGGTGTCCAGCTAAGATTTGCCTATCCACCTGCCCGATTTGTTTGCATAGGTGGTTGGCCAGTTTACCCGTTCTAGTTGCCTTTAGATGTTTGCATGTACTTGTGCTTAGTACACAGTTGTCCAACCAAGATTTCCTCAACCACCTACCCGATATGTCTGCATAGGTGGTTGACCATTTTCTCCCTTCCCCAGTTACCTTCCGATGTTTGGAGGTAGTTTTGTTTAGTGTAGAGCTGTCTGACGAGGATTGCACTACCCACCTGCCCAATTTTTCTGCACAGGTGGTTGGCCTATACATGTTTTTAGTATACAGGTGTCTTAACCTGGATTTCCCAACCACTTGCTTGATTTGTCTGCACAGGTGGTTGGATAGTTTACCCCATCCTAGTTGCCTTCAAATGTTTGCGTGTACCTTTGTTTAGTATACAGGTGGCTGACTAGGATTTCCTAAGCCACCTGCCCTATTTGCCTTCCTAGATGGTTAGCCAGTTTTCCCATTCGCCAGTTCGCTTCAGATGTTTACATGTACCTGAGCTTAGTACAGGTGTCCAACCATGATTTCCCCAGCCACCTACCCGATTTGACTGCACAGGTGGTTGGCTAGTTTCCCCGTTCCCAGTTACCTTACGATGTTTGTATGTACCTGTGCTTAGTATACAGTTGTCCGACCAAGATCTCCTCATCCACCTGCCCATTTTGTCTACACAGTTGGTTGGCCAGTTCCCCCTTCCCCAGTTACCTTTCGGTGTTTGCAGGTAATTGTGTTTAGTGTAGAGCTGTCTGCACAGGTGCTTGCCCAGTTTCCCTATTCTTTAGCCACATGCCCGATTTGTCTGCACAAGTGGTTGGCTAGTTTGCCCGTTCCCAGTTGCCTTCAAATCTTTGCATGAACCTATGTTTAGTATACCGGTGTCCACCCAGAATTTGCCTATCCACCTGCCCGATTTGTCTGCACATGTGGTTGACGAGTTCTCCCATTCCAGTTGCTTTTAGATGTTCGCATGTACCTATACCTAGTACACAGTTATCTGACCAAGATTTCCTTAACCACCTACTGGACATGTATGCACATGTGGTTGGCTAGTTTCTCCCTTCGCCATTTATCTCTCGATGTTTGCAGGTTGTGTTTAGTGTAGAGCTGTCTGATGATGATTTCCCTACCCACCTGCCCGATTTGTCTGCACAAGTGGTTGGCCAGTTTCCCCCTTCCGCAGTTACCTTCCAATGTTTGCAGGTAGTTGTGTTTAGTGTAGAGTTGTCTGACGAGGATTACCCCACCCAGCTACCTTATTTCTCTGCGCAGGTGATTGGCCAATTTCCCTTTCCCTTGTTGCCTTAAAATATTTTTCTATTCATGTTTTTAGTAAACAGGTGTCTGACATGGATTTGCCCAATCACCTTCCCAATTTGTCTTCACAGGTGGTCGGACGGTTTCCCCCTTATCTAGTTGCCTTCAAATGTTTGCATTTACGGAACCTTTTCTCAACGAAAAATCCGATGAACAGCCCCCGCAAAAGGGGTTTAGCCCAAAATGTAGTCAACATCATAATATGGTGGGAGGAGTCATTTGGTGAGTTTTGAGTGAAATCCAATCGCTAAAACTATGCAATACAACAACCACTCCATTTACGGAACGAACTTCGTACAAACGTGAATTGTCTAATTTCTTGGTTCAATCCATATCGGATTGAGCCCAAAACTTGGTCAACAACATAATATGGTGCGAGGAGTCATTTGGTGAGTTTTGAGTAAAATCCAATCGCTAAAACTATGCAATATACAAATTACTCCATTTACGGAATGAACTTCGTACGAACTTGAATTGTCCAATTTCTTCGTTCAATCGAGATCGGATTGAGCCCAAAAATTGATCAACATCATAATATGGTGGGAGGAGTCATTTGGTGAGTTTTGAGTGAAATCCAATGGCCAAAACAAGGAATACACCAACCACTCCATTTAAGGAACGAATTTCATACGAATTTGAATTGTCCAATTTCTTGGTTCAATCGATATAGGATTGAGCCCAAAACTTGGTCAACATTATAATATGGCGGGCGGAGTCATTTGGTGAGTATTGAGTGAAATCTAATCGCTAAAACATGCAATACACCAACCACTCCATTTATGGAAAGAACTTCGTACGAACTTAAATTGTCCAATTTCTAGGTTCAATCAATATCGGATTGAGCCCAAAACTTGGTCAATAGCATAATATGAGGGCAGGAGTCATCTGGGGAGTTTTTAGTGAAATCCAACAGCTAAAACATGCAATACACCAACCACTCCATTTACGGAACGAACTTCGTACGAACTTGAATTGTCCAATTTCTTGGTTCAATCGATATCGGATTGAGCCCAAAACTTGGTCAACATTATAATATGGTGGGCGGAGTCATTTGGTGAGTATTGAGTGAAATCTAATCGCTAAAACATGCAATACACCAACCACTCCATTTATGGAAAGAACTTCGTACGAACTTAAATTGTCCAATTTCTAGGTTCAATCAATATCGGATTGAGCCCAAAACTTGGTCAATAGCATAATATGATGGGAGGAGTCATTTGGTGAGTTTTGAGCGAAATCCAACGGCTAAAACATGCAATACACCAACCACTCCATTTACGGAACGAACTTCGTACGAACTTGAATTGTCCAATTTCTTGGTTCCCTCGATATCGGATTGAGCCCAAAACTTGGTCAACATCAAAACACGATGGGAGGAATCATTTGGTGAGTTTTGAGTAAAATCCAACATCTAAAGCATGCAATACACCAACCACTCCATTTACGGAACGAACTTCGTACGAACTTGAATTGTCCAATTTCTTGGTTCAATCGATATCGGATTGAGCCCAAAACTTGGTCAATAGCATAATGTGACGGGAGGAGTCATTTGGTGAGTTTTGAGTGAAATCCAACAGCTAAAACATGCAATACACCAACCACTCCATTTACGGAACGAACTTCGTACGAACTTGAATTGTCCAATTTCTTGGTTCCCTCGATATCGAATTGAGCCCAAAACTTGGTCAACATCATAACACGGTGGGAGGAGTCATTTGGTGAGTTTTTGAGTGAAATCCAATCGCAAAAAATTATGCTATACACCAACAACTCCATTTACAGAACAAACTTTGTACGAACTTGAATTGTTGAGTTTCTTAGGCCAATCAATATTGGATTGAGTGCAAAACATGGGAACGTCATAATATGGTGGGAGAAGTGAATTGGTGTGTTTTGAGTGAAATCCAGTTGCTAAAACTACGTAAGACACCAACCACTCCATTTACGTAACAAACTTCGTACGAACTTGAGTTGTCCAATTTCGTTGGCATTAGATATCGGATTGATCTGAAAACTTGGTCAACATCGTAATATGGTGGGAGGATTTGGTGAGTTTTGAGTGAAATCCAATGGCTAAAACATGCAATACACGAACTGCTCCATTTACGAAATGAACTTGAATTGCCCAACTTCTTGGTTCAATCGAGATCGGATTGAGCCTAAAACTTGGTCAACCTCATAATATGGTGGGAGCAGTCATTTGGGGAGTTTTAAGTTTAATCCAATTGCTAAAACTGTGCAATACACCAACCACTCCATTTACGGAACGAACTTCGTACGAACTTGAATTGTCCAATTTCTTGGTTCGCTCGATATCGGATTGAGCCCAGAACTTGGTCAACATCATAATATGGGGGGAGGAGTCATTTGTTGAGTTTTGAGTGAAATCCAATCGCAAAAACTATGCAATACACCAACCACTCCATTTACGGAACGAACTTGTACGAATTTGAATTGCCAAATTTCTTAGGCCAATCAATATCGGATTGAGCCCAAAACATGGGCAACGTCATAATATGGTGGGAGCAGTGAATTGGAGTGTTCTGAGTAAAATCCGGTGGCTAAAACTATACAGTACACCAACCACTCCATTTACGGAACGAACTTCGTACGAACTTGAATTGTCCAATTTCCTGGTTGAATCGACGTCGGATGGAGCCAAAAACTTGGTCAACATCATAATATGGTGGGAGGAGTCATTTGGTGAGTTTTGAGTGAAATCCAATTGCTAAAACTATGCAATACACAACCACTCCATTTACGGATCGAACTTCGTATGAACTTCAATTGTCCAATTTCTTGGTTCAATCGATATCGGATTAAGCCCAAAACTTGGTCAACATCATAATATAGTAGGATGAGTCATTTAACGGGTTTTGAGTGAAATCCAATCGCTAAAACTATGCAATACAGCAACCACTCCATTTACTGAACGAACTCGTTATGAACTTGAATTATCCAATTTCTGTGTCCAACGATATCGGATTCAGCCCAAAACTTGGTCAACATCAAAATATGGTGGGAGGAGTCTTTTGGTGAGTTTTGGGTGAAATCCAATGGCTAAAACATGCAATACACCAACCACTCCATTTATGGAACGAACTTCGTACGAACTTGAATTGTCCGATTTCTTGGTTCAATCAATATCAGATTGAGCCAAAAACTTGGCAGCATTATAATATGGTGGGAGGAGTCGTTTGGTGAGTTTCGAGTGAAATCCAATCGCTAAAACATGCAATACAACAATCGCTCCATTTATGGGGAAGAACTTCGTACAAACTTAAGTTGTCCAATTTCTAGGTTCAATCGATATCGGATTGAGCCTAAAACTTGGTCAATAGCATAATATGACGGGAGGAGTCATTTGGTGAGTTTTGAGTGAAATCTAATCGCAAAAATTATGCAATACACCAACCACTCCCTTTACGGAACAAACTTTGTACGAACTTGAATTGTCCAATTTCTTAGGGCAATCAATATTGGATTGAGCCCAAAACCTGGACAATGTCATAATATGGTGGGAGCAGTGAATTGGAGTGTTTTGAGTGAAATCCAGTCGCTTAAAGTATGCAAGACACCAACCACTCCATTTACGGAACGAACTTCGTACGAACTTGAGTTGTCCAATTTCGTTGGCATTAGATATCGGATTGATCTGAAAACTTGGTCAACGTCATAATATGGTGGGAGGATTTGGTGAGTTTTGAGTGAAATCCAATGGCTAAAACTGCAATACACGAACCGCTCCATTTACGGAACGAACTTGAATTGTCCAACTTCTTGGTTCAATCGAGATCGGATTGAGCCCAAAACTTGGTCAACCTCATAATATGGTGGGAGCAATCATTTGGGGAGTTTTAAGTGAAATCCAATCGCTAAAACTATGCAATACACCAACCACTCCATTTACGGAACGAACTTCGTACGAACTTGAATTGTCCAATTTCTTGGTTCAATCGATGTTAGATTGAGCCGAAGACTTGGTCAACATCATAATATGGTGGGAGGAGTCAGTTGATGAGTTTTGAGTGAAATCCATTCGCTAAAACTATGCAATACACAACCACTCCATTTACGGATTGAACTTCGTACGAACTTCAATTGTCCAATTTCTTGGTTTAATCTATATCAGATTAAGCCCAAAACTTGGTCAACATCATAATATAGTGGGAGGAGTCATTTAATGGGTTTTGAGTGAAATCCAATCGCTAAAACTACGCAATACACCAACCGATCCATTTACTGAACGAACTCCTTACGAACTTGAATTGTCCAATTTCTGTGTTCTAACGATATCGGATTCAACCCAAAACTTGGTCAACATCAAAATATGGTGGGAGGAGTCTT